ATACGAGAACTAAATGACGATACAATAATCAGCCTAGACTCGTAACTGAGTCCTAATATCGATCATGCAGAATAAACGAACGTCCACTGGTTTATATCTCCGTAAAGGAGAATATGAAGCAGGGGTAGATGGTCCGTCAGCTGGCAGGATGTGGGGCGCTTGCGCGATGGCGCGGGACTATGCACAGGGGGTGAGTTATATGCAGGAGCAACATGAACATGAGCAGGGTTTTCTTGACACGCACCTAAGACCAGTCAACCACAGCCTATTCCCATCATAAAATATCCTTTTTTTTGAATCGTTGTCTATTGTCCGTTGGGGCGATGCCCTATGGTGGACAAAACAGACAAGTATATATTGAGTAACGCTAGGTTTTTCTGCTACGAGTCATGTTATGTGCGATCATTGGTCCAGGCAAAATGCGAGGACGGTTAGAGCCGGCTGAAGGCGATAGGGTGGGGGATACGGGTGTGCAGTAGGTAGCAGTGAAACACGCAGGTGAGATCAACCGAGCGAAGTAGAGAGATTAGTAATTTTATCACGAAAGCGAAGCTTTCGTGGTTGTGGGGAGGGTCTGGCTCCGCCAGGCTGCGCTTGTGCGCGTGTCTGGGGGGAGCACTCAGAGTCCGGGTTATTGAGGGTTGTAAGATGAGAATTTTGAAAGAACCCGACGCAGAGAGGACAGACCCTCAGAGCGTATTATGGAGGGGACTGCAGAGAAGAAGAGACAACGAGACCAAACCATACCTAGAGAATGGCTCAAGTCGAGAGCCTCTTCGAGGCGCCCGACCCTGACACGACACGAGACACGAGGAGGAGATTTGACAACATGCTTATGATTGATATAACTTTAAGAGGCTATGGGACAAAGAAGACGACATTCATGCATCTTGGATTGTAAGCGCGTGAGAGTAATGGGAGTGGATGAAGCAGTAGCAATAAATAAAGGAAGAATAGACTCAATCTGACGCCAGTAGTCAAGGAAAGCTCTCAACTTCCAGCGGCCCTGCGTCGCTACGATGTCAGGGTGAATAGAAGTTCTGTGGCCCCGCCGATGCGAAATGCATGTCCGGGCATGGTTGAATGACCGGCCTAAGAAACACGGGTGTACCAGTGGCAGTTACCATGCAGCCTTAAAAAGAGCACTGTAAAGTTAAACGATGTCAGATGTATGTATGTGTGGTAGAAGGAGAGTGTTGTGATACAGGAAGTGGGAATGCAGACTGCGTAGCCTAGCTTGGCAAGTTATAAAGGCTAAGCTGGGTTTTGATGTAGCGGCTAGGATGAGAGGTTGCATCAGGTTGACGGGACTATGACAGAGACCTCGGCTGGGTCAAGATCTGACAGAGCTCATCTTGAGAAATACCTGCTTCAACAAGTTTGCGCAGCCGAATTGCTTGAGATGAGCATGCAGACGATGAGAATGAAAAAGATGCTTACCTGTTGCAGAATTGAGACACGTGCATGAAGGATGTATAGACAAGGGCGGTCATGGAGGTCCGTGAGGGTGGCCAGGGAGGCTCACTACAGATTTGACATCCAAGTTCCTGGTAGTTTTGTCAGATGCGGACACATTCTGACTACTGTCGAGGGGTGACATCGAACAACTTGTATTTGGTTCTGCTTGTACACAAAGTCTGGGTCCATCAGCGCCTCCAAGCGGAGTATGAAAGTTGTTGCTGCTTGCTCACCGTCTGCAACAGCGCCAAAGACTTACTTCCACAGATATTGGGAGCATTTTTGCTGCATGGCAACAGCAACACAGTGAGCTCACTGCAATGTCATATATTGATCTCAGCTGGCTCAAGTTCTTGCAATGCTAACCTCTTCACGAGTGTGCATGTGAACATGTTAACGGCGGGTGGTTCTTATGGTGTTGCGGTGTCGAAAGTTTGCACGAATTCTGCCGATTGTTTCAAATGTCTCAACTAAGAGATTACACCATCGCGTGGATTACTGTATGTTGTGCTGAGATCAGAGAATATGCACTCTACCGGTTTCCGAGTGCTCTAAATTGTCGTTGATCAGTGATGCGAGGGGGCGTCCTCCAGCAGACACCATCTTACTCTAGGGACGTTGATTTTCATGTTTTATTGAATTCAGACCACGTTATCAAAGCTAAGTTACATCTCTGCGAGTCTGGACTCTGGAGTTCTGCTAATTTTTGCCAACTTGAACACTATTGCGACCATTGACAAGGATTGAAGCTTACGGGGGTGCATCAGCGGGTTGGATTGTGCTACGGAGTGCTACAGAGCGCTCTGTAGCACTCTGTAGTGAATTACGTTTACCTGATGTGGATCAGACTTGGAGGTTCAGCGCTTCAACGGCCAATCAGATGACGAATAAAACTCGTACCGAAACATAAAACCCTGATTGTGAACTGAATATTGATGATAGTAGCACTTTGAGTGGTACAAAATAGCAGCACAGTAGTCCTTGCATATTGCAAGACACCATGAAGTACCCTTGTGAGGGAAATGACTTGGAACATGACACTCTTCGTGCAAAGTGTGGGCTATTGCAACAGCCGCCGCCAATAGCTATGTATAGTAGTATGGTACTACCAGTACTAGACCGAAATTCACCACAGTATTGAACCCGACAACCTACCACTACCACCTCTCCACCGAGTCGCTAACGGCACACCTCTTCAACACCTGCCTCCGGATCTTCGAAGCTACTAGATGATCTACTGGTATGTTTCTTTGACAAATATTAGCGTGACTGCTCGTACTTTTGAGTCCTGCATTCTCTGTCTCCTGCTGCCATCTGACACCGTCATCCTGCTACTACCACCTGTAGCGGCTGGGGCCTGTTCTTTTGGTCATGGGACATGGGGATATGCATCTCTGTGTCATCTACTGGCTCAACTCAAGCATCACGAACAGGGCCACACACTTCAGTCTCATGAATCGAAGCTCGCTCAAATTGCTACTCGAGGTAGGGTATTCCGACGAAGATCTGCTACAGGTGTTTCCTTTTTTTTAGGATTTCATTCTTCCAGGTCTTCAATCAGCTTTGAACGTCTTGATATTGAAACATGGTTGAAAGAAAAGGCTCTCGAGACTCCACGGTGATGGTTGGTACCTCCTTCAGCCAACGACATTGTTTGAGAGCAGAGTAAATTGGCCAATATCAAACTCTTCTCGTAACTCACACTCTGTAGGTCCAGCAATACCAATAACATCATCCTCGCTATAGACGAGGACGAGATCTAAAGATATATGCGAATTCGCCGCTTTGCTATTACGGTTGCTTGTAAGCGTTTAGCATCCCACTGATCCTCGTACCGGTGCATAACTTCCAAATTTCTCACCGTCACCCTGTCGTCAAATTTAAATATGCCTTCAATATTCGTATTATCAGGAACAAATACCTTGTCGATGCTAAGAGACTTAAAATGCGCCAGTGTAATCCACACCCAAGCCTTTGCGTTGTTGGCACGAGGGATGGTAGGCATTCCCACCACTCTCGGTACACACTCGAAGTTATTATAATAGAGCCTTCACGTTCCTAGCCGGTTTGTTCAATCAATAATCCGCCTCGGTCAATGGATGTCCGTATTTCAAGGCATGTCTTCTCAAAACTCCATGTAAAGGCGTTCTTGGTGTTTTGTCGTCTCCTCTTGCTTCGATACAAATGCATAGACAAAGTTCATAGAGACACATCTGAGCTGGTGTATAAAGCCAAGCACTTGTTGAGAAGAGTTAGCTGGATGGATGACATAGCTTACACTCGGCCCACACACCTGGCATCAACACCGACTGTCATCATTGGAATTCCACTTTTGTCCTGCACATGCCCCCTAAGCCCTGCAAGCTTCAAGGGCGAATGCTGTCAAGGTTTTCCCCTCCGTGCTTGAGGATACTAAAGCAAGGCTCAGCAAAAGTCCAACGACACAGAGAATATGAAATGAAGAAACCTTTTTTTATTATTAAAAATTCAATTTTATTGTCCTTCGGGGTCGAAGACCCTATGTAGGACAAGAAACCTTTTATAACTCAGTTCGACCCATGATCAATGACGGTAGTGAGAGATGAGTCAAAGCCGCCAAAAGTTATATGTAATACGGTTTAGGGGCTGTCACCAGATACGGACGGAGTGCATCAAGGCGTCACCAGCAGGCATCGAGGACCGCCTTTGCTGAACATATTGACCTGTTGTAACTGTTCACGATTTGGTACCGCCAGCTGGATTCAGCGCCACCAGCAGGTATTGAGGTCAATTCCATACTTGAAACAAGTTAGATAGACTGTGTGATAAAAATTATCTACCTACTTGGTCTGAAGTTCCTGTTCAACATCTGTCGCATTCTTTGCAGATGTCTTTAATCAAGAGGTTTCTGTTGAGGCAGTTGAAATATCCCCAAAAAATATTCTAGTAAACATTTGCCTTCATTGTGCTTTACTCTGCCACTTTCTTGTATAAAGCCTGGCCAAGTGAAATAAAACAAGCAGCACTGCAATAAGCACCGTCAGTAAGTTCAAAAAGCAGCCAAGTGACACATACATTGGCGAGTGATGCTGCGAGCACCGTTCATACCCTCTGCACAAGAGGCAAGAGAGGAAGAAAGTAAAAGTGATGATCTTGAATCTGTTATCTTTATTGAGACCACTGAATACGAATTAAATGAATTTGTACTCCGCAGTGGGAGAGTGTGAATTACGGCAATGTCCGGCTGAGTTCCATTCTCTATATAAGCCTTCAGATGCTGTTACTGGTTCTCTTTTTTCTCTTGTCGTCTACATTTCATACCTGTTTCGTCATACCTAGCATTGTACAACAAATAAAATCTATTCATGTTACCTCCACCCACTCTACAAGTGTCTGCTGACCCGAGCGACAGCACCCCTCCTGCGCGAATAAGGACGCCAGAGCTGCCACCACAGACATCAACACAAGGTCTGCTTGTGGACGACACTCCGGTCAAACGCAGTTGCTCTACGATGCAACCCTATACAACTAATACACGCTGCCGAGATACTACCCTCAACGCCATGGGCAATGAGATAAGAGGACATCTCGTTGGTCCGATGCCAGTCGAACAATTTCTTGAGAAATACCTGCCGCCTTCAATGATCCCGGATTATCAACCCTTAACCTCCTTCTCGGATGGCGCCTTCGAGAGCACACTCTCTGCTGCCCATGAGACGAAAGCTTACAAACCATTTGTAAGTGCTTCAACCATGATCGTTGCCAGCCTGACTCCTAGTGCAGATTGATACCATAACATCTTTTGCTCCTGGTCTATCGTTTATCGATACCCACAGCAATGCAGACACGACAAACTGTGAATCATTCACTTTCAAAATCAAACCGGATATCTGTGTCTATGCCGATGGGTCCTCGCCACCCCGCGCTGGACAATCCTCCTGCGATATTTCTGCCACAGAAGTGGTCATCGAATTCAAGTGGGAACCACATCATAATCCATTCTACACACCCGCAAATGGCCCGGGTCCTACATCGCACTTTATATCTGAGACCGACAAGGCCATGGACACGCTGGGTCAAATAACAAGCTATGCTGCAGCTCAACTTGGCGCACAATATCGTACTCACGCATTCCTGGTCCTGATCGTCTATGATCAAGCTTACATCCTAAGATGGGATAGGGAGGGAGCTACCGTTTCTTCCGCCATTCATTACAACGAAGAACCACATTTGGCTGACTTCTTCCATCGTTACGGACAAGCATCGCCTGCATTGCGTGGCATCGACACATCGGTAACGCCCGCTAGTGCAGAGGAGGCTCGCCTTGCAAGGTTGCAATTAGGCCTTCCCGCTACCAAGCGTATGCTGAAAACGACCGTCCCTGGTGTCGATAACTCTGATTCGATTACCTTGATTTTTCCTGCACCTCTGGCAGTTGGTCAAACCCCTATAGGCCGATGTACACGCGCGTGTCCTGCGTACGATCTTGGCAATAAAAAGGTCGTCATGTTTAAGGACTCTTGGCGGGTCGCGATCGCTGGTGTTCTACCAGAAGGCGAAACGTACAGACTATTAAAAGAGCACAATGTTTCCAATGTCGCATCATGCATTGCATGTCATGACGTGCCCTCTATATCTCAACAAGCCCCGCAGACTTACAAGTTTGCAGATGCCCCCTGGGCGTGTTGGCACGACACGATCACTCCGCACATTCATTATCGCCTGGTTCTGAATATTGTGGGGAAGCAGCTGTGTGAATTTGAAAGTTCTCATCAGTTCGTCGCAGCCATTCGTGACGCATTAATTGGTACGTATTTTGCCGTCACCTTCTCCCCCAAAAGCATTATATTCATGTTGTTACAGCACACAAGGACGCATATCATAATGCGGGCGTGTTACATCGAGACCTTAGTGCCGGAAACGTTGTTATCCACGAGGGCAAGGGGATCCTCATTGATTGGGACCTATCAAAATTGATCAGCATTCAAGGTGCTCGACAAGTAACCCGTACGGTTTGTTCATTCCGTGCCTAAGCTTGTTAGTCCGTACTAAATCTGCTGTCGTCACTCAGGGAACCTGGCAATTCATGTCGGCTCACCTGGTCCAAAATAGAGACGCCAGACATGGTGTCGAGGATGACCTGGAGTCCAGTCTCTACGTCGTTCTATGGATTGCCTTAATGTACACGAAGAGTCACTTGGACATCCCTGTCCGATCATTACTCATGAAGGACGTCTTCGAAGTTAATGAATTGGAGGGAGTTGGATCAACTTCAAAATCGGCGTTCCTCAACTCAAGACTCCAATTTTCGCGGGATGTATTCGTTGACCGCAAACCGCTCGACAGCCTTGTTCTCGCACTTGCAGAGCTCTTTGCGATTCGGTATACTTTGGTCACTCGGGAGGAGCAGAAAGCATATGCTACCCTATGCGACTACATCAAAGGTTTAAAACCAGACGCTGCTGAATTGGCCTCCCTCGTAAATCTCTCGAAGGCACATACTTGTTACAGGTTGAAGATGGACATGGAGGCTTTGAGGTCACATGACAAGATCATAGAAGTTTATGATCTCCACCTCAGATTGGACGGCTGGATTGAAGACCTTCCTGTAGCGCAAACCATCACCTCCTACGATAAGCACCACGTAAAGCGGCGCATCTTCACGAAGTCACAATGTGGTTCATGGGTAGAACTCACAACATCCAGCAAGAGACGTAGGGTTGAGGGGTAACCAGGCATACGGACATGGATATATCACCTGCGCTTGGCTCAGTAGTTACTTTGTGGTGTCACCAGTCTATTATGTCACCAGTCATAAGTACCACACATTTCGCTTTGGAACGCCGGGTGCTTAGAATTTGCAGACAGCGTCAGCATCCAGTGCTCAGCTCCCATGAGCGTTGAAAACACAAAGCAGCTAAGTCTAGTGCAAGGTCTGATAGTCCCAAGATAGTAGCTAGGGACTTGTATTTCTAATTTCGAATTATGTAATGTGTGCATAATCATTCACACCGTGCATAACCATTCACACCATGCATATTTTACCATGGCATGTATACAACCACCTGTTAATAATCCACTCTCGTGGACAATTGGGCCTACATACGGAGACTATCCTACTGCTATCTTTCCAAGTATTCCTCTACATACCAGAGCAACGAGTCCATCCCTTTGCTGTGATGCCCTGCACCCGGAGCCTTCATTAACCAAACTTCATAAATCTCTACGCATACCACTCCAAAGTACCTTTGCACTGCTTCTTTGACGTATGCGCTCCACTCGCTTCATCTCTTCATCTAGCCTATCTGCCCTGAACTTTTCGGCCTGTTCGTGTGCCTTTGCAAATGGATCACTAGAGTAAGTTAGAGAGGTGGTCGATGATGCGCTTGTTGACTGAGGTTGGCCGCTATTGATGGGTGAGAGTCCTTAGAACTGGTGCAGAGGGTCTGGTGATGGACGTAGGCAACGCACGTGTATCCTGTTTTTCTAAGGGAGCGGGAACTTGACTGGGATCGCGATCGGCCCGGAGTCTGCAAGGCAGACGCAACACTACTGGTTGCTTTTATGCCGTCTGCACTCCATTCCCTCGCCGTCAATGTAGAGGGTCGACCCATAGCTAAGACAACGCCTCAAACCGTAATGGTAGATATAGTCCATCGCGTACCACAGGCCTTTGTGGTCCACCTCCCATCGTCCAATAGCGATTTTAGGAGGGGTAGACGATGGCAAGATATAGCACCTCGCTAGCCGACCATCTCTACCACCTCTTCCTTGAGCCTGAATTATCTCCGTCATTTCTAAAGGGGTCTTCAGGTGGATGACGACTCGGACGTGCGGATAATCGTTGCCCGTGCTGAACGCGCTTGTGCAGATCATGACCGGACATGTACCTGCAAACCAGTCCATGATTCACTGGGCTCTGGAAGCGTCGCTCATCCCTTTCGATCTGTTATAGAATGGCCACCCGGCCTGTGATGCTGCGATCAGTATACGCGCATACCGATTTGCCAAGTCGCTCACCTTGTTTGCAAGACTTTCACCATCTTCCAAGTAAGTCACGAATACCAGACCTCTGTCATCAGAGGTCCATCTCTGTCGCTCACATGCTACGATCTGGATGACCATGTCCTCTGGTGCATTCGATGGAGCTGCAGCCTTCATGATATACTCTAACTCCGGCCGATTAATCGACTCCCTGATCTCGATGGCATTGTCTGCTAGATCAAAGGCTGCCTTGAGGGCAGCAACACTAGATTGCGGGGGTGTGCCGGTCAGTAACACCAATTGCATGGAGAGCTGTCTAATTTCCTGCATATACTGCATCGCCTCTCTAAAGTTTTTGCATAGCGGTGGAAGGTGAGCTTCGTCAAAGATGGTTCTGCTAGATGTTGTCTCCACGTCTTGAATTTTGCCTTATCTGCGGATACTAGAACGAGGTTTACATCCTTGAGCAACGGGACGCTCGGATCGTAGACTTGGAAAGGAACGCGCATGGCCTTCAGCTTTCTCTCCCAGTCAGTCATCAACGATTTTAGTGGAAGAACGACTACCACTGCCTTGTTCGCATCCATGATGGCGGGAATGATCGCCAGCATAGATTTTCCTCCCCAAGTCCTGAGAATCGCGATGATGTCTGTCTCTCGTTTGAGCACAGAGAGAACGGCGTCTTTTTGCTGGGAAGACCACCAATTGGCCTGCTGGTCACCGAGAAGGATGCGCAAGGTCCACAAACTTTTTCTTGCCAGTATCGAATCTTTGTTTTTCACCAACTGATTTGGTGGCGGCGGAGGATATTGTTCATCATCTTTTGACTCTTGTAAGTATATGCATGTCATCACGGTCCTCTACTCACCGCTCAAAATGTTGATAGCTTTTAACGGGTCGCTACCAAGGTCATTGTCATCTGACAACGTCATTTAGTATGTTGCGCGTACGCTTCCTATCTGTGATGCGCTTACCATTCAAAGGAATTAACTTGACGCCTGCAAGCTTGTTGCTGTCTGCCGAAGGTGGACTGGTTGTGCCTAGTCCGATCGCACCCTGCCCAGTCTCGCTGCTGGTAAACTCATTGGTACCTGGGTACGTGGTGGATATGGTCAGCCGCCCGCATGCCGTTTGGCTTTGCACTTACTTCTAAACGTCTGTTCTTCATACCAAACCTCGCTGTCGTCTTGTGATCGTAATCAGCATGTGTGAACGCTGATATGCTAGTGCTTACCGGCTGTTGACAAGGCTTGGGTGGTTTCTTGACTTCCACCCATGACGTGCGTTTCCTCTGGACTCACGTACTCTAGTCTTTGATCTTTTGGCCAACAATCGTCGGATTGTGACGCATATTGCTGAGGCATGGCCGTCGCGAGCGCGTCACGTATCATGGTCTCCACTGCAGGCACCAGAGCATCCACGATGCGGACGACTACCTTGCATTCTATGCCTGCAACAAGCTCGTCTTTTATTTTGGCCATCACCTGGTTTTGTATGGATGATATCACCTCTGCACATTGTGGAGGTGCGGCGACGGCGGCAGCAGCAGCTGGAGAATTGGTCCCTTGAAAGTCCGAACCAAACTTGCCTGATTCTGCCAGCTGCTTGAATTCGTGGGACCTAGCAAGCGTGTATGCTAATTGCAGGCCTCCTGGAACGGTGTGCATCACCAGCTGCCAATTGGTACTGGCTTGAAGAAATGATAGAGGCAGCAGGTCCTCTGGCGCCCCTGCAAGCGCGTCTGGACTTAGACCGTATATCCGGTTTTCGGTAGATCTATTATGGCTGGCTTCGAGGGCTTCGACTGTATCTTGCTCATCGTCTTCCGACAAGTCCTCTGCAAAGCGACCGAGCTTGCGCTTGAATGTGGTGCTGACGTGGCGCCATGAGTTAACGCCTAGACCGAAACCGAGCATGAAGATACGGTGAGATCCCTGTGCTTCTCCCCAGATGGAAAGAGACTCACAAGCAGGTCATTGCATGGAACAGTTCAAGTTACTTATTATATGAGATGCCGCGGCTGTGTCGACTTCGGTTGCAAATGGGCTAAAATTAGCATCTAGAACGTGACCATCCGGGTTTGGAGCCCCGGTAACGCCGATCTCAGGTCTGTTTGCTCACGACGATTGAGTTTCAAGCGCCGTGTGGTTGCCTGACGGCCAATAAATTGTCTCTGCATCATACAAAAAACGCCTCGATTGGGTTCGAGATCTGTCAACCTTGCACTGGTCACACTGATAAAATCTATTCACTCAGGCTGGCCATCTCAAGTTCTGATACTCCTTCATTGCCACTGCCTTAGAAGACGAGACTGCGCCCGTGGAGCACAAAGTCACATCGGCAGATAGGACAGGCACACCAACATTGGTTTACTGCGTTGCAATATCTCGCAGTGGAGAACTTCTCCTCGCAAGTCGGGAGACTTTGATGGGGGTCTTCAACTCCGCCAGTCCATCGAGAACCCGATTTCCACGGCATTCGGGATTACTTATACAATTTCGACTTTGCGCATCGCAGTAAGGCGAAGTTGGGCCAAAAGCTCTATCATTTCGGACAGTACAGACTCGGAGGCGGGCCTGCCAGTGCCGAAGTTCAAGTTCAGACGCAAACAAGGTGCGGACGATACCTGTCGTTCAAGTTATTTTAACATTTGTTATGGTGATTGTAGGTCATTAAGCTCAACCCTTCGTCTTATCTCGGGTACAAATTGAATGCATTCGGCAGCGCTGCGGCATGATTGGGACTCTTGCCATTGGTCTTGATTTCCATCGTGAAGGTTGGTCTAGACCTTGGAGTCAGTTTGGTAAATTCACATGCTTTGTTGTTTTTTTCGCTCGTTCTAACTTTTCGGATTTTCGTCATTGCAGGGAGACACCGAAAGTCTTATGGACGTCGATAACATTCAGACCGGTCAAGAAACGGTATGTTTACATGTTCTTTTTTCACTCGTTCTAATTTTCTCTACCCTAGCCTCGTGTGAAGAAGCCTAGTCCCTTCAGACCTGGCACAGTCGCCCTCCCTGAAATCAGGAGGTACCAGAAATCCACGGAGCTGCTTAGTAGTTTAATTGCTCGCACCTTTTCGCAGTCAGCCCAAGGATCTCGCTCTCGCTCGCCCTCTCCAGGGCGAGCGTTCCTAATCTACCAAATCGCTTGACTGAGTGTTCATTTTTATTCATACACGTTTCGCAGAAGTGGTTTTATTCACCACTCTTGCCTCATTTAAATGTACTTGTACTAGTATAGGATCCACATGTAGTACTATGTGTCTCGTTAACGAATAATCATTAATATTGTTACATAGACCACCTCATCAACCCCCTAAATTCGTTGGCGATTCCAACATTACAGTCACAAGCGTTTGCCGGATTCTGTTTGTGCTGCGCCCCAACGTGCTTCTTTATACGACGTCCTGTTAACACCTCGTGCTCGTGCGTGCCACAGCAGTGACAGCACACATCTCTACTCTTATAAATTTCATGTTGGTGGTTATAAATTTACTGCCAAAGTGAGCTCAGAGCCTTCCAAATACTGGACTTTGACCTAAAATATTCACCGGCGAGAATTCGGAAATCCGAAATTCACCGCAGGAAAAATGGCCACTTGCATCAGGGCAATGTTTGTTACGACTCGTCTTAATTTTTACAAACGGTGCGGGAGCAGAACTGAAAGCATGGAATAAACTTGACTGAAAAGAGAGGTTACAAAGGATACGACTACAGAGAACCTAGAGCGATATTGTTGTATTAGATTAGATACCTCTCAGAGACCGAAAAGGGTGTATTGCTAGTTATGTCCTTTTGTGAATTATGTAATATTGCTTACACTTATTTGGCTCATTTGCGAACTACGTTATGTACTGTAAACGTGATTCAGCCACTTCCACTACGCCATATTATGGTATGCAAGGCCAATAATGGTTCCGGCAGACAGGGTAGGGTCTCGTTTCTCGAAAGTCACAGGCGGAGTTGGTGGTTCTGGAGACACAGGGGATTATGCACAACTGGTGGTGGATCGATCAAACGAGAGTGATCATGCAAAGGAACAACGGCGCGTCAGAGCCGTGGGCAAAATGAAGGCGCGTGAGGACCTCGACCCCGAAGATAACCCGTCCCAGCTCACATACGCTCGTCCTTCAAACATGCCGCCTCATATTTCCTTAGGCGCGCCAGTCACACGCAAGACTACCAAGGATCTCACTCCCACGTTCCTGGTGGATGCTAGGATTCAAGTCAAAAGACCCAACTTCATCCGATGGTTCCTGGCCACTTTTACTTACCAAGTAAGGCTTGATCGCATAAACATCGCGCTGAGGCTGATTTTCGTCTTAGTGCAGTACATGTGTAACCAAAAAAGTGTCCTGCGAGCTCCCACCTGTGACGGACGGCACCCAACGCAAATTTAAATGCACTACTTGCCGCAACGACTGCAATGTGATATGTAGTTGGTTCCAGGATCTCTTGGAGGTGTACATACGCGAGGCATACCAGCTAGATGTTGGAGAGGCGCGTATGTTGGCATCCTCGAAAGGAAACGACCCACAGGGCACTTTAAGAGGCTACTATCAAACTTGGCTTGCAGAACATGCTGAACGCTGTTCTGACGGCAAGTTGCGAGAGGACTCAAAGGCCCTTGAGACTATTATTTCCTTCCAGGGTCCGAAGTTGAGCAGCAGGGTCAGCCCCACGCAGCGTGACCCCCTGCAGCCAGCATCCGTACAACGTGCCTCCACACAATTGCATCCGCCTGAGCTACAGCATAAGCGGCAAAAGTGGGTTAATTTTGTAGCACCTCTCCCACCAGAGGAGCTCCCTCCAGCACAGGCGTTCCCATCATCACCCCCCACCCAGTACCCCTCGACGCCTGCATCTGTTCAAATTTCTCCAGGTATGTCACAGCTCCCACCCACAATCCCTGACGGTGCCTCCCCAGCACCCCTACCCCCGTTCTGGAGTCTCTCGAGACCTACATCTGTTCACATTTCTCCAGGTAGGTCGCTGCCTTTGCCCACAACTCCTGACTGACTCCTCGCAGGGTGTCGCAAACCCTTTGCACCTTTGCTGCCCATCTCTCCAGGCACGCGCGAGCCAACCCCTCTAGCCAACTCTACCCCAGTTCCTGCAAATTTTTCCCCTCCTATTATTGTGCCCGCAACCATCGCCACATCCGAGACCCACAGCAATGCCCCACACAATAATAGCCTTGCTCAGATGGATGATCTGCATGCCGGATCCCAGCACCCCCCAGGTGATGACCTCACGAATGCCGAACCTCGCGGTGTTAATGTAGGCACCGATGAGGCATTCGCTAAAATGGACCCCCGACCACCCTCCGTCGGGCTCAAATCCGATATAGCTAACTTGTCGGATGGGCTAGCAAAGCTAGCTGTAGGAGACCCATCCTTCCCGCCAGAATTCTCCAATCGTCAGGAGGCCGAAGCGTACCTATTAAAAATGTTGCAGGGTTCACTGCAAACGTGCGACTTCCTCAGAAGCGTTGTGGATGAACAAGATTCCAGACATGTTGCCGTCACCAGAAGCCTGGAGGATGAGGTCCGCTTGCTAACGCTAGAAAATGGAGAGCTGAAGCAGGGGGTTGCGACGAAATGCCTGGAACAAAATATCTGCCTCTTAGAGGTAGAGAATGATAAACTGCGAGGCAGGCTCGCCCGCCAAGACCAGGAGCTAGAGGATAGGGGGCTGAGGTGGAGAGCAGTCAGAGATCTAGAGCAAAAGGTCCGCCAGCTGGAGGTAGAGAGAGGGAGGTTACAAGGGAAACTCTCCCAGCGAGAGCAAACGGTTGCTACCATGAAGGCTCGCGCGCAGCTCGCAGGCCGTGTGCTATGGCTGGCCTCACAGCACGCTCCGCTTTCTCCTGGAAACACCCAGGCCCCCGATCCCGTCGCGGACAACCTGAGGGGCTTGGTCTCCATGATTCATGCGCATGTAGACGGTATCCAACCCACCCTTGCGAACAAGCGACTTGGGAGTTCGAATGAAGATGGTTGAGATCAGATTCTAAGCGAATGAGGCAGATGTAACCTGGAGAGTCAGCCGTTGATGTTGCTGGCAAAATACCTGTGAACTCAGCAGTTATACTGCAATCAATAATAACCAACCGCATATGTTTTTGCGATTCAGATAGGTGAAGAATAGGGACATTCGACACGTTATTGTATACCATAGGGCCACGCCAAAACAGACGGTGAACAAGGATACGACAAAAGTAATACAAATTATGGAAGCGTAGACTCAATCTCAACAGCAATCAGGCCTTTGGCACACATATTCCTCCGTTGTACATCCAGATCCATCTCATGTGACCATCCCATGCTTCTCTTGAAACGTTTGGACAGTCGGAAACTCAGGATACCCCTCAACATGATCAACGCACGACAAAGCTGCCGCCTGGTAGCTTGTCCCTGCCTCTCCATATTTTGTACTTGATTGGTCTGAACACCCGGAGTAGCGGTGCATTTATCACGATTGGATAACTTGTACCCCCACCGTCTGCCTTCCACGGACGACAATTGTCTACTGTAGGGCGTCGCCCCAGGGACAATGATGCACAAGAATACAAAACAAAGGATAACAGTCAGCTGTAGCTACATGGTCTCGGTATAAATTCTGGTATAATAGAGTCCTTTTTGCTGCAAAAGTGCAGTAGGTCATAACCATACTCCTGGTGACAATCATAGAGGCGCCTCCAAAGCGTCATTCAACCAACCCAATACGTCCAATTTCCACATAATTCTCTATTTTGAGATGAAAAAAGCCCCAGGAAATGGTGTTCTCAGATTCCATCATCCCGAGTCGTCTTCGCACTCTCATAAAATTCATTTGGGACAAAGTCACTGGTGACTTTAGAGACATAAACACTGGTGACATCGATCTAACTTGAGTAATATACACTGTGGATAGTGATTCCAATCAAAATCATTGGAAAAAGTACTGATGCTGAAATTTTCATTGGAACTTCTACTGAAACGGCAGGTAGTTAATTTCATTGGAGTGCTGAATCCAATTCAGCACCAAATTTCAGCACCATTTTCCAATGAATCGAATTCAGCACCACTTTCAGCGCTATTTTCCAATGAATCCAATTCTCCAGCGTAGTCTGGCTTAGGAAGAGTCGGAGCTGGTCCGAGTGTTAGCTTGGGAGAGACACAAGCAGGTGGAGCCGCTGGGAGGGCGGGAAACTTGCTTGTGAATTTGGTCATGCGCTGACTCTTGTGCGGCACAAATCAAGATAAGCATCTTTATACATTCTAACAATTATGATAACACTGGAATATGCTCAGGCTGCAGTAACAGTCTGCCGAGATAAATAAGAGAGTGTGCTGGGTGGGGGCAAGGAAGAGGAAATAACGAACGACAAATTTGAAGAACGAATGTCGTAGGTAGTAAGTCGAAAAATGTAGGAGAAGGGTGGTATATATTAGGAGTTGTAGCTATACCTGCTAAAGATACCATGGCTTAGTGGTAGTGATGCTATGTACGATGGTTTAGGTCATCCGTTCAATCCCTGCCTTTGGTGAATTCTCAATGGGTAATAAGTGACACAGTATGTCATGTCACTAGTGACATAATGTCACCGTCGTCAGCACCATTTATTTTTGTCATTCTTGAGCAGAATTTCAGCACATTATTTCAGAGTAAAAATTCAGCGCAATATCGCTGAAATTTCAGAGTAAAAATCGGAACTTTCAGCACCTCGATTTCAGCACCTTGTACTGTGAATTTCATTACATTATCAACTGATTTTACCTAATGAATTTCATTGGATTTACTACCCACAGTGATAATAGCTATAAATTGCAGCTGAATGACCGAGCGACAAGCTGACGATGATATTCGGCTAACCTACCACCATAGTGACGCTCGGGGGAGCAGTTATTATGCGGCATTTAATTTGCTTTTGGGTTAGTTAGACTGGTTGCTTTTTGAATTGAGATTTGTTTTGGGGGTAATGCGTAGTGGCTATGTAAGGACAGGACTATGACTCGACAGTCCTTACAAGATACGTGGTGCGAGGCAGGAATATAACGGCGAATTAATCTAAGGTGTGATGTTGAAGGCTCTTTATTTCAGTGTGCAACTTGGAGCGAGCGTGGCTACAATGCTCAGCCAGCACCTGGCGATGCATTTGTTGTAATTTGGGGCTTTATAAATCTACCTGCACGCACTGTTCCACATGCGTTGTCATGCTGGACCTCCCGTTACAATCAACATGATGGTATATAGCCGCACAGGCATTAATGCTCCTCCTTTGGTTTGACTTTACTGGAAAACGCCACACCTATAGTTTGTGAAGGTGTATGCACTAGTCTTTTACAAAAAAGCACCTAAGTACCTAAGATCTCTCCATCAGTTGCTTTCCTCTTGAACAGTAGCCCCCTATCACCCTGTAGTTCCGTCAGTTTGGAAAAAAAGCTGAGCCCCCACTGCCACCTCTCACCGTCCTCTCTATCAAGCTTTTGTTTGAGATGGGGGTCCCGGACACGAAGCTCTGCCAAGCTACGGAATCCATAGCGGACCCACCTTATGAGGCCACCAGAGAAATATTGCGTGAAGGAAAGCCGTGTCTCCCTCGGTTGTATAGCAGTATTACCATGCCGGAGAATTGCAGAGGGAATCTGGGCGGTTGAACCAGATGGGAACTCAACTGCAACCTTCAAATCAAAAAATATAAGGTGACCGCCTGCCTTTGAATCAAAAGAGCCAAGGGCATGGATGTCACAAAGGCCGTAGGCGATGTTGCGAGGGTCCGTGTGTTCAAAGGTGGCGACTTGGGGTCCGAAATTGAACGTGGCAGCCGGGAAGATACTGTTGGTGAAGTTCATGTTCAGGTGGGAGTGCCGTTCAACAAGTGCCTGTATGTTGTGGGAGAAGTGGCGGTACAGCTTAGGTGCATAGAACGCGAGAGCACCTAATGAAACATCAGTAGTAGCTAACTGGCTGGTGACAGGGCTCACTGCTTCCAAAACCCGCCAGGCGCTTGATAGCGGGATCTCCCAACAGCCTGTCTAATTCAGCGCGATTCTCCTTCCCATGAGCTAAATTGGACGGTATCTGTTGACCTCCACCGTAAGAGATGCCGGTAGATAGGGCATGATACCTGCCACGACGGTGAATAAGGCCTGACGGGCTGAAGGCGCAGCGTTGCTGTGCCTCCACCATGGTTTTTGCAGCTGCAGCATTGACGTCATTCCAGTCCTTGCTAGCCGGCCGGCCAGCAAGCACGGCCGCTATCCGACCCTCTCCATCAAGTATCGCATGAGGGGTTCTTGAATGGGAGGTGGGTCAGGCTGGTTGAGGTGGATGAACGGGCCTTTGACTCACACTCCATCCCAGGGAAAAATTCTATACCCGTCTGCCTGAAGCTCTTGCAGAGTCCACACCTTGCGACCATGTGGAATTGACTTGCCCACATACGCACCGCGAGCTGCGGGGAGGTCCTCAGTCCTCAGCTCTGTGGTAAGATGGGCAGGGGCTGGGTGACGAACGGACAGGGATGACCTGATGGCGTAATCAGTAGCCTTCTTCTCCTGACGATCGTTGCGGCGGCGCTTGCGTTTGCCAGCCTTGCTGTTATTTGACCCACGAGACCCCCTATCTTTCGATAAGCGTCTATCAGGCATCAGGCCTCTGGGGCTTGATAAAGTATCATGCTGAGTAATGGGAGGTTGGGAGGTATTAAAGGCTGAGCGACTAGTGAGCTCTAGAGCATGGCCCTCGTTGTCATCATCCTCATGGGTAGATTCCTGGTGTGCAGATATCCCCATCAGCATAGGCAGAAGCTCAAGGCCTGTCTGGATGGTGATGATATCATATGGTGAGAAGCAGCGCCCAGAGCGCGTCTAACGTAATTTCAGCCGCGCTACGGATTGTGAAGATGGTCCTTACCTGGCTTGGAGGCATTGCAGGATTTGGCCTGGTCGATGCTGAGTAGAATGAAGGCCGGTAAGGAAAGACGCGCAGGCTGCTTACCTAGTCCAATAGCCCTAAATCAGTTATACACCGAATGGAACGAAAGGCTGGGGTGGTTGGGTTCGACTTCAAGTGGGTCCGGCAAAAAATCCCTCACCCTTTCGTAATTTACCTATACGGACCTAGTGCAGGTGCCGGGTAATGTAGCTTGCCGGAATATCCCGGCACCAGGCGCTAGTGTTGCCGCCGAGGCGAATCGAATCGAATCGAGGTGGAAAATCGACACAGTTCGAATCAACGAGTTGTACGAATTGCACCTCGTTCACCTCTCGATGTGAAAACGAGTTCGGGCGTGATACGGACCGGTACTCCAGCCAATGAAAAGCCAGGGATTCTGTATGCCGACGACGACAATTATTTGCAAGTATCTAGTACACGACGAGCAAATACACTAATAATCAATGTCCCTTGCATTCTGGAGCAACTCGTCAAGCTCGCGAAGATTCCCGATAGCCATTAGCTCGTCGACCGCTCTGGGAGTCACAGGTCCAGATATTGTGTAGTCCTGCTCGTCAGCCACCAGGTCCTCTGTGAAATTGAGGCGGTCTTGCTTGTAAATGAACTTCAGCACTTGTAGTGCTTCGAGTGTGGCCGGAGATAAGTTGCTACGCCGTAGAGTGCAGGTCTCCTTGCTGGATGAAAATATCCGCTCGGAAGGCACGGATGAAGCTTGAGCAGGCAGGACATCCATAGCGACGTGGAATAGAAGTGGAAATATATGTTCTTTTTGCTAATATGATACTTGTTAATCCTATAAAATCACAGATAGATGTATATCACATACCTCCCAGAAACGAATGATATCGGCTGTGCGTTCAGCTGCTTCAAGTAGTATACCTGCCTCTTCATAACGTGAAAACTCGTACTCAGCATCCTTCCTGTCCAATTCGAGTTCCTTGCGCAAGCGTTCCTCCGTGGATTCCAGTGTTGTGGACTGTACCGCTGGTTCAGAGACAATGATGGTTGGAGTCGGAGGAGTAGCACTATTAGTAGTGACAAAAGATGAACGCCGCATAGTTACGTTGAGGCTGTTCATGCGGCCAAATCCAACAGATAAGGACCGCGAGGCTATTGCTGTCGAGTTGGTAAGCGCATGCTGTGATACTGAGGGTGTGCCAGATAGTTCCAGTGGGGTCTGCGTCTTGCCGACTCTAATGGATGTACGAAATGAAGTCATCTGCACCCAAAAATTGTGTCATCCAGAGCGCGTAGAAAAAGAAAAGACGAACTGCTTGTAGTATCCATTCTCGAGCATTTCCAACATCCGCAGCCTCCCAGTGTTCCCTCAACCACTTAAGCTTGATGTTTGGATTAACTTGAACGACTATAGTTCAGTTCGTGTAAAGTCACCCAGCAAGTATTAAAAATTGAAACACACCCATCGAAAGTGCGTATATCCGAGTTTTCCTTCCTTCATTGATATACTGCCTCAGTTTATCAAGACCGATATCAATATAGTGGGATAACTCCCAGATCGTGCTTCGTAATTGGGTCCACTGGCTAGTCAGCACTTCATAAGCGGGTAGAGCCATTGATAGGGTTGGTGTCCGCTCCGAAGAGAGGAGTTCTTGCGCTACGTGAGGGACTTCGATGATTTGATGTATGTCGCGAAGAACATCGGTATCCTTTGCATCCATGGAGAGGCCCGAAATGTCAGCATTCTGTGTCTCAAGTAGGAAGGATTGGATGGCCTTCAACAGAGAATTAGCGTGAACTTCGAAAGTGGTGCGAGTACATACTGGGTTTAGCATTAGCACTCTATCGACCATCTTGAATGTTGATGACCATCTAGTTGTGCAGTCACGGAGCAGCTGTACAGCTGGTAGCATGGTCTTTCCATCGGGAAGCTTCCCTCTCCAGAAACCATTTGCATTGCCTTCTTGAATCACAGCCTGGAGACGACGACGGCGTTGGCCAGATGATCGGCAAGCTGAAACTATCGCACGGCATTGTCCAACTGGATCGCGTTCTAGAGTTCTGGCATAGGCTTGAAGTGCTGGCTGGTTTACAGGATCAGTTGAGGCTGCAAGAACAGGATGGTGAGGATTCTTCTTTAGTTCTGCAAGGATTGCTTGAACAGCAAGGTTAACGACGTGCGGGAAGCACCTGATAGTCATGGCGATTTGTCAGTGAAAAGTTTCAATTCCTGGCATTCAATATCAACTTACCGCAGACGGTTACCATTGCGATCAAAGGGAATAGCTCTTCGTGTAAGCTCACCCTCAATCTCTACCATAAGTGTGTTGTTGTTGGACGCATTGTCCATAGTGATCTGACCAAGCTGTGTAGATGTGAGTATGAATATGACTCAAATGCAAATGTCGAGACAATGTGTACCTTGTGACTGATTTCGAGATCATCAGTAATCTTGAGGAATTCTTGTCCAAGGTGTGCACCAGTGTGAGCCTCACTGACAAATCGAAATGCTACGAGATGTGTTTTTAAAATCAAGATACCTTTCCCATCACGCGCCATGAAATGTGCTGTTAGCGCCATAAAACTGTCTAGGTTTGGGTCACTCCAAAGGTCAGTAGTATGGGATATGCGACCGAGAGCATTCTGAAGCAAATATTTAGTGCGAACACATGTGAAATTTATTGCACTATACCTTAAGATCATTTCTCACTTTACAGTATTCCGTTCGAAACTCTTGAAGGATCATTTCTGTCAACTTGGTGCGGTGTGGGAGGTTCTTGTCCTGTATTTTGCCTTCTCCCAGGTACAAAAGGAGCTCGCGAAATTCAGGACACTCGACGACATTGAAGGACTAGTATGAGTACATCCAGACAGTTAGATAAGTTCAGAGTGTGGGTAAACTTGAACGGAAAAATTACTTACCTGATCATCAACAGCTATCCACTTCATGAGTAGGTGGTAGAACATTTCAATCGTAAAAGCCACATGTTTAATTTGCTTGCCCGAGTCTTCTTCACCATTTTTGAGTCCCATAATTGCACAGATTTCCCTCCAGCGTTGTCCGTGCTTGTGCAGATGGTTTCGGCAGGTTGGGGTCATACCATCACCAACCTTGTAAACTTTCCACTGTGGATTCTCACTGTCGTCACTGGACATTATGAGTATCTAACCACAACTAAAAGCAAATGACACTCACCCACAGAGTCGACAGGCAACATATAGTGAGTTGGGCTTGTACATTAACCTTGGCTGATTCTCTGGCATTTTTTCAGGTCGTTCGGGAGAATCTACTGCCCACATGAAGTACCACACATCAGAGGCAGCAGCTTTGGTATCACGTAGAGGCTGTTTTGCACGAGAAATGGGGATTGGCTCAGAGCTATTCAGAGCAGCCATCATACTTGTACTTGCAATTGGGTATTCGTTTGCTGGCACCATGGTGTTAGAGCCTGAGGATGGCACGGACACAGGCCCAACTCCACAGATGGTTGCTGCTGGTGCTGGTGTGATGGTGGATGCACCAACATTTGTCTTCTGTCGCTTTCGAGTAGTAGGTGCAGTTCCTGCGCCATTGCCAGTGGTCGCATTTTTGCGTTTTCGGCCTCTCTTCTCTGTCACATGTGTATTGACCACCTCTGCAGTTGTATTTTGAAGGGGTGCGTTCATAGCACCAGGCTGCATTGGTCCCCACATTGTGCGGAGTACCTGGACGTTCTGCAAAGGCATGGTGGCCTGCATCAATTGAGGCCCATGTGACGAGTGAATATCTTGTGAAGACGGAACCTGCGGCACTGGGTAGTAGTATGAGAGGCCTTCATCACCAATTGCATTGGGGGCAGGAGTTGATGGACCTGGCGAAATGTTTCGAAGTGATTCAAAGGATCCACTTGGGGTTTGAAGTGGAGATAGTGTGCTTTGATGAGAATTCGAGTGTAAGAATTGTTCAGGACTGAGATGAGAAAATGTCCACAGGCCATTCTGCTGCAACGACATGGGGTCAAAAACATTCAAGTTGCTCGTACCAGTTTCGAGCTATCATGATATTTAGGTTTTTTCCTAGCTCCAATAGCTCTAGTGGCTAGCTAGGGTCTCAATTCAAAGAATAGCCGAGTGAAGGATCTAGAAAATTCCTTTGGAGTGGCAGCTATGTCGAGTCTACTGCAGGCTCCAGCTCTTTGCAATGAGATATTCATACTATGACATATGGCCTTTTACAGGGGATTACGATGTATGGATATAAAGTGCACAAAATCTTTTGTGAATCTCGAACCCAACGAGTTGCAACTCGATTCATCGAGTTGAAACGAATTTGGTAATTTCCGAACCGAATCGAGTTTACATCGAGTTTAACTCGCCTCGACGGCAACACTAATCTGATCAACTCGTTTTCTTTGGAGATTTATAATTGGGACCGGCTCACGTTCTTTACAGGGAGATTTATAATTACAACTTCAGTGCGCGCTAATCAAAAAGCAGTCGCATACTTTCGAGTAGAATCAAAAAAATCGATTTTTGACTATTTTAAACAAAGATTAACAGGCAAACGTGATGGACCTGAAAGTGTGAAAGCATGGAAACAGGCACAAGAACATCTAAGCAAGGCGAGAGGCCATGATAAGGGAGGAGGGTATGAGAGCATGGTAGCAGAATATACGAAGGCAAGAACTGGAAGCAGGGTGGCAGAATGTACAAGTAGGTGTGAAAGACGGGCAGAGTGGTACTATTATTAGTGCTATCGGCAGCGCTGTTCGAATTATGTACTGCAGTGTGGCACGCACGCATCTTGAGTTTTCAGCATGCATGATATCATGCATGAATAGGACAGTATTGCCTGGGCCTATATGCCTTCGAAGTGACATTCGTCGATAGACCGCCGCACACGTCAGAACTTCAGAAGACTTGCAACGGTCTCACCATTAAGTTACGTTTAGTACCATCAAGCGAGTTTCTTGCAGTATACTTGTCCGAGTACGGCGTATGATATTTCGCTCTGTTACATACCGTCATCTCAACATTGCAACCAGTCGGATGGGGAATATATCCTACAAATTCTGTCACTCGAATACCGATCTGCTGTGGTGGACCGACTTGGACATCAAATCCTTTCTCAGCACGACCAGTAAAAAATGGCTCCAGTTATGCTTTTTTTTTTTTTTTTGATCCTTGATTATTGTCCGTTGGGGCCGAGCCCTATGATGGACATTACCTACTTGTATGTGCTCGTATCGTATGTTTTTCTACGTTTGTACATGTCTGCTTCGTACAATGGTTCCGGCGTGAGCGGGAACGTCAAGGCCTTCTTAGGGCTATGGATGATGGTATTTGGGTGGGTCTCTTCTTCCTCTTCTATTCTTTTTCCTTCGGTGGGGTCACATCTCCGAATGATTGTTCCATTCGTTTCGTGCGCGCGATGTACTTCAACGTGGCTCTCATTCCCTTGCTATCGTTCAGCAGGTATTTGAGGTTGCTGTTTCGTGTCCCAGTTTCCTGTCTTAGTACATTGCGTTGTCTGGCGTAGGCAGGGCAAACGAGCAGGAAATGATGGACGGTTTCCTCGTGCGCGTTACATTTCTCGCATTTGGCTGATGGGGACTTGGATATGCGGTGCAGGTACTTGTTGAGCGCTACGTGGCCCGTGCGTACCAGTTATGCTTAGCGCGACTGTTCTCTGGACTGTAGCTAGCTGCCGAGACATACCTATTGAACCTCGTTGTTCCTTCGTTGAGCCGTTGCTATAGATGGATCTGAACTAAAGGTTCGCTCCGTAGGTGAGTCCTGCATGTGTGATATTTCCAAGTCAGTTCTTGATCAACTGAGAGACTGAGGGAACGATGGTGCTCATTTGAGTGTATGGTGGTGTCATCATTATGCTCATTGTTGTCGCCGTGGTCGTGGTCGTGGTCGTGGTCGTGCCAGTGGCTTAAACACCATGGGCATTTACCTGGGTCTGACTGGAGCCTCAGCCCGAGGGCCCTGCGGCCTGATGCTGCCGCAGTCTTGTTCCACGAAGATATCAAACCCAGAACCGGACCCTCGCACCGGTTCAGAACAGTACTTTGGATTCGGGTTTTTTTTGTGTCCTGAACTTTGAAAAACATTTCCTAAATTACGCAATGAGATATTTTATGCGACAAACCAGACCGCAGGTCAACGGAATATCATGGGTGATGTTTTATATCAGTATTTTAACCATTGCAGACTGAGATAGACATGAAAGTAATCGAAGACGAAGAATTCCCATTCGTCATTAGCACACCTGCAGGTGTTGCCTCCATGTGCCATGCTGGGTTGTCGCCAGACATTGTGCTCGTGTTGAACTGCCTTTTGGGTCAACGACCCACATTGAATGCAGTTGAAATGTTCATAATGCATGTGGAGGCATAAATTTAAACACCCTAAGACCGCCAGTCAAGTTCGAGTTGAAAATCTAGTATAAGTGGCAGGAATGCTCGATGTGGGAAGTCGGTGAAGTACAAAATCGATGAAGTACTTTATGTTTGTACAAGAGCTGCGAATAACAAGGCTGCGCGAATATTGTATACACTGCCCCACTTCTTTAATATACTACGCCAGCAATGCCTATCCCTATGTAGTATTGTAAATTAATGAAATGTGTTAGGCTATGGTGCCTGCTTTCTGCGCTTAGCTTGTGACTTTTGGCCGCTCCCCTCAGCACTTCCAGAGATTTCACCCACAGAGCGCTTGCCTTTGATGGGGGGTGAAGTACCTTGTACTAGGCTGCAGAGATGCTCGACCCACCAGCGACTTTCACGGTCAGCACGGGATGATATTGTCGGCAGGAGCGTGAGTAAAAACTCCCTCACGTCGGCAGTGGTGACCTGGTATTGGCCACCGGGGGAAGGGGCTGCATCGGCGACCAACATGCCGCTGGGAAGATTTAGCTGACCAGATATCAAACGTCGCGCTGCCTGCGAGCAGATGTCCATCTTAGCGATGTTGCGGCTAAGGTCAACTATCGTCCTTTGCTGGTCTGCTATGATCTTGTCCCGTTCAGCGATGGTCTTGTGCTGATCCGCTATGGTTTTGTCCCCATCCAAGGTGTGGGCAAGGCGTAACGCTTTTTCTGCCTCCAACTCTAACTTCACTTGCTGTAATTCCGCCTCTAGCTTAAAGATTTTCTCCTGCAGAGGTTTGTTGGTAGAAGAGGTCGAACCCAGCACGGATTTGAGAAATTGATCCAGGCCTTGTGCTGCTTCGCCCGGAAGGTCGGAAAGGTGGGGTAGGACGGGCCGTCTGGTGCTGAGGATGTCAGTAGCTGGCGATACCTCTGCATGTGTGCTGTCGACCTGAGCATCCGCAAGTGCGTGGGTAGTATTCGGGTGCCTACCGCCCACATTGTAATGAGAAACGGTACGCTCAGCGTTCACCCGACTGCTGGTAGCCGTTATGGAAGGCCTGTCGCGTACCTGCAATCGCAAAGGGCCTGCAGATGCAGTAGGCGTTGCGGATAGGAGAGGGCCTGTGGTCGAGAGGGGTGGGGTCAACCGATCCGAGCTAGCGACATCATTGGATGAGTTTCTGTGCGTATGCGATGGCAGAGGGCCTGGAGATGCAGGAGAGCCTATGTGTCGGTGAGGGGTGGCTGGGTCATTATGGGTATGGGATGAGCCCTTAAGCTTAGGTCTGGTAGATGCGGGTGTGGATGGCGGCGGCGTAGGGGAGGTAGGACTTGTGCCGATGAGCTTGCTCCTGGTGACACGTCCGGGTCTCATATTACGCTGAACTTTCCTCAGAGATAATCGAACGTTGTCATCCAATACATGTGTGGCGGGATCCGTACGCCACACCTGGTAGTAAGCGGCCAAAGTGGCCTGGGGATTATCACCCGTTGACGATGCTAAAACACGCGCCTCTCCGACGTCTAGTTGGTAGGCCTCGCGTAAATAAGCCTGCCTCAGGTCCTGGGACCAGCTACAATCCATACCACGACCCTTCCCGCATTGAATGCATCGCAATTCATGTTGAGAAGAATTTCCAGAAATAGGGTATCTGCATTTGATATTTTTTTGTGCACACTGGGTGCACTGTAAAGGGTTAGCGTTAGAATGGCATCTGTGAAAACATCCTACCCCTTCTGCGATGTCACAATACCAACGCACAAAGCTAACGTCTGTAGTGCACGCCATGACGGCTTTCATAAAACCAGGGGCGATGTCCTGAGCAGTGTAGCGCACCTGAAGCGGTGCGCCTAATGGAATGTGCGAGGGCATATCTTCAGGGCGGCCGTAGGTAGGCAAATCATCGATTGAACCGTCACCAAGCCCCTCATCATCTACTTCCTCATCATCAGAAATAATGAGCACCACCTTCTTCTTCCGTCTAAGGCCCTTACTCTCCTGTGCGCCATCGTCCAACTGCTCGCTGCCTTGTAGCTCTGCTCCTTGCCTTACGTGCGAAGGTCCATCCTGGGATGAAGATTCGCGGCGGGTTGACTTAGCCATTAGAACGTTGTGAAAAATTGGGCTCGGTGGGGCAGCAGCCGTACTATTATGCGTGTGGTCTGACTTAGCATGGGGGTCTTGGTAATCACACCAAGTCAATGCCAAACTCCGCTCACGAGCAGTCAGTGGTACTCGGAGTTTCAATTGTTGGCACTTTAGTTGCACTTTAGCCGCTTTATTATTTGTGCGTCGCACACAATCGAGAGCTAGAAAGTGCATTTTTGTCCTCCACATTTGCGAGGACGAGCCCGGAGGTGCGATTCATGTCAAACCTCAAAGGACAATAGATGTGAAAAAAAACCATGTGGCACATCTAGAAGCCGTACGTCATAACAAAGGGTCAAACAAAAGTTGTCAAATTTTTGAAGACGAGACTCGAGATAAACTCGTGACCAGTCTGATGAGTACATCACTTGACTTTGGGGATTTGTACTTTGCAGACACTAGCTGCTAATCTATATGTTATGACCAACCTAAATCACGAGTTTTCACACTTGCCCATGTCCACATCTGCCGCTTTACATGCTCTCGACCGTCACGGACTTTACAGACACGCTTTTACGGTACATGGTAACATCAAAATGGAATTTCAAGAATTTACCTTTCACGTCCGACGCTCAGACGTCCGCGTCAGCTCTGATCTGAGTCATGGCGTGAAAATGTAGGCGTTGAAGTGTGTCCTCGAACCGAACACACCAAAGTGCTTAAGCCGCGTGTTTATACCGGTAAGGAGATGGCGCAAGAATCATATCTGATCCGATCATCAGAGATCTGGCAATCAAAGTATAGTATAGTCTATTGTAATACTAGGACCGCGAAACCGCCGAATTTCAGTCGTGTTCAGGTGAACATCGACAAACTTCACAAACTTTCCCACGAAACACGGTCAATGACCGGAGGAGCTAGGCTTGTGACCAGCCTGGCCTAATATAAGTACTGGTATTATCCTCCGCACGCGATACCTTACTCCTCTGCACGCTATGAATTATAAGATTTGTTCATTATAATACTGCTGTCAGTTCAGTTGCCTTGCATTCGAGGCTCCTAGTGAATCTTATATATGTCTCGCGTAGCCTCGCGGAGCTTATTTTTCAATATAGGCTCAACGAGGAGTTGGTCAAAACATATAGCCACATCTTTCAGCCTCGCTCAGCAACTTGTGGGTTCTGACTGGGAGTAAATTACTATCAGTTAGAACTCCCGATAGGTATGTCTCCCACAAACAGACTTCGCGTCAACGTTACGCCAGAAATTCTTTGCGAGGCCGTGACATTCTAGCTAGAATCCAAGCGGCCTATCATTTTTTTGCTGATTCTGGGATGGCCCTTTCCGGCTGTTCAGCAACGTGCAGCGCTGTCTTGGAGGGCGTATTACCCCCGTATGATGAAATTGGTGCTCTGTTACTGGTGCCTGCGGGGGGACGGGTGCTGATTGCGATAATAGCTGTGGAACCTGAGAGAAAGGTTCATAAAGAGTTGGGCGCAGAGAACCTGTTGGAGGAGGAATCTGTGAACGCTGGTCAGACCTTGCAGGGTCAAAAATACAGTGGGTCATCAAACCATGGTCAACCGCGTTACACGAGGCGCGTTCTGCATGTCTTGGGCTGAATGATATTTGGCAAGCCGGTATGCTCAAGGCGTCTAAGACATACCAGAATTGATCAGTTATGATTGGTAGCCAGTTCCGATGGACCTACCTGAGACCTTGGCTATGTCATCTTCTGTGAACCCGTAACATTCAACTGCGAAGCGAGAAGCATCAGGTGAAGCGGGTTTATGAGAAGGAGGCGTCGGAAGGGATGCTGAAGGCAGAGATGCGGGCATCCAGGGACGCTGAATGAGGCCCATCAACAGCTCGCTGCGCCAGAACGTAGCAAGTGTACGCAACGATACAAGGAAGGAATAAGATGCAAAGTAGTGTCCGATGGCTGGCACATGGATTGAGACGATGATTCGCCCCTGTAAGTTTGAGACGACTAACTTGCCAATCATGAGCAATACTCCACGTGCAGTCGTGTACTCGAGAGTCCTCTTGGTAGGCATTGGAAAAATCAATTAACTCGGCGCGAGGGCTCAGGGTTACAAAGTGCCCCGAGGAGGACTTCTTCTGTGAGAAGAATGACGTTTTGCAGTTGATCGACTTCCTGGGGATAAATGAGCTCAGTTGGAGCAACGAAAACATGTTACATGCTGGGCTCTCGCTGTGTATAAGGGAGACATCTTTTCCTGTAATTTTAGCCTGACACGCCCTTGCTACGTCGCGAAGCCTGCGTCCGCACTCCTCCGTCTTTGTTGCAAGGAATATGCAGGAAGCTGCCATGTCCTAGAAGGAACGTCTTCCGCATCATCTAGAAATTGTGAGATAAGAATGCCTGTCTGTGATAATCTTCCATGGAATATCTCATAAAAAAGCGGTGAAGCTAGGTCACGGCTATAAACATGGCGGAAGTGGGGCTGCGGAATGAAACGGGCGTGAAAAGAAGATTGAGAGGCAGCAATTGACCAAGGGCTGACGATTTAAGGGGAGAACAAAAGCGGAACAAAAATTCGACGCCCCTAGGTGGATCATACAGCTCCTTCGCGATCGTAAATAGACGGGAGGCGAGCATAGATGCTCGCCGAGTGGTGGTGATGAAATTCCCCACCCAAGCGTGGACGCTTGGGTGAGAGAATTAGGCAGCAGGCGAGCGCAAGCGCTCGCCATTGTAGGGCCATGGTAACGGCAATTTCTGCCCAAGCGTGGATGCTTGGGTGAGAGAATTGGGCAGCAGGCGAGCGCAGGTGCTTGCCGTTCTGGGGAGATGGTGATGGCAATTTCCACCCAAGCGTGAACGCTTGAGTAAGAGAGTTTAGCGGCAAGCAAGCGCAAGCGCTTGTCGTTCTGGGGCGATGATGATGGCAATTTCTACCCAGGCGTGAGCGCTTGAGTAAGAGAGTTGAGCAGCAGGCGAGCGCAGGTGCTTGTCGTTCTGGGGCGATGGTGATGGCAATTTCTACCCAAGCGTAAACGCTTGGGTGAGAGACTTTGGCGGCAGGCAAGCGCAGGCGCTTGCCGTTGTGGGATGGTGGTGATGGCAACTTCCACCCAAGCGTGAACGCTTGGATGAGAGAATTTGGCAGCAGGCAAGCGCAGGCGCTCGCTGTTTTGAGACAATGGTGATGGCGATTCACACCCAAGCGTGAACGCTTGGATGAGAGAATTTGGCAGCAGGCAAGCGCAGGCGCTCGCTGTTTTGAGAAAATTGTGATGGCGATTCACACCCGAGCGTAGACGCCTGGGCGGGAGAATCAGGCAGCAGGCAATAGCACTCGCAATCCCCTTCCAAAGCGTTGACGCTATGGTGTAGGCGCTCGCACTTACTGGGCAAGCATGTGGATTTTTGGTCCTGGTAGACCATCGACGGGCAAAAAGGAGATGCAGCATGGGGCCTGGTTAGACCCGGTGCGCCATGGAAGACAAGGATGTACATATGCTGAGTGGCAAGGAAAGGTTTCGCACCGCCTTACATCAGCATTCCCAAAAGGAAGAGGCGCAGGATGACTCATCACACCCAGGGATATGTATCGATAGATATTAGACATCGAAACCATAGACCATATCGACTCCTTTGGAAGTGTTTAGAATAAACCGGCACTTTTCGAGAAGAAAAGATAAAGATCGAGAATTGTTTAGATGAGATTCTCGTCCGGCTTAGATGGGTTTTTGCATCAAAAAGGATCCTGTTTGGCTGGAAAGATACACGTCTAATGCAATAGAATGAGTATCGACGGGTATCGCTATGAATGGGTGCTATTATGGTGATATAGGGTAGGGTATCCGCTGCTCGTCTGGGTCACCAGCCATCCTGCTTCGCACCATATCGCCTACTAGAGCTGCTATCCACGCTCCTCGGGTCCACTGATTGCAGAAACAGAGACTAATCCGAACCGGGAACACCTTGAGCAGACGACGACGAGTTGAGCTGGAAAAGAGGATATCAGTATGTGATCCAGAACGAGAAAAACACAACACTCACGCGAGCAGCGGCAGGCTTGTACTAACCTATGATAGTGGCAAGTTAGCTCTTCTTGGTCAGCAACTAAGTGGCACCCCGAAGAAGACCCCGAAACAGCAACGCACCCAACGGCGCCTCCGCCGCCTCTACGCCCACCAAATCTTCCCTTTTTTCTCCTCGAATCCTCCTTATATCCCAATTTCCTAGTTATTCTTTATTGTTTATTCTGCCTTTACACTACTCGAAAACCCATGTCGGAGGAACCAGGCCCCCTCAGCCAGGAACCAAAAACAAGGCCCAAACGCGGAACAGCATCCTTCCGCCCACCCAATAGATCGATTCCAGACCTTATAAGCAACCCAATAAGTAGATGAGAATACAGCAAGGGCAGAACTAGCAAGGCGATTCTTTATCACGCCTGCCTCCGAAATCACCCTAGACACGCTAGTAGCGGCTCTACTAGACTTCACGGTGCAGGCCAACTCCCTTACTCCTATGCATGTGGACATCATACGGGCGGTGGCGATACTCCTCTTCACGACAGATCACGACAGGAAAACTAAACTCTTAGCGGATACTATCGTAGAAAGAATGCAGGAACCACTCGCTAGGCTAGAGGAAGTAGCGACGAAACATGAATCCAAGATGGACATTCTGACTCGGGTTACGGATGAAGTGCGTGATTCCCTAGACTCTGCTACATCAAGAGTCGCAGAAGCTACGGAACAATCGCAACTTGCAGCAACAGAGCTCTCGAAAGACAGAATCAACCATGAATGGTCAGTGAATACACCGCAAAATGATAGTCCTCATTCCTACGCGAAAGCCCTCAAATCGAACAACGCAAGACCAACCCCCAGCATGCTAGCCAAAAGCGAAGCGCAAAACAAGCAAGTACTACTTGACAAGGAAGCAGCTCAAACCTGACCGATCTTACGGAGAATGAGCTGGTAAAAAGGGCCTCTAAGGCTCTCGACACCCTGAGAGAACAGGGCTTTGACATCCCAGAAAAGGCTGACTTCACAAGCGTCCGGAAACTCAAACGTGGCGGTGCGCTATTCGAGGTGGACGGTCCTGACACCAAACTCTGGCTTAACACCCCCAGCAACGGCAAAGCTTTTGCTCAAGAATTCGGAGGAGACACGACTATCAAAGACCGCACTTTTCAAGTAATCGCTGAATACGTACCAATCTCCTTCAATCTCGAATCAAGCTCAGACCTCAGGGAAATAGAGGAACGGAGTAACCTCAGCCCAGGCACCATAGTGAAGGCCAAATGGCTCAAACCTGTCGCCAGACGCAACCCAGGACGGAGAACTGCTTTCTGTGTCATCGCATGCGCATCTAGGAAAAGTGCCAATGAAGTGATCAGACTTGGCATAACCATCGAAGGCAGGAAATCTGCGGCTCGCAAACTCCTCCCGGAGCCCACCAGATGCCTCAAATGCCAGCAGCTTTCCAGCTCGCACATCGCTTTCAACTGCCCGAACAAGGAAGACACCTGTGGCACATGTGCCGACACACCGTCCACTCCCAATGCTGCCACCACCAACCCCAATCATTCCCCCTCCCCCTCCACTCAAAGCAACGCAACGAGCATCGCTGGTAGCCTCTCACCAACACGCCCCCAATGAGGGACGAAGCCCAATCCAACAATGGCAACGGCAGCACCCACCTCCGCATTTGGCAACAAAACCTCCACGAAGGATAAGTCAATAAAGGAAGGGTGACTGACGACATCGCCGACATACTACTCATCTAGTAGATGAATTTATCCCCAGGTTTGCACAAACAGCATCAGAATTACTAGCATACAAGCTACCAAATGACTGGTGACCGAGAACCGAGTGACTGGTTACTATGGAATGTTGAATTCACCCAAGATGTCAGTCACATGCATGGGGTAGTAGTGCTGACAGTTTCCCGGATGTATCAGGTTGTTTGTGGAATTTTCAATTTCAGCCGTTGCTCAGTACAACCAAACATTAGCCACCAAGTAAGTATGTAAGGAAGTGCCAAGATCAAAGTAGTTCTGGTGACAACTCTATCCGAGTCGCTGGAACCTTTACCCAAATCCCTGAGTCGCTATTTCGCAGGGGTAGATTGAATATCATCGAAGTGCGCATGGATTAAGGAAAGTAAGTCTGTTAAGTCGGTGTCTGCCTGGCTATCGCCAGTAGGTAGATCTTGTTGCGAGATTAGCTGTAACACGCAGTCTGCAAGCTGTGTGTGAGCGCTCATGGTCGCGAATTCTTGCTCTTGCTCGGCGAGCTTCCCTAGTAATTGCTCCGTCTCTACCTCTAGGTGGCGGATCTTTTGTTCCAGGCCATTGATGACCCCATCCTGTAGCTTCCCATTCTCTAGCTCCTGATCTTGGCGGACGAGCCTGCCTCGCAGTTGATCATTTTCTACCTCTAGTAGGCAGATTTTTTGTTCCAAGCATTTGCCGGCAACCCCCTGTTTCAGCTGCCCATTTTCCAGCGTTAGCGAGCAGATCCTATCCTCCAGGCTTCTGGTGACAGCAACGTGTCTAGAACTTTGTTGATCCACAACGCTTCTGAGAAAGTCGCATGTCTGCAATGAACCTTGCAGCATTTTCAACAGGTACGATTCGGCCTCCTGACGATTAGTGAGATCTGCCTGCAAGGATAGGTCCTCCACGACAAGTTTTGCTAGTCCATTCGACAAGGTAGCCATATTGGACTTGAGTCTGACGATATCACAGGAGGGAAGTCGGGGATCCTGTGCGGCATTACTGTGGATATTTAGCGTAGTGATGTTTAGAGGTGTAGTCGTAGGCGGGGAAAAATTCGCAGGCACTACGGTAGGGATGCTTTGGAGCTGACACAGGCCTGGAGAAATGGGTGTCGAAGCTGAAAGAGGTGGAAGGTGCCCTGCGAGGAGTCGGTCAGGGATTTGGGGGTAAAAGCTGCAACCTACCTAGAGAAAATCTGACAGGTGCATGTGTCGAGGTACCCTGGGATGAGGGTGGTGGTGGTGGGGACGCCTGGACTGGAGATGGTGGGGACGCCTGGACGGGAGATGGTGGGGACGCCTGGACGGGAGGTGGTGGGGACGCCTGGACGGGAGATGGTGGGGACACCTGGACTGGAGGTGGTGGGGACGCCTGGACGGGAGGTGGTGGGGACGCCTGGACGGGAGATGGTGGGGACGCCTGGACGGGAGATGGTGGGGACGCCTGGACTGGAGGTGGCTGTTCCGGTGGGGAAGGAACTATCAGCTTGATGCGCTTAAGTGGCTTACGCTGTGGCTCAGGCAAAGACGATTGCGTCGAGGGGTGTTGTGCAGATGTCTGCTGCATGAGGCGGCTATGCCGTACGGGAGTGACCCTGTTATTATTCCTCTTGCGTGGGTGCTCCCAGGAAAGGTTTGTATGAAGGGCCTTCAAGCGCTCTCGCAACTCGTCGTCAGAGGAGCGTCTAGCGGGTTCTGCAATCCAAGTCTGGTAGTACCTGCTTAGAGTACCTTGTGGATCTTTTTCCTTCGAGGATGCCAATACATATGCCTCTCCAACATCTAGCTGGTATGCCTCGCGTATATATACCTCCAAGAGATCTTGGAGCCAGCTACATACCCCACCGTGTTCATTGCGGCAAGCAGTGCATCTAAAGTTGCGCTGGGTGTCGTTCGCCATAGGCGGGTACCCGCAGGCCACTACCTTTTTTGCACACGCGCTGCACTGAGATGAAAATTAGCGTCAGCACCATGTTTGAATAGCAAACGAAACTTACTTCACGAGGGCATGTGGTCATAAACCATCGAATAAAGCTGGGCTTGCTAACCTCGAGCTTAGCTTCCTTCAGGAATGTGGGGGTGAGATCCCTGGCAGTCCTGCGCGTGACTGGCGCGCCTAAGGAGATATGAGATGGCATGTTTGAGGGGCGAGCGCATGTTAGCTGGGACGGGTTGTCCTCAGGGTCGAGATCCTCATGCATTTTCCTTTTACCTACAGCTCGAACGCGTCGTTGCTCCTCCGCAGGATCCCTCTCGTCCGATCTACCCACCATCAGTTCCGCAGGATCCCTCGTGCCTCCAGAACCACCAACACCACCTACGATTTGCGAGGGGAGAGATCCTACTCTCTGTCCACTGGAGCTATTCTTGACCTTGCGTGCCATTGTATCAAGTGGATGTGCAAGTTAGTAACGGCCGGTCTGGGTGCTTGTCTGCGCGTTCTGTATCTGGGGTCAGGCCCGGGTATTAAAGCGGAGTTTCAAGAGCTGCCCGCCCGCTGCTCTACATCACATCGCCAATTGTCCATCATGGATTCGGTGATACCAGCATCGTCACAGGATAATATTGCCTTCCTTACCAGCCTGTCCCTATCCATACGCCATCGACAAAAAATGTCTTCTCAACAACATACTCCTCGACGACGTGCCCTCACTGTCACCAGTGTCCAAGTTCCTAAAGGGCCCCCCTGCCCTATCTACAACTCTGGATTCGCGAATGCCTTGACGTGAGGAAGTCCTTCCCCAGTCTGCCGTTCCCGCCGGCCGTTTTAGACGCGCAATCTACAAGCACTTTGTCCGGTGTGTCTGCGAGTCCCCCACATGCACCATGATATGAATTTTTTTTGATCAGCCACAACTTGAAGCTCCTGACCCCAGCAGGCACGTTTAGGAAAGATGGTACAATCCTGAAGTTCATTCGTTTTACATGGAGACCGTGAAATGGCAGCAGCTAGTAGCCCTTATGCAAATGAACGTTTGAACCAGCGCCGTGATTTTGATATCTGTCGTACCAGTGGCTGACTTCCATCCCTTGCTTCGTCGTCTCCTTCTCCATTCACACTGTAGACCTCTACTCACATGAATGATTATTATGTACATCAAATGGCCACCGTAACTTCAGCTCAGCATTACAGCAGATGTGTCTTGTCCCTAGCAACGTTTTCTATGGACGACTATACCGTCTTTGCACCTGTTTACGGATTTATTGAGTGTAACTTATGATACTTATCTTCGTTTTTTTGTTTCTCGCCTTGAAGATGCTTATGCATCTCATGATTCTTTCCGCCCAGACCTGACCTTACCTTTTACTGCATGACTGCCGCATCTCCTGCCTGACTTCACATAATGATAGGAGTGTCTAGTTCATTCTCTGCCGCCGTACTGTTGTATGTCGGATCTTTGTAACGTGACGCGCCGCACTTGTGTGACGTCATCGATTTTGCGATACGCCGCTGGTTGTGATGCCTTTGCGAGTACTCATCATATCGTCGTTTTCTGCTCAGTCTTTCAGGCCATCCGAAGCGCCGCCTGTGTCAGCAGTGAGCACCAACCTTGCTTGCTCCCAGGCTGATTTTCTCACCTAAATATCCTACAGTAGAGTCATCAATTTCTCTGTAATGTTGACGAAGTTGTTTGAACTCTCAAGCACTAACTGTGAAAAATCTGGTTTCTTTAGTAGTCCTGAAATATCGAACGATCTACTACTGCGAGTGAATTCTGGCAAATACAGGAAAATTGTCCTGTTTAGTGCGTATCTCGAAATTCTACTCACTCACCACACCCACACAATCAACTTTACGGCGGCTTCTACTTCCGACTCAGCCAGCATCGGTCTCCAGCATCCTAATGTCCAGTCTGTCAGCTCAAGGGATATCTATCGGTCCCGCACAGATGAATTCATTGAATCACGGAAAAGAAATGTGTTGAGGGGCGGGTTAAAAGATGAAACTACTACCACTTCGTTCAGTACTCTTCGGCTCTCGTATTCGGCTCACACGTGGAAGTTACGAACATGAGACTGATTGCACATGTCCCATATTGATTATATAGAGTTTGTAAAGTTTTACCATCTTTTTGTAATCGCTCTCGCAACAAATCTATGTATGGTTTTGAACCCTGCCGAGCCGTCGCAAGCCGAAATGCCGTCCTCAAACGCCAGAGCGATCGATCAAATGCATTAGTAATTTGTTTGGCTATCTACATAGAAACAAATAGCCCGTGGTCACTCCGAGGCAGCTCGTATCATCATGGCCTCCTCTTCGTCCTCAGCTCCATCCAAAGATCCATACCTTCAGCTCAAGGGTGTGGAACATAGGAAGCTCGGTGAGGAATCTGGGGAGGTGATGGAGCAGGTGGACTCTGCAGGCTACGAACACCAGGAGAGAGGACAGCACAAGAGAAAAAACCAGCAGGATGATCTTTTGGAGAGAAGGAAAAGGCGTATGAGAGAGCCATTACAGATGCGGTCTGCGGAAGAGCCTGCGCAGGGGAGATTTGCGCTCATGCAGAAGGACCACCCGGTCAAGGAGTCCGCCTCGAATGACATCAGGATAAAAGAGGACCTCGCTTCTGACTTGATACCCTCTGAGATGCCCTACGGGACTGAGACTGTCCGGTGGCACAACGGCCAGGTCACCGTACTTCCTGCAGTCATGCGCGACGGACACAATGTCCTTGAAAATGATGCAAAACGTGTTCGCCAGATGGCAGCCCTCCCGATCTCATCACCAGCTTCCTTTCGCGTCGACCACATCGATGCAACGGGCCTGCAGGACGGAGATCTCCGTAGTCGAGTATCTGCTGCTTTGAGGGATGGCCGTTGTGCGGTCGTACACAGGGCAGCGGAGCCGGGCCCTGAAAAACTTACTCTGCAATATCTACATGATCAGTTTGGAATATCTGACCGGCTGTGCTCCCTCCACGGTCAGCTGAAACGTATATGCGCCACTTATTACTCACTGTTGCATTAGACATGGCACGACGCGCTGATGATTGGACACACCCCCACAAAGATGGGACCATAGGGCGCCTATTGGATGGAATTCAATATCCTGATGAGCAGCTTTGCGCTCTGGACATCCCGCTCCCTGCCTTTACGGTCCCGTCGCCCTTCGAGTACGTCTGCCTCACGATTGAACATGATGCTAAACAAATTCACTTCATTAGAACCTTAGACCATGCTGCCGTCTATGCATGGGGCGAGACCACACATGAATACCCCTTGGAAGACACCCGACCCCATCCAGATGCCTTCCTGAACCGAAGTTGGGGTCTTCTGCATCAAGCCGGAATTTATACAGCTCCTCACCATGACTCAAATGGCCGCAGCACATTTGTCAGAATCGTGTCTGGCATGAAGATGTGGGCCGTTTACGACCTGGAAGATACCTCAACATCTCGTGACGAGGCTTCAGACGCATTCTACAGGCTCTGTGACATAGACAGCGATCTTTCCCAACTTCCGAAGGGCTTGGTGGCAGAGGTCGTGGTGCTCCACGCGGGCGACATGCTGTAAGCTTCAATGGATCTCCCCTATACCTTACCCTGACCTGCATGCCACAGATTTATGCCACCCGGGAAATTTCATGAGGTCTATACGCCGCTGGTGACGTTTGCTATGGGTGGGCACTTCCTTTCTTACCTCACCATGCACCTGTCCGAGTGGTCATGCTTTCTGGACAATCTGTACGGGTCTCTATTTACCAACCAGGAACATCAAGATACCCTTTTGGTCCTGCGTCGCATGGTGGTGGCTGTCCCACGGTTGTCCCATTGCAGTAGGTTACGCTTTATCTTACTAGCGATTGATATTCACGATTGCCCCGTCGGTTAGAGCTGTACTATCGCGCAATAGTAGCACTCTGTACCATGGTGCTCAACCCAGGTCAGTATATATCACAGCGTGCTAGTGAGGATGGAGACATGCCGCATCAATTTGGCAAGGGGGGGAAGAAGGCAAGGAGACGGAAAGCGGTTAAGACTGCTTCTAAAAATAACGTAGAATCGAAGCACTGCATTGACAGGGCCGATGAAATTGCGAACCGTGTCCTGCAGACCCTTAAACTCGACGGCTCACGGGCTGCGTCGGTCTTGGATGACCAACCATACGATGAGGTGGGAAATGAGGTCGAACTTGGGGACGAACTTGCACAGTTCCAAGCATATTGAGTGGTCACGGTGATAAGTAGATACACGTGATACCCCAGACCAAGGATATCTGGTGACACTTTGGTATTCATGGTATCTGCTTCATTTCTAGCGCGGTGTTTTGCATATAGAGCTACGGATCAAAAGGTGGGACTTTGATCGACATTTCGACTAGCTATAGACAGTGTATCAAAAAATGGAAAAAGTACCTACTGTTCTAGCGTAGATATCACGATTCGCAAATGATGTATTGGATATTGAGGCCATGAAGTGTCTGCAACATCATGATGAAAGGGTGCTTGAAAATTTGAAGTAAACTTAGAAAGGCGTCTGGTATATAACGAGGTCAGGCTCCGACTCGGAGCTTACGCTGGACGATGCAAGGGTATAGCAGGCCAGATGTGTGATGATATGTCATACATTGCTTAAATAATGGTCCTAGCAAAAGTTTGGACGTTAGATACTGTCTGAAGGCATCTAGGGACTTTTAATGGCGGGAATGGAGCCAGTCTTTGCACTTTGCTTCCCTGTGGTCTGCAGGTGATGCTGTGTTGTCGAAGGTGGTTCCCACATCAGGGAAAACTCCGGATTTTGCCAAGCGCTCAGCGCTTGCTTTCAGCTATGAGGATGAGCCGTTTCTTGATACATCTTCCGTCAAGTAGACTGCAGGCACACGTACCTAGGGACATCCTCACATCGTCGTGAGGACGGATGAAGGCAGGGCACTCCAATATTCAATGGCAGACTGATTCCTCCTTCTGATGGCACAATGAGCATACGGTGGGTGGGAGTTTCGATATGCAGTAGAGATGCTTGTTAAAAGGGATGTGGCCGGTTCCGAGTCTGAACAGGAGTAAGCTTTGTTGACGGTCAGTGGTGGGGCTAGCAAACTGCGATTGATGCTGCGGAGGGTTCATGCTTTGGAGTTTGGGGTATAGTGGGCCAAATGCACTATTACTATTAAATCACGTGCACGCACAATTTTCGCGCGCGCGCAGACACTTCAACGTTTTCCATATAACGCAGCGGTGTATAGCAGTTCAACGTAGAGTCAAATATAAAATAAGTGCTTGGGTCAAAACAGTCTGGGGGATTAGGTATCAAGTCAAATTAGTTGCTTGTATGCCCGGGCCGTAAGTATAAACGAAAAAAGTGATCAATGTTCGATACCGTCATTTCCTATCCCAGGGTTTGGCCTTTGGTTTGACGAACATCCTGAATGCTGATCTAGATTATGCGAGTCGGGGAACGTTAATCAGCGCCTGCAGATTCCGTGGACGGCCAAAACCAAGATGCCTGGGCCCATGTGCTGCATGAGTCGAAGAAACTGAGGCAGAAGCAGTGGTAGTAGTATTAGTAGTTGTAAAGGTACTGCTGGACTCGGATTCGAGTCGGAGGGTACTAGTAGCATATGTTCTTCGGGAGTACCAAAATCAATAGCATGATTGTCGCCGTAGTATTCATCCACCGGTGTGACACTGGCAAGCAGTGTGCTTGATACTAAGTCATCCAGCGGTACGTTCGAAGTTGGTTTGTCTTCAGCTGGCAGGATCTCATTCGAACGAAGGTCTTCCAACATCTCAGGCTCTTATTCCAGCCGTGTCACATCAATTTGTGCCACACTGCTCCTCTCGTCGCCACTGAGGTTGGCGAAAATTTAATGCTGTGTAAAAAACGGATGGGACTTACATTCTATACCAGTGTCTACCGGTGTAGTATTTATTGAACCTGACCCTGCGAGCTCCATCTGATGGTCAGAGGCAACTTCAAAATAGGTAGTAAGAATGCAAAATAATGAATGGAGAAGTTGTCACATAGCTCGGCGGCGCTTTCTTTGCGGCAGGTTTGTCCTTTCACCTTTACCGCTGTGATCTTCCACCAGTTCAAACATCAGAATCTGAGTCAGAATCAAGGAAGGTCGCAAACAACTTGGTACCACCGGATCGAGTTCGTTTTGTAAGATTAGGAGAGTCTGAGCATAAGAATGGTGAGAATGTATGAGCAGGAAGAGTCAATCAAGGTGCGAAACCTTTTCCCTTTGGGAGCACTGACACCTCATTCTCAGACTCATCCACGTCATCGCTTCGAACTGTGCCTATGTCCTCTGCCCCTACAACTTCGCTCATTGAATCATCAAAAGAATCTGGGTCCCTTCGCGCATGGTACCTGGACAATGAGTTACCATATACGAGTCATGACATGCCGAGTAAGTTTCTACTATCGAGTCAGGACTCACCGAAATAAATGAACTGATCAGTCCACTTCCGTCCAGCAGGATGACGAGTCCTCAAAATTTCACTGCCTGTAAGTCCCTCCTGACTGCTCTTGACCATATTCTTGCCACTTTTGACAATCAAATACCAGCGAAACCCATCAGCACCTGCCGGTGTCGAGTCGAGGCAATCAAAGAGACGAGGGAAGAGAGTGCGCAGATATCCATCAATGTCACTTTTTGTCATGCCTGGCGCAAGTCCACTGCGCCCTCTGGACTTCGGTGAATGGCCTGAAGCTGCTGGCCGACAGGTATTGTGCTGAATTGACGTCGAGGAACCTTGGCTCCCGTCGCTTCAAACACCTCCTGGTCGTATCGTGGTTCAGTGCACTCTGGACAATGGTCGAGAGATGCGAAAGGGGCGGTAAAGCCAATACACGTGTTAAGACACATGTCGTGCTTTATCTCCTCGACTCCAGTGATTTGCGAAACAAGGGACTTTAATCTGACGGTGTGAGCTCCATGTCATTATTATACTCCTTGATCGCAGAGGCTGCTTTCGTGTAGTCATCATCAGCATTATTGAGCGCGAGGTACAGGTGGACAGCGAGTTTGAGTTCAGGGTCGTCGTCGATGGAAGATGGGTGATTAGGTGGATTCCTGAGTCTCTCGGTAGCATCTGGACTTAGACCAGTACCGGAACCATCTAATTATGCATTCTGAAGTGCAAGGATGCAAGCGAGAGATGCACGTAAGTCTCCGCGCTTGACATTGGCATAGATATTATCGAGAACCTCCTCGTCCGCATCCAGAGGTTCGGGAACGGGAAATGAATTGTCTGGATTTTCCTCGACTGGATGAGCTTGTGGAGAGCTAGTGTTTCGGGGAGGATGCTCTTCAAAGTGTTCCCTCTTCTCTGAATCTTGGTATTGCTAATGCAGATATGAGCTCGTTACTACGTTGCATGAAACGGCTATACAAGACTCACACGATCAAAAATTTCTCGTAGATCTGTAGCGTGACCAGAATCATGGTCTATATGCTCGTGCAAACCATGTGAGGCTATACTTCCGAAGTCTTTGACATTAGCAGGTGGTTGGGATGAGTGTGAAGATGGACGTGACATGTTTGACATAGAGGCTTCCTCAGGTTGCGCATGATTCAAGTTGCTCCGTACTCCTCTGAGTGGATTGACAAAGCTAGGTGTGCCCGTTGAAGTGAATGACATGTCTTCCTGGCGATATTTCTCATGGGTGCGGTAGGTGCTTCTGCTGACTTTGTTCGAGACACCATTGCATTTCCTGACACACGAACAGGTGTATTCGCGTTGCGTGGGGAGACAAGGTAGCGAGGGAGAAGCGGTATCACCTGGGAGGTAATCAGACTCCCACCATATACGAGGGGAACACGTGGGGATAATGCTACTGGCGATAGAACTTTTGAGGGAAGGAGGGAAGGAAACATTGGCTTTCCGCATCGACAATTAGGCAACTATACATGCTCACAAATGAAAATGAGGCCTAGGACCAATCTTCGTCTTTGTAGCTATATTTGATTACTAATCTATCTACCTGCCTGACTTCGAATAACTAGAAAATGCAGATCCCGTTGCCCCCAGAATGGCTTGTGGGCATCATGGCGGCTCCATGCAAGAGGCTGCGGGAGATCCCGAGCCGCCATGGGCCCATCTTCCCGGTCACCGGTCACGAGTCGTCCTTCTTTGGCACTTGTCCCTCGTACCTCAGAAGGAACATCTTTACCATCGAAGTATAATGAAGCACCTCAAATCTCCACTTTGATCCGTTTCAGGTCTCTTCGCGGTAAAACTAATTCACATAACAGGTGACTTGGAGTATGAACTTGATGCAGAGAGCATTCATCGTGTCGTCTTTTGACAAAAAGAAATACATTACTGTGGATCGATATAATAAAATGTACTATTTTTAAGAGAAGGGGGTTTATAATGTGCCATGATATATCAACGATAGTATATATCATCGGTCTATTGACATCAGCCTCATGGGCAGGGTCACCAGTACTCTTTTTTAAACTCCGCCCTCCAAACGCAAGGTTCCTTTTGGGAACGGTGTCACGTGGATGAAGAACGAGCGGAGTTTTAAAAACGACCGTGTGACTCACATGGACGAAAGCGGAAAAAAACCTTTGCTAAGCCGGCGGACAGTCGGACTCAATGACAAAGTAGTTTGAGATACATAGTACTTTATCTGACTTACTTACTAACTACATAGGTTACAGGTATTCGTATTACGCATTCTGTATTTCTCTACTTACCTCCCTTGTACTGGGTTTCGCGCTCGTAATTCTAACTCGACTCTTCCATCATCCAAACGTTTCCCTCTCCAGGCGGTTACGCTTCGGACACAATCGGCTCCATGGAGAAACTCAACAATGAAAGTTACGGTAGATTCCAGTGGCACCACAGACCACCTAGCGGAGTTACTCTTTCCTCAGATAGTGACTCTGGCGATCATATAGATGCTGACGGCGCCATCTCTGAAGACGATTACCTTTATCCTGACGTAGTCACGCATCCAGCAGCTACCACATGGATTGGTAAGGGAAGAATATTCCCGGCTACTGCAGTGGAAATTCCGGATGACCTGGAGTCACTTTACGATGCGACTATGGCCGTTCCCAACGAGATACGCGCAGCTGTGCTTCCTGACCCCCATCTTCCAGTCTCCTGTTTCCTTGAGTTTCAGCTGCCAAGGATCTCGTTGAAAGACGCTGAGGAGCAGGCCGAGTCTTATTTTCAAACTACACCTGCACGATTCAACCTGATGGCGCTGAAATCGCAAGATCTTCCTCCCAAGCAGTTTGTTGATGATGCATACCGGGCCGTCGGTCAAGCTCTTTTGGATGGGAAGCTTTCGATACACGATCCGTACCATGCGTCCCAACCGTTACCTCTCTGGGTCATCACATTGTGGAAGGAGCTGCATGGCGCGCATAGGGTCAAACCCGCTTGGATGAACGGAAACAGCTGGTTACAAAACCGGATAGAAGAAGGTGGCCCAGATACGGCGATATTTCTTAGGGCGCAAAGGCACCTGGCCCTTCTCTCCTGGGACCGGCTGCTTGTTGGCTCAGCTGCTTCCGGCTCGATAACTACCGCGGTTCTTGCAGGTTTCTTATCCAGTAGCACTTGGATGTCGGGTACCTTGATGGACTCAATGTCAGCCTGTATGGCCTCTCGGATCTGCGACACGAGTCTTGTAATCCCCCAAGCCCTCATCGTCGATACGACTTTCATGTTGGAAATTAATAGGGCGAAGGATGCCTCATACTTCAAGGGGAAAGTGAGCCGGTCGCTGCGGGAGCTTGAGAAAAGTCTGGAGATGCCGAAGATCCTTTATGCCCCCGTTTTTCTCAACGAACAGATGCATTGGATCTCACTTGCGATTGATTTCACCACTAGATCCTTCTGCTGCGGTGAGCACCCTTTCTGCGGGTGATCAGCGGACGTACTGATGTCACATCAGGGGACTCCTATGCTGACGAGGACTCTACTATCCCAAAGCCTCTTGTTCGAAAGCTGCAGTGGTGGCTCACAGCACGTTTCGCCGGTCCATTCGTCAATCGTGGGCTCACCTTGCCCCACGCGAAGCAGGGTGACTCGTCCTCGTGTGGCATATTTGCTATCAATGCCATCGAGCATGCCGTCTTCAAGCAGCCATTGTGTGGCCCCAACGCTGCCGTCGAGCGTGCTAGGTGGTTCTGCTTGACATCCAGCAGCCAGTGCCACGATCGAGTGGAGCCCAGTCCGGCCCTGTCAACGACATTACCGCAAGCTGAGTATGCAAGACTCGAGCGGGAGCGTGCAGAGCGCCGGAGGGCAGACCGGGAGATATTAGAGCGGTCATCTTTTGAGTGCGATGATGCTGCGTCCCAGCAATCAGCACGCAGGAAGTTGATAGGTACGCTTGAGGCTATGCTACATATGAGCAGGAGGGTAGACAATGAGAGGAAGAGGTCAGGGCACAAAAAGGTGGTACAGGTGCAAGCAGATTTGGAACGGTCCGAGCAAGGAGGGGCTGAGAATGAAAAGGCAGAGCTTCGAGAGGCTGGACAGGAGCAAGGGGATTTGGAACGGGCTGAGCATGAAAAGGAGGAGCGCGAAGAGGCAATACAGGGGCAAGCCAATTGGAAACGGGCTGAGCAGGGGAGGGCCACGCACGAAAAGGTAGAGTGCGAAGAGGCGTGGCGGGGGCAAGCAGCGGGCAAGCAGCGGGCAGAGCATGAGCGCAACAACATGAGGCCCGCAGAGGTTGAGCTGAAACAGGCTGAGCAAGGGAAAGGTCAGCGCGAAAGGACAGAGTCGGGTGATATGGTTGTGGAGGCCTCCTGCAAGCAGGTGAACGCTGAATGTAAGCCTTTCTGCCACACCCATATGGTAGAAGATCTAAACCCTGTCACCTCTAGTGCCTCCCGTTCTTGGCACATCACGGCAGGCCTCGCCTACTGTATCGCTTACATCGGTCCCAAGTAGTTGGACCATCGACAGGTTGAATAATTCACCTGAGATTGACAACAGCATGACTCGCTGGGTTATCGGGCAATTTAACCGCCCCTTTGTACGGTTCAACTCAGACTTACGTGTACCAACGATCCAGCCCCCTTTGAACCTTCCGTTTGTCTCCAAAGGGCGCTTGGATGTTTCGAAGAGGACTGAGGTAAGGCTTCGCCTGTGGCGAGCTCAATACCCAAATGTGCCCGTCTGGTTTTTAGCCTTTCGCTGCCTCTCTCGTGGACTTGACTGGAGGGTGTTCCTCAGCATTTCTGACTTGGCTGCCCACCATCGCAGCCCCGCCCTACCCCGCCCTGCCTATCTCGACGTAATGCCCCGCGGTCTTACTGAAAACGGTAACGCCGTTGACGCGTACGTGCGTCAAGTCAGGCGGCTTCTTGGCTACCCACATGCTCGACGTTTTCTTACCATGGGCGGCCTTGTGTGGCGTATCGCATTGCACTATGGGCCACCAGACCTTTTTTCAGCAGCTCTGTCGCCCCCATCCACCGATGCCACTCTGCATCTCCATTTCGACAGATTTGGCTCAGACATCGACGACAGGGTCACAGATGGTGAGATAGATCTCCTGCTAGGGATCACTGATCGCGGTAGCCTCTGGCCTACCCCCGACCTATGGTGGAGGTGGCAGAAGTGGCAAGGAGAATGGTCTGAAGACCTCGAGCGCTGGTTTCAAGAGCGTATTGCGGTGATGACGTCTCGCCCTCGGTCTGCCCTTCTTACCCATGCACGATGGAAGTCTTCCATTAGACGACATACTCAAGTCGCGCTGGAGGACCCTTCCACAGTGGGTACCGAAGCACACGCAGCTTGGCTTTGCACCGAGATCACCCGCCTATATCCATCTACAGAGACCTACACGGCTTTACAATAGTGTCTCTGATAGTTCTTAGTCGCATACTACCTATCACTAACCAGCCTAGGGCCGCGCTACTACGTGATTCTACATAGTACGGCGCTGACTACATACAGGGGACTTGACTATGGAGCTACGCATGCTACTCTGACTATACTATCCCCTTGATTTTTCCTGATGCCCAGTATGAATATATTACGGGCACTGTAGGATCGTGAATATACATACAAGGAACCACAACACGCTTGAATCTACGGTTTGTTTGGACGACAAGCACCGGGAGGTTCCAGTGACTTCTACAAACCATTATATCCACCTCATAATGGTTGCAATCAGGTAAAATATGGTAAGTGGTTAAATAATGTCATATATGCCTCTAAATTGAGGAAGATCGCATTGCATCATCGTTACTAATTAATGAGTAGTGTTACTGTAATGGTGACACAGAGTGTAAATCTCGAACCCAATGAGCTGTGTAATTCGATTCAGTTCTCAGTTTTGAGTTGAAAAGAATTTGGTCATTTTCGAACCGAGTCGAGTTCACATCGAATTTAACTCGTTTCGACAGCAACACTGCGACGGATGCGATTCCTTACATTTCTCAGAGTATGTGGCTAAAACCTATCTCGATAGCGGATTCAGGAAGCTCCCCAGGAAGTAAGTAGCAGGAGTCAGGACCGTCACGGACCGTCATCCGACTCGATGGCATTGGAGTTGTCCCAAACCTTTTCCAAGTGGAGCTGATCGCCCACAGCATCCCATGCCGAGTCGTCCAAAACCCCTACAGCTTCTGTATCGTCAAGTTCGAGGTGAAGCAGCAAGCGCCGAGCGATCTTCATAGCGCTGTCGACGCAGTCCTTGGAATCAAACTCACCACCAGACACCACTTCGATCGTCTTCGTCTTGCTGGACGGTGGCGGTGTCTCACCGTCACGCTGCTGCGAGACGTAGGAAATTGGGTCGAGGATCATCAAAGCTAGGGCCACCGTGGGGCGATGGTAGGTCTCTACTCGCGGGGAAATCGTTGGGACCCAGGGTAGATGAAGTGCAAAAAAACTTACTGAGGGGCATGTAAGGTAAGGCCGCCATCATCCGGCGCAAGGTTACAAAGGTACCTTTGCGTTCTTGCCCCGTGTACGTTTTACCATGGGAATTGTCCAGGAACAGAGACCACTCCGAGAGGTGCATGGTATCATAGCGTAAGAATGTACCAACCTCCTCATACGTTAGCAGCCCAGCATATCGTGCGTAGAACTGACCAGGTGGCATAAATCTGTATTAAGTTAGTTGGAGTACAAACAAACGTTTGGTGGAAACATACAAGAGGTCCCCGGGACGCAGGTCAACTATCTCTGCCTCTAAGCCGTCTGGAAGTTGAGGGCGGTCATAATCGATCTCACACAGCGCCAGAAACTGGTCAATCGTCTGGTCGCGACTTAGGAATCTATCCTTGAGGCGATACACGATGAAAAAATTCATACAACCCACAACGCTGAAAGACGTCCCAAACCCATTGGAAGTGTGTCGTGGGAGGGTGAGGGTACCACCTTGGTAGATGTTGGCCCAGCGTCGGTACAAGAGCAGGTCGGGGTGAAGTCGAGTTTTGTGGAAGGGAAGGATGTGCATGGTATGAGCCCATGCACATACAAAAGCGTGGTCTAGAAGTCTGGTGACGTGAGCACATCTAGCGTGTCAAATGAGTTGTTACTCACTGAAAGGGCTGGGGGAGGGTACACGCAGGGAGCGGAATGTCAAGGGCGCATCGCAGCTCCTTAGGATCGTCGGCCCCAGACAACAATTGGTCTATCGTTGCATCTATACAGGGATGCACCTTGCCAATCGCACGTTGTTCCATGTCTAAGGCAAGGGTGAGCAAAGAAGTGTCGGAGGACGTGTGCTTCAACCAACCGTGGTGGGTGGTACGCAGCCACGGAGGAATCCCGCGCTCGACCAGATACTCTGCGGTGAGCTTTTCGGGACCCGGCTTCGCTGCACCACGCACAACCGCACATCGCCCACCCCTCAACGTTTCCTCAACCCGTTGGCAGAGATCTGCATCATTCACGCCAATAGGATCTATGTGTTCGACATGGTGGGATCCTGGCATTGAGAGGGGCAGGGTTGCTAGCTGACGAACATACTTTGCGTCGCCTTCACATACGTTACGTCCGTCGCGCATGACGGTTGGGAGTACCGTAGTCTGCCCATTTGGCCACTGGACTACGTCTTCTGTAGGGGGCACCTCTGAGGAGGTCTTGGCTGAGGGGGAGTCCGTGTGGTGAAGTCTGACGGCGAGACCTTCGTCGAAGGTGGGGGCATCACCAGTGAGATCCAGCACCATGGGCCATGGGCCCTCCTCCTGTACCTTTGATCTGTCCCTTGCCCGTTTGTCCCTTTGATTGCGCTTCTTGCGTTCTTTGTCTGCCTCTGCGAGCTTGGGATCCTGAAGTTCCAGCTGCTTTCGCTTTTGGTAGTAGCGTTTGTTGGACTCAGATTTCCTACGCTTGATAGCTTGCTCATCATCTGCCATGGCACCACACGCCGCCTTCGTCAAGTCAAGCAAAGTTGGTATTATTACGTTCCCGACTCCCACGGTAGTGGAGGAGGGTTTTGTCTGCAACAAACGTGCGTGGGAAAATTCTATTCGTGGGAAACTGGTTTCAGAACTGGGTTACACCTGCATCAGGTAACCGACCCGAAAAAGATAAATTCTTAGAAAGCTTTAGTCCTACTTAGTACTCACACCTGAGACACAGCCGAAAAAGTTCTGTAAACAGATGTGATACATATCTTGAGAAAAATTATGCATGTTTCTACCTATTTGCCTATTGTGCGGATGATGGAAAGTTTCTGGATAAAATCACAAATATGAGTAAGGATCAAATTCTATAAAACGCCTCTCCAAGGATACAATTGTTTATGCATATTTCACGTGACATTTCCAAGGCCATATGGAGGATTAAGGTCACATCAAACTTAAGGTCTGCCCAACTGATAAGCCCGAAAACAAAATTTTAAAATTATCATCTGTCAATGTGATAAATTTGTTTGTAATTTGTAGATATGTGCAGCGAGTACATGAGCTCAGTAGACTGATGTAAGTCACTAATATTGAATATATACCTGCAGCGAGTACACAAGCTACAGGATCAGTTAGATAAGTATGTACTAGCTAGATAGAATGTACTGACCTCAGTCATCAGGCATTTGACCAGAGTATGACAAAGGTTTGGCTAGCTTTATCTAATGTATAATACCAACAATAGTGTTACTCAAAATAAGTTTTGAAAACTCGCTTAACGCGCTTAACACACTTTGAACTCTTAAATAAAGTTGGTTTCAACTTGCTCAGAACTTGCTCAGAACATGCTCAGCGCACGTCGGCACGAAGTTGGAGATTCAAACACTTGTGATTTTTCAAACTGTATGTTCATAGGGGAAAGTCATACTTAGAGTAAAAAAAGCAACCCGTAGTAGATATACATCATATTTCAAATGTTAGCATTCATAAAAAAAGGGAGTCTGCAGAAGAACGAAATCAGCCGTAGGTAGTGAACACCGAAGGGACTAAATAAGTGCGGAGGGGAGGAGGACACATGAAAAAGATCTGCATGAATCTGCAGAGACATAAGGCAAAGTGAAAGATGATGTTGTAGTGGTGGAGAGTACGGCTATCTTCGAGCTGCTTTCCAGGATGCTGCCGCGGCTCAAGCCTTGAGTTGAGTGGATAATGAAGTGCGCTACTTGATGTGGGCAGACAAAGGCTGGATCTTGAGTGGTGCTGTGCTCTTGTGAGCCCATACCGGCACGGTAATGTTTGGCGGATAAGCCATAGTCGTTTCGCAGTTGCTCAGCAAGTTCCTCACACTCCAACTTCGAGAAGCCGTACACAATGCCAGTATGGGTAGCGTGCTGTGACTTGATGAAACCAGCAATGGCTTGAACCACCTTCTTTTTCGTGGACGGTTTAGGCTGTGCTGTGGCATAGTACAGGTTGGGGCGGTTGAAAGACTGCATCAGGCATAAGGGGTCACCTAAACCTAAGCATGCCTTGAGCCAGCTGGATTGGAATGAGCGCAGAGTCGATCCCACAAGAAGGGGAGTGTAGAAGGTGTAGGGGGTAGTGAGGAACCAGCGGCTTGGCGGTAAAATTGAGCTGCTGTTGGTCATGTGTGGGACCGGCACTAGAATAGATTTCCTGTAAGATAAGGGTGAATGTTAGCTGGAACTTGCAAGAGGCACAGGAAGTACTTACCTTGGGTTGGTGACACCTGAAAATTTGGTGTCCTGCTCAGTGCTGTGGGTGAGCATTGAGGCTGGAGGGTGAGGTCAATGTTGACACCAACATGCTCACTGCGAGACAAAACTTCAGATCTTTCCGAAATTTCAAACTCCGCCACAAACAACGTCACATATACACCAAATGGATAGGAGTTTTGATTCCCTCGACTCCCGCCCTCGCCCCCCAATTGTGACTATGCCTCAACCATCCATCCATAGAGATCTCCTGGCTATTGTAGATCAGGCTGAACTTTCCCTGGCCAAGCTACAGTACCAGGATATTCTGGACGATTGGTCTGACTTTGAGAGCGATTCTGACTCCGAGGACTCACTATCAACTACTTCGGATGATGATAATTCAATCAATCTATCTTTTAGCTCACCTTCCCCCCCCCTCCCCCCTCTCCCCTATGAACAGGGACTTCAGATTCTTCCAGTGATGGTTCTATCTCTTCTGATGACATCACTGTGCCTTACGACCGCCTCCGTGACACCATTAATGCTCTTTGTGATAAGGTTAAGAGGGCTCGTGTACTCCAGAAGCCTGATGAGCCTCCCCCACGAGCACCTCAGCTTCACATGTTGGTTCATCAAGAGGAACACCGCCCTCACTTGTTTCAGCAGAAACTCCGCGTTAACCCCGAGATCTTCGATGACATCCTTGATTTTATCTCTGATCATCCCATCTTCCAAAATCAGTCCAACAATCCTCAGCTCCCTGTCTCCATTCAACTTGCCATTTTTTTGAATCGAGCTGGCCACTATGGAAATGCTATTACTCTTGAAGATGTTGCTCAATGGGCAGGCATGAGTGTTGGGTCTGTGGTTAATTGCACTAATTGTGTGATGATTGTGGTGCTTGATGCTCACGATCAGTTTATCTGCTTCCCAGCGGATAATTCTGAGGATGCTGACCTGGCTCACAAATTTGCCGAGTCGCGTACCTGCCCAGAGTGGAAGGGTGGCTTTCTAGCAATTGATGGCTCAACTATGAATCTTTTCACCAAACCTGGTTACTTCGGTGAGACATTTTATGATAGGAAATCCAAATATTCCCTTGGCTGTCAGGTTTTTTTTTTTTTAATCTTCATGTGCAAAAATTGATTTAATTCTAGGCAGTCATTTTGCCCCATAACCTTCTCATTGTGGATTATTCTCTGGGTCATCCTGGGAGTGTCCATGATGCATTCGCTTTTCGATCTACCCGTCTCTATGAAGAGCATGCTGACCTTCTACCTGATGGTCATTGGGTGTGGGCTGACAGTACATATCCATTGGAGCCATGGTGCATTGCCCCTTTCAAGAAGCCTCGCAATGGGCGGTTGACTAAGGACCAGAAGACATTTAATTATCACCTCTTTTCAATGAATTGATTTTTTTTAGATCCGTGTTCATGTTGAACATACATTTGCTGTTTTAAAGGGACGATTCCAGTCCCTTCGAGAGCTCCGGTTTAGGATTCAGGCTGAGAAAGACCTTGAATTTGCTGTGCAGTGGATCAAGTGCTGCATTATCCTACACAACATGATCATTCGGTTTGAAATACATCATCGCAAGCAAGATGGCACTTATGAGAGCTCTCTCAAGTGGGCTCGTGATGAGGGTAAAGACTTCATTGATCAGGAGTTTGAGGATCCAGATGGTGATGAAGTAGTTGGTGACAGGAATTATGAGGGCACTCCAGGTCAGGCTGCTCGTGCAAAGCTGATGGATGATCTCTTCAATAGTCCTCACTCAGATGCACAACATAGGGAAAGATAATCTCTCTCATATCAGATTTGACATGTACTACCACAAAGAAATATGTACAACATATGTATGCAGCCATGTAACAACAAATGTCAAATGAATTTTTTAAAAAAAAAAACAAGATGGTTAAAAAAACATGAAATGCGACTCTAAAAAACATGAAAGTGATACAGTGACAGACAGAGATGACAGACACAACGACAACAAACAACTCATGCAGCTCCATCCAACGCCGAGGCTCTGCCACCCTGTGTCATCTGGTGGAATTGTATCTTGAGGCAGAGGGTCTCAGCCTCCTTGTCGAGCACCTGCGAATGTGCTTCGTGCACCCGTATATCCACTTCACGAAGGCGAATCTCCGTGTCCTTATCCTCCTGTTGGCGCCAATGGTTGAGGGCCACTTGAGATATCTCATGATCCCGCATTGAGCGAAGCCACTCATATTTTTTTGATTCATGATGATGCTCAGACTTTACCTCGAGTTTTGTGAGGAACCACTGATGCTTGCTGTCATAACGCGACATAGCATCCGACTGTAAGCTCTTGATCTCACCCCGGAACTGGTCCACCTGCTGCATAACGTCAAATTTAGCCTTCTTCTTCGAGCTCCCTGCACTGACTGGCAGTGACGTCTGTGGGGTCGGCGACCCAATATAGTCCAACGACGATGCAGATGTTGTGTTGCGTGTTGTCGATGACGGCATTGACATGCTGCGTGCAATCTCTGGTGCCGCTTTGCGTCGCCCCCCATGGCTCAACGGCCTCTGCGCACCAAATGCAGAGCGGTTGTCATATGAAGATGCTGGGGACTTGGTGGGAATTTGAAATGGTCGTGGTTGTGGGGCTGAAGGAGGGGGAGAAGGTGACACAGCAAATTGTCGTTTGGTCCCCGCAACTTGGGGAGGGTTATTGGCGGTACTGGTATCATCGTACATAATCTCATCATCATCAAGGTGGTTTAAAGCATCCCCAAGGGGGGAGTCTAATGGGCTGCTCTCCAAATGACTGTTGTCACGTTGGGGGGCAAAGTCGTCACGGATCTCAACATTGGGGGAGTTACAGAGTCCAGGAAGGTGTGTCTGAGGCTGAGGTAAGGTAAGGGTGGGAGCAGGAGCAGCTGGACGCAGTTGCGGATCAATTGCAGGATTGCCATGCAAATTCATAGCAAGAGAGGCTCTAGGTGGATATGTAGTTGCGGCAGGAAATGCGCTATGGGAGGTATATATGTTGTAGGGCTGGGAGTTTGAGGAGGACTGAGCATCATGAGTAGGTACAGAAGACCGTTGAGCACTGGCGTCAAAATGCATGGCGGGACCGGCCCTGCCATGTGGTTGGACGAGTGAATACAAGGCGCCTGCATGATCGGCCCCTGGCTTGGATGAGTGAGTCTTGGCGGCCATGGACGGGTTGGAATGCCAGATTTGATCAAGCTCTGTGTACCACGGGAGCTCAATAAGAACTGCGTCTATAAGAACCAAAAGCAAGTGACAGACGACTCACCTAACAAATTTTTCGTAGCCATGTCACCTAGCGGCACCACACCGGCACCAGTATCACTGAATTTCGCCTTGAGTTTCTTGTATTTTGTTCTGAGACTTAAGGGACTTAGTGTATATAAGAATGAGAGAACAAGAGAACTTACTTTGTGATGCGGTTGGAGACTGCATCACGAAATTTCTTCTGATTCTGTTCATATGCACCGCCATACTTGGGGTGGCCCTCAAAGATGAGCTGGGCGATAAAGCTATAAATCTGGCCTTTGTCTGAGCCTGAGGGGCCGTCATCAACAGAGGCCATTGCCTTCTTCCCATCGGAATAGAAGAGCATTCTGCAGTCAGCAGGGTGAGTTGATAGATGATTTACCAGGACATCGGTTAAAGAGTTTTCACTTTGCCACTGGATCGCTATCCTGGGGCCAGAAGATTCAGGAGGGAGCTTTGCCAACGGTCCTTCAGGGGGGGTGGTTGAGCGTCCATAGATTTTGAGCACAATTGAGCATTAGCCCGAAGTCGTGCAGACCGGTGACCATGTTGACGAAGGGGAGGCATTGGAATTGAAACTCTGCCTTGTGGTGGTCGCCTGACTTTGAATTGAGCCACATCAAAGGGTGTTTGGCCGAGAGTTTGAAGCCTCTAGCCGAGAGTTTGAAGCTTCTAACCGAGATTTTGAAACATAATTAGCCGAGTTTTGAGTAACACTAATATCTATCACAATTGCAGATCATATGACAAAGAAATAGATAGGTAGACTATGTAGGTAGGATCTCCCAAAGCTATAATATTGATAGGTCTATGGTACCACATTATAGTCTACTAACATACTGAAGTGCTGTTGTCAGACATATCTACTACTGCATAGGTAGCTTTCAATGACAGAAGTTACAATCACTGACATTGTGTCAGGGGATAATATCAAATTATCATACTCTATCAAGATGCTATTCTTCAACTGAGTGTGTCTGGCTTTAGATAGGCAGCTTCTGATGGCAAAAGCTACAATCACTGACATTGTGCCAGGAGATTATATTAGGTCATCACACCATATCAAGATGATGATTTTTCACCAAGCATGTCTACAGTTATAAGGACAGATCCTGAAGGTGGAAGCCACAATCATTGGCAACATGTCTAGGGGTAATATTGGGTTATTATGCCCTTTCGAGCTGCTCTTGTTCAACTGAACACATCTGCTATTACATGGGCAGCTTCCTATGGGGTAAGCTACCTTCAACAACATCAAGTGGAGCTCTGGCACTGAGTTATCAAGTCCTATCAATATGATAGTCTTCAACCAAGCATGCCTACTGTTACATAGATAGCTTCTGATGGCGTAAGCTACCATCAGTAATACTCAGTTGAGGTCTGACATTATATTGTGGTCACACTTTGATAACTTCATATAGATAGATTCCCAAATCAATTGCATTAGGATATAGGCCTACAGACAGTACTATTATGAAGATAAAGAATTAATTAGAAGCAGTGACTCGTTCTTGCAAGGCAGCACGTCTTTCCTGGATCTTCGACAATGCACTATTTTTACTGATGCTGCACTGCGAAGAAGATGAGTTAGGAAAAATACGACTATGAATGGTGTCAACTTAGAAAGCTTGAAAGTCAATCACATGCATTACGAACCACGTCCACCATGTTAGCAGGTCAGTCACTTCCTCATTTTCATCAGGATCATCCAACAAATCAAGAATGCTATGGTAGAAGTTTTCCGAGTCCGTGACCGTGTTGGTACGTGAAAATACTGATGATGAACTTAACGCAAAGTGAACCTGAAAGAACAATCAGTAGGGGCAGATATGTATAATCAGATTTGCGTACCTGTGTAGCAATATAAGCTAGGGATCCTTTAGTGACAGATTTCATGCCGTGAAGATACACATTGCCAGATCGTGTAGCCTTCAGTTCTTTATCCACCAAGCTCGGAGATGTGAAGACGTGTTTAAAACCCTATGAAGGGAAAGTATTTGGAGTGGGAACTTTATCATCACTAAAATGAGCTTACAGAAATGAGAATTTTGCTCCTCAACAAACCCTTCCATGGATCTTCCACATCGTAGTCAGACCCAGCATATAGAAAAATGGGCCACTGGTGGATCGGCCAGCACTGCACTCGAGAGAAGGAGGAAAACCTGGCTGATGTGACTGCATGGAGATGATGATGTCTGCAACATGCACTAAGCCTATGTCTACTACCGTGACCCCGGACACCGTCGGGCCTCTGCCACCTCTCGCCTCACTCCTAACTCCAGCACTCTGCTACTCCGCCTGCCCTAAACTCCAGCACTCTGCCATTGCTCCTGCCTGATCGAGTCCTCTGGAATGTCCCGCCAGCATGCCCCGCTACATATGCCCCCCCCAGGAATGCGACCCTCCGGAGGCGCACACGGTTCTACTCGTCCTCCTCTTTGAAGCTGTCTGACTCTTTCAACTCTTCTTCGACTTCTTAAAGATCATCTTCCCATGGTCTATTGATTTCTGCTTCATCGTCTCCGCTCATATCTCCCAATACCGCTTGTAGTTCTGCTAGCGCTGTGCCGTCGCATGGAATGAATCTCCTCAGACATCTAGCGTGAAATAGTCCGTTGAGTGGGAAGCCCTCAAGAGTGTCTAGCATATATGAGTTGCCGATGCGATCGACAACTCGACGCGGGGCTGACCAACGCAGTTGTAGCTTACACGTCGATGCCATTGTGAACTCTAATGCATTAGCGTAGACTTGTACAAGTTGTCCAGTCTCAAATATAACTTCACCTGTATGCGAGCGAAGAACTTTGTGGTCGAACACGGCTTTGCGTTGTGCGGAATGGGCGACAGTGTGATCAGTGCCGTCCAAACACTGCTGGTCGACGTATGCCATGTGGATGTCGACTTCAGAGGTACTCAATTCCGTTGATGCGTCTGCGACTGATGTCGGGCTAGTGTTGATGACCAGGCCCAATAGTAGCTCTTTTGGGGAGAATTTGAAGGCAGGAATGATATGTTCGTTCAATTGACGTATGGTGGTATCGAAATGGTCCGGCCATGACTTGGCTAAGTTTCCTACATCCGAGTTTTCGTACTCATCCTCTCCTAACCCCGGGCTACACAGTCTCTTCAATCTACCCAAGAGCTTCCCATTGGTATTCTCTACTAAGCCGTTGATCCAGGGCACGTAAGCTGCAACTACGTGGTGTTTGGATTCATGTGCTGTACACCACGTACGCACGTTTCCGTTGTCAAAGTGCGACCCACCGTCTGTCATAAACATGTCGGGTGCCCGAAAGGTATGCGCTATGGAGTTGAGTCCATCCACCGTTGTCTTTGCTGTACCGTGTATTTTCAGCTTGAATCCCCAGACGTACTGCGAATATGTGTCGAGGATCAATAGGACATTATGGAAACCGTTTTTGCCCTTTGGAAGGGCTAAATAGTCTGCTACTAGCAGTTCGAAGGGGTGGCATCGAGTAATCGGGTACAGCAGAGAGTGCAGTTGTGTTAACCCAAAGTTCTTACATTGTGGGCACTCCAGCAGCACATTTACAATAGACTTATCCAATCTAGGGCTGATGATGTGATCCATCAGTTGGAGTTTAGTAAGGTCTCTGCCCCAGTGCCCATTGTCAGTATGTACTTGCCGTGCCATCTCCTTAGCCTCCAGTTGCGAAACACATTCTAACTGTGCTCGTGCTCGCGTAGATTTGCCATCCGCTATGCGCCATAAACGTCCTTCCTCAATCATATATCCTATAGCGCGATGTCGTGCTCTGTGACGCTCGTGCTCGGGTTTGCTGCTATCAAGGTCTAGTAGCACTGCTATGACTTCCAAGAACAAGGGTTCTTGTTTGAAGCGCTCTTGTAGTTCTGCAATTGCTGTGTCAGTAGGTTGTATGAGGAGGAGATCATTTACTAAGCCGTGAGATGCTTCCCAGTCCTCGCTCACAGACCACGCGCTCCCATCTCCATTCGTTCGTGGTCATCCTGACATACGGCGACTCAGAGCATCTGCTGCTGTGTTAGTGGCTCCTGGACGATGGCGGACTGCAATGATCTGGTAAGTGAGTATCCCTTCACGCCAACATGCGTGTACGAGTGGGAGTTTGTCGCTGAGGAGAGTATCCCGCAGTGCTGTGCAGTCAGTTTCTACTTCTACCGGAAAACCCCATACTGTAGACCCGAAGTGATCAAACACGAACTTTAACATGGCAAACTCCAGTAAGTACGGCTGGTAGCGTTCTTCCGCTGGTGAGGTGCGTTTTGATATGAATCCAATCAGGTGAATACTGGTGACTGTGTCACCTGATGGTCGTTGCGACGTGAACCTTTGTGCTAGTACGGCTCCAAATCCGTCTTTACATCCATCACTAATAATAATGAAGGGTGTTCCGTCGAATTTGGGTGCTTGCAGGATCGGTTCTGATACTAGGATTTGCTTGAGTTTGAGGAATGTCCGGGTGTGTCTCTGCTCCCAGAATGTGTCGAGGCTGCGTTCCCGTAAGTACTGTCTATACTTGCATTTCCCCCCTTTTGCACTGGGGGGTGGGAGGTCCAGGTTCTGTAACAAGTCTGTTAGTGGTAGTACCAAGGGTGCATAATCTTTGATGAGTGCCCTAAAATATCCTGTTAGTCCTAAAAAATGCATTAGTTCTAACAAATTTGCTGGAACGGGCCAATCTGCTACTGCCGCGATCTTTGCTACATCTGGTTTGATACCTTCTTGCCCAACTCGCGATCCTCCAAAGACAACCTCTTCCATGAACAGCTGTGTCTTGGTGGGAGATATGGATAGTCCTCGTTCGCGACACCGCAGGAGGAAGAGAAGTAAGTGTTTCAGTAGTTCTTCGAAGCTGTCACCTGCCATAGCGCCATCGTCCACATAAAGTTCCAGGAGCAACTCCACCATGATGTCATGTAGCGCAAGCACTGTGAGGTCACTAAAGCAGGATGGCGCACCATGTACTCCCATTGGCATGCGCTGGTAGGCCTCATACCCTCGTCCTTCTGTGTAGAAGCATAGAAACGGTTGACTCTCTTCCTCCACAGGGATTGCATAAAAGCCTGCTGCAAAGTCTAGTACACAAATGAACTTGTGTCCCGCTAAGCGCTGCTGTTTCGCCGCAATGTCTCCTTGAGGCATAGTTGCAACATCTGAGACCTTATTGACGTCGTTGAAGTTTTGACATATCCTCCATTTGACTTTGGTAGGATCTACTGGTTCTGGACTGACAACGGGTGCTAAGCTCATGTTCGTATTCAGACTTGGAGGCTCACCGAGTGCGATACATTGTTGGTCGACAATCTGACGGATGTCTTCTAGGGATAGGCTTGTTCCTGAGTGAGCCTTTTGTACCAGTACTGTAGACGCTACTGCTTTCACTTCATCTGAGGGTATGAAGCACATGATTCCCGCGCGCCTCATGTCGTCTAGGACCAGAAACAAATATTCACGTTGCGGTTTTGTTAACGGCCGTTGATGTACCCTCTTCAAGAATGTTGTGTCTCGAGGAATCTGCAGGCAGAATTTAATGAAGTCCACTGGTTTTACCTCCCGGATGGACAACACAAATACATCAGCGAATTCCGCCACCAACTCGTGTGATTTCTGCAATTGTTCTTCATTAAGGTGCGTGCCATATCTTACTGCGTTGACGATAGTTTCTACCCTTGGAGGGTAGAAAGGTCCGTGCATTGTTAATCTGGTAAAAATGTTGTCAGGTAGCGCTGGATGTGACAGATCCAGGACTTCACCTAGTGCTGTCCCTCCGTTGTCTACACTGTCCACATGATAGGTCTCCAGTATGGTAGTCTCTGAGTCTGGATCTATTGCGGTTAGTGGCTCTATGATACAAGGTTCTGGGGATGGTGAGTTGATGTCTACTTGGGGTTCTGGCCTATTAAGTATTAGATTTGGGGCTAACTTAAATTTTGACGAGGAGGGAAATTGTACGGCAGTGGGTAAGCATGGTGTTGGTAGCGGGTGATACGTAGAAAGATTAGGTAGATGAAAATGAGATTCTTTGTGCGGTAAAAGAATGGTGTCAGTACTGTAGTCATGTACTGCGCTTACCTGCTCTAGTAACGGCTTGCCAATGAGCATCCGCCATGACCCGCCACTTGGAAAGACTTCGAAATTCATGTGGACCTGTACTGGTCCCCATGTGAACGTTCCTGTCCAGACACTGGTGGATGGAACTAGGGATCCGTCAGCCATGCACAGAGTTCTAGTTGATGTACTTAGCGGGGATAGGCGTCGCGCGATTCGTTGGTACGCTGCTGTATCTATGGCGTTAATCATTGCTCCATTGTCGATGATGGCAAGAAACCGCACTTTCTCACCTTGCGGGCCATGGAGGTGTGGTACAGTTAGGAACGGGTTACTTGTTCGAGACCGTGCAGGTTTACCAGATGCATCCACCAAATAAACATCAGTAATGGGATTGCTTGACATAAGAGACGGTACAACCAAAGTAGTAAGCGGAGGAGAGTTAAGAGACGAAGATTCTATGTCCCTTGGTGGAGGAACTTCGGAGATAGCAGTATTATATACAATATCTTGTGCTTGCGGAGTGGCTTGTGATTCATAATGGGAAGGAATATCAGGCAGTTGTATAGATGGTGCGATAGATGACGGGCTGGAGGGTACTGGGAATACTGCTGGTCCGTCTGCGGCAGTGGTCCCATGTAATTTTCCGTCCTCCAATCATACCCTGGTTCTTGAGTGGTCCACGTCTCTTGTCCGTCCCATCCACTATAATCCTCTTGTTGCGCCACCGCGTAAACTGGAGCTGGGAGTGATGTTCCATATGAGCCGTAGTAAGGATGCGTTGCTGGGGCAATGTACTGGACTGGGGTTGTTGAATATGCCAGGTTGTTCATCTGCAATGCGGTGCGTCTGAGTAGGCCCGCGACTTGCTGTTGCCAATGAGACTCTTGTGGCCTTAAATGCTCCTGCGCGATGCACTGGGCACCCACATGCGGTGGGTCTGTGACTACACCACAACTGTAACATTCTCCCGAGCTGATGAGTGCTGTGCCTGGACGTAGCGGATATGGTTTGCCGAGGGATGGGAATCCTTCTGTCCCGTGGTTGTGATGCCATAGCTCAATATCCGCTTCGTACTGGCGTACTCCCACTTCGGTGTTGGCTCTTTGAGGCATCATGGCTAACTTCTCCATGATCTGCACTCTGGTTAGCTGTATGTGCGTGAACAGTGACCCTCTCATCCCAAATCCTCCTCGTCCCATTCCCATGAACGTGCCCAGGGTATTTGGTGTTGACATTGGTGGGACTGAGTTCAGCGCGGGGTATATGATTCCTGTTGCATTTGGTTGGATGGCTGGTAGCATTGGTGTGTGTGTTGAGGCTCGATACACTGGTGGGTTAGACCGTTGGTTACTCGCCGACATTTGAGAGAACTGGTACTGGAGGGATGCTAATGATGGTTGCGCCTTCAATTTTGCAATGTCCGCATCCCTGACCCGCTCCTTGTTCAAGTCTTCTTGACCTCTCTTGAGTTTGATACTCGAGACGCTCTGCACATCTTCCAGGAACTCATCCCAATCCGCGTATTCGCACTTGAGGTGGTCCTTCAATAGGTTGGGGACACCTTCTATAACGTATTCAATCAGATATCCTTCCGTATCTCCCATACCCAGGGCTAAACGTGACACTTTGGTCGCCCAAACTACGTGTCCGTAGTTTCCTGCCGTCCATAGCCCGATGTCGTTCTCGTCCAGTACCTCTGCCATGACCCTTCCTTTTGTTGCGTTCGGGAGTACTTAGGTCGTTTGGGAGGTGGCCAGCGTTTCCTAAATGTAGCTCTGAGATCTAGGAATGTACTGATTTGCAGGGATGAGAGGCCCTGGAACCATTCTTCCGCGATTTGCCCTGGAGCAAGTTGCATTGCGAAACGGTCTATTTGCTGTCTATTGGTCCAGGTTTCCGGCAGTGATAACTCAAACTGCACGAACCACTCGGTAGGTTCTTCTTTGTCTCCATAATCTCCCTTGAACAGCGGTACTATCCTTGGATGTTCGCGACTAGTCATGATTGGTAGCGTCAAACTGGTAATCTGCAGTGTGGGAGTAGGTTGGGTGATTGTGAGTGACGAGACTGTAGTGGGCGAAGATGGTGTGCTCTCGTCTGGTTTGGGGGTAAAGTAAGCTGCTCGTAAAGCAAAGGTGAGGTCTCTGGTTTGTTCTTCGTCCCGACTCGGAGAGGATTGGTTTGAGTGTGATATATGAGGTGGGCTTCTGGTACTGCTCAATTCTGATGCTGAACGTTGACGCCCTACGCGAGGCGGAAGTGAAACAATACGACGAAGTGGAGTAGCAGGTGGTTGGTCCTCTGGAAATGCTGAAAAGAAAGTGAGCTGAGTAGGATGGAAAATTGGGTTTCTGTTCCAAGTCTCTCCCATATGCGTAAGTCCCCGAAGTCTTGCACAGTCGTTCACGTTAATCCGTCCTACACTTGTTGTCCCTAAGATTGAGTGCTGGGTCGCTGCCCCACTCTCATCACCAGATGGATCAGCCAGCACTGCACTTGAGAGAAGGAGGAAAACCTGGCTGATGTGACTGCATGGAGATGATGATGTCTGCAACATGCACTAAGCCTATGTCTACTACCGTGACCCCGGACACTGCCGAGCCTCTGCCACCTCTCGCCTCGCTCCTAACTCCAGCACTCTGCTAGCCCCAGCACTCTGCTACTCCGCCTGCCATAAACTCCAGCACTCTGCCATTGATCCTGCCTGATTGAGTCCTCTGGAACGTCCTGCTACACTGGTCACCACGAACAGCGATTTCGCCGCTCTTGAGATTCTGCTTAGTTCTGGGTAGTGTTATAGCAGTTGATTGATGTGATGGTTAAAAAACTTACTCCGCATTTGACCAGTCCAAGCCTGCAGGGCAGAGCAAAGCACCGGTGACTTCGTGGTTAAAACCACGATCGGACTTAATATTCTGGAAGAGGGGTGGTATAACTGCCTGTCCTCTGGGCAAAAGCCATTCAAGGACGGCAGATTTAAGGGTCTTCGTATCGTCGCCTCGCGCACCAGAGGCTCCTTTACTGAGCTGCAAACAGTAAGTATGAGAACTTCTAGAATAAAAAACTTGCCAATTCTCCCATGTGAATCACATCCTCCTCCTCACCATTCGTCAAACGATCTATCAGCCCAGGATATGAATCTATTAGTTTCATGAACACCCCGTGTTCCCGCCGAACACTACCATTGAAAATAGTTGTAAGTCATGGCGACATGTAGATATCACAGTTGTACTCACTCCGCTGGATAATCTTCTATGGGAGAGTCTTGCAGTTCTTCTAGTCGGAGTATACCGGCAGTCAGAAGAGAAGGATAGTTACATAGGGCAAACACTGTCCGACCAAAATGTCGGCCATGAAGAACAAGAGGATTGGATGATGTTCTGATAATGAGGACAAGTCAGGTTGACTGTAGTTCACTACTTGCAAAGAACACTTACACCTTTTTACGCGGGCCCATACGAAGGGCTGAGCCACTATGCTTGTACAGAGGATCGCTGGGAGATGGATTGTTCTCGTCAGTACTCATAATAAGTTGAATTGAGGCTCCAATACCAGTAGTAAATGAAGCACTTTATATGTCCAAACGTCCAGTTACACGTGGCAGAAAAACCTCGCCATCTGAGCGCCATCTGAGCGCCATAGGCATCGCACCCAAAGAAGAGCCTTGCCATCCGGGTGCCACAGATACCGTAACTAAAAAAAAACACGCCATCCTGGTGCCATATGTATTGGATGGCGGGTTACGTCACCAGCAATATTGTCATCTTTGCACGTAAATATTTAATTCTACAACACTGTCACAGCAGTCATCGCACCATTTAAACCTCGAATGCCCAGATCACCCTCTCAAAAGTGTTCTCGACCAAGCGTCCGCATTGGAAGCAATTTCACACTAAAGTGAGCTACTCAGTATGATCAGGCAGGACCAAATTGATATAATTACCTTAAGATTCCAACTTTCCTCTCATGTAGAGGAACTACGCGGCAGTGATTGCAAGTGAGTGATCAAGCATTGCAGGGAATAGGAAAACAGACTTACCGTGCAGGCAGATCAAGCAATTGGTCCACTCAGGAACTCAGAAGGAGATTGGAAATATGACAGGTCTGAAAATAAATCATGTAGGCGTCGACGAGGAGTCTAAAAGCGAGTTAGAATCTGAGCTGCGTCGTGTGAAGGAACAGCTAAGGGGCGCGGAAGATAATATTGCCTACCTTTCAGACCAAATGAGGACGTACAGGTACAGATGGATAGAAAACTATCACCGCGCCAAGAACCTCGAACTTCATATGCCATCTGACATTTATGTACCCGACCTTGACCAGATTCCAGAGGATGCTGCTTCGCCCAAATTGTTTCCAGAGGGGTCATTAGATAATGTAGAGGCAGAGGGAGAGCATAGCTGTGATTTGTAAGTCTGTGTGTGTATCATTTTGCGAGAAAAGCAAGGGCACCTTTGCGAAGACGATACCTGGTGGAAGTTCCAAGATGATATATCGAAATGATGGCCGCTGTAGTCGCAACCGCACGGCCGCGTCTAATGTCAAGTCTGAATTAAATTTGTGTTGACAATTCAAGTTACAAGTTTACCATTATGATGTCCAATGGACAGCCACCGGGCTGCCTCATTTAACGGTTTTGAGCAAGTTTGCTGCCCATCGCAAAAATGACGACATTGGGCAGCCGTGCAACAGCTTAATAAGCTCACTACACCAACATACAAACTATGCTACAACGACATCATATATAGGGGGATCAGTGAAAGTAAAGTAACGAGTACAACTAGAGGTAAAGTAAAGTCCTGATAGTACGTATAAGGTCAGAAAGAAGATTGTGTGAAGGTAAAGAAGGGACTATTATAGTGAATGACTGTATATTCAAACTCAGCTGGCATTCTGCGAAACGCCTACTTGGACATGCTTACAAATATTTGTATTTAAAAATAAACGAGGCAAAAAGATGTTGGCTGCAAAGGACGTGACTTGGAAGTGTTAGGACTATCTAGTGATTCAACTCCGTCAGACTGAAGACCATGCCTGAGGTAATGATTGAGATTAAGTTCATTATTCTCTGAAAGGATCACAGCTACATCTGCTACTCAGGAATTTTAGAGTAGTATCAGACGCCGAGGCTGTCAAAGCTTACCTACTAGCCTCATTGCACAAGCAAGAACTTCTTTGCATGCAGCACCAGAGTGTCAGGGAAACCAGTGAACTGTGTCTGCCGAAGTCCACCATTAGGTTCAAGCGCTGCTCCGAAGAAAATGGAGTGGTACCACTTCTTTCCGGGACCACTTCGTCTGGTGCACCGATCTCGTCTTTCTACATACCAGGCTGGCCATGATCTGAGTGAGGCTTGAAGTATCGTCCGCTGACTAGACCATCAGCGAGCTTGTACATCTGACACTCCAGGCAATCAGCGAGGAGGGCTTAAGTGCAATTTTCCCAATGAGCAGGCTGTCGGAGAGACATAGGTAGAACCTGTGCCGGAAGTCCTTTACCATAATAACAAATTTGGAAGAGGCTATGAAAACAGAGTCTGAATCAGAGGTCATATAGCACTTGTGAGAAGCTATCGCTGTAAATGATAGTTGCTGTCAAAGGTGGGAAACATGCCTATTTCTGAGTTGCTAAGACCCATAGCACCAGCACCAAAGATCAATTGAAACGCAAAACGATCCTCGGCTGTGAGTGAGAAGTCAGCCAGGATGTTTTGCTAGATCTACTGGTTTGAGGGTCAGAATTAGGATGATATCATAATCTTTACAAGTACTCACAAGCTCAGTCATACCCTTCTCGATCTTCTTCTATGTCGCAACATTGATACCAAGGGTACATGGGTGGGTTACAAGGTCTGGATCAATATAGGTGTCACCACATGCGTATACATTTAGAACTAGAACATGACTTACTTTGTTCGGCACCACAGAACCTCTCCAACAAGGAGACGAAGGCTCCTGTCCCAATCTCTGGGATTACCTAGAACGTAGGGCGTCGAAAACATATCTATAAATCTACATTTTAGAGCATTAATGCACGTATACCTGGTGGCTCAGTCGCCATAGGGTCCACTGCAATCATATGTTGTTGCACGTGTTTACATTTTTGTTTCTTGTAGCTGACCGGAAGAGTCCTGCAGGCAATTGCTTCTTGAGATATAACAAATTTATGTTTGTATAGTACACTACGTAGCCTATCGAGACATGTTTTGAACAGGTTCAACCAGACATATCTGATCAAACCGAAGAGTTATTGTAACCGTAGGGGTGATCGTAATCTTAACTACACCGCCCTTGTTGTAACAAGACACTATGGTTTGGATAAGCCCGCGATGCTCCCTGTCCAGAATAAGTACATCTTGGTTTTTCTTGCGTGGGGGAGCTGGGCTCAAGTCACTCATGGGAATATGGTAGTGCTTAATTGTGGCTCCCGCACCATTGGATGTGCACAATGCTGCGACGGAGCCCTTGGGCGCGGGTCCATTCTCACCGCAGAAAGGGTCAGGACAAGCTGTGAATACAAATTGCTTGTTTAACCTGCCTCCCATAAAACTTGGTGATATCTTCAACACCATGTGATAATTGAAGAGCTTCGAGGAAAACTCCTTGGTCATCAACCAAGATAGTGGGCCTGTGATAAACTGAGTACACTTCGTGATGTCTTGAGTGGAGACTTACCGCGGTCTGGCAATTTCTCCGTGCCAATGCTCTCCTGGTTATCGACAGTCCAGGGATCGGAGGTTGACGAGCTAGGATTGATGGTGCTTGACGAAGGGTCATGCGCCACATCAACATCCCCGGGGCTTGCAGACCAAGGGGCCCAACTGTTAAGCGATGAGGGGCTGTCTGTGATGGATGTGGTTGAGGCAGAGGGAGCTATTTCAACAGGTGGTGTGATGCTTTGGGCTGGTGGCGCCAAGTAAGATCTTTTCCGCATCTCACAGAATAAAATCATCTCTGGGCCTTCAAGTATAACACCGCTTAACCTCATTCCATATCTGAACAGCCGTCAACCTTCAAAACACCACAAAATGTGCATGCTGCTCACCTGGTAACGACATCATGGAGTTTGACATTGGTGCGCTGTTGCCCATGCACAGCAACCATGCAGATCTCAGGGGCAAGACTGTAGAGTGTGGCTTGGTAGCCCTTCCGGTCACCCCCAATCACAAAAACTTCCTGGCCAATATCCTTCTTAAAGGATCTAAACTGACGTTGTGTAGTTTAATTGTGAATCCAATTTTAATGTTGATCTGCGACAAGTCAGAGATGCTTTAATCGAGGTGAATGCCACTTATGAGCGAACAGTCCACATCGCATAGCAAGGTCAAGCTAGCGTTCGGAAAATCTATGCTTTGCACGACTCCTCTTGCCCCATACTCAGGCCCATGGGTGACACTCACAGTGTCCCCAGGTCTGACATCATAACCTCTTTCTTTAGTGTATTGGATTGTCTGGGCGAGATCCGTCACCTGAACCATTGCTGTAGGAACTAAGATACTTGAAAGTCCGGAGCCTGTGTTGTCAGGAGTAATGATATCCCGGAACCAGAGTGTGCTTTCTCCTTTGGAGATCCAATCGACGATGCTGTGTTTCCTGATATGCTTTCTGTCCAGGACTTGTATGAAATCCCAAATTTCGATACAGTCAGACTCGGGGGAAGGTGCGAGATGTTGCTGCACTGGCAGCTGTGATTTGATCGTGTGCCTTAAAGGACGCTGATCTAAGTAATACTTCGAAACTTCCACCTGTACACGAAGTGTTAGCGCAGTCCTCCAATAATGTTAATGACACCAGAGATTTACCACTTCCTTAGAGGTCTCTTGACACACGTAAAATACTTCCCCACACATTTTGATGATGTATCCTTCTAAACCTAAGTATGGACCGGCTACAACTCTAACGGTGTTGCCGATCCTAAAGAGGTATTCTATGTCCTGGAGACGAAATTCTATTTTGTCTGGATGCCCCTTGGAATCGATTTCCAAGCCCACAGAACCACAAGCATGGTCAGTTGAGATGACCCTACCGAGAGCTCCATGAAGAGCTCCATTGGTAATCCTGGCCCAGTCACCTATGCGCAAAAGTTGCATGGAAAACTCGACAACAGTTTTCTTCAAGAAGGCTGTGTCCCATCCTGATTCCAGATGGAGTTGGATGGTGTCGGCATGAGGAGAGGCGAGAAGTTCCAGATGATCGTGGAGAAATTTTTTTAGTAAGAGCCCCTTGTAGTAGCTTTCACCTTTGTATGTCCATCCCACCACCTCATCATGAAGAATGATATCGGACACCAAGTTGTTCTTGGGAAGGCGAGATCTCTCGACAAGCACTCGACATCCCCGAGGCATTGGATAAGGGAAGTCGTGTGGAGGACATAGAACTTCGACGATATCCTTTCTGGACTTGAAGACTCTACCAATGTAACCCTTGTACTTGCTGTGCTTAATTCTCACCCACGCTGGGTTAGGAAGTACGACTTGCAAACGTTCGACCGCTTCACATTCTTGTTCCATGATTCAAACATACTGTTTGATGGCGAGATAAAGTGAGGAAGGCAGTGTATCTGCGATAGTTTTTGGGCTATCTGCTACAACATAAAGTTGGCCTGTGAGCCAAGCTGACACGGTAACAGGAAATTTTTTCCTCCGAAGGTATTCAGCGATGTATTCGGTGACTGCTCCTGTGATACGTTTAGTGATATGCCATGTGAACTCAATAAAAACTTACTCTGAATGTGAAGGAGATACATCCTACTTTTGAGTGCTCTATGTGTGGGAGCCTGGCGACTTTGCAATGAAGTGGCTGGATTCTGTCCGAACCGAGTAGCCATTTCGTCGAAGGTCGCAGCCAGCCTCTGTTTTGCCGACAGTCCTGGTAAGCACGTAACCTTTGGTGACCGCACGGACATTCCATCCCCATACTCATCATACCCCTCCTCCTCCTTCTCCTCCTCCTCATCCCCGACCTCAGCAAGCGAGCATGCTTCCTCAATGCAGACATCCTCACAGGGGATGTTTCTGGAGGATCTGTTATGTACGTTTTCCGTAGTTCTGAGAGGTTCCTCAAGGATTCGTCATCATTTGCGTCACCGGAGAATAACAGACGTCGTGGCTCCACCCAGTCATCTGCAGAGTACTGATCACCAAGATATGCTACAAGCACATTGTCCATCTCAGATAATGACATGGACGTGGTGAGGAATTGCTCTAGAATTTTCCATGCACCATTATCATATAGTGCCGATGGTACTGCTGGGTTTCCTGTATCGTGCACATCAATGGTAATGACAGCAATATTCAATTATGCCTTACCTTTGTGACGCTTGGGCGTTGGTTCAGCACCACTGGATCCGGCGCGTTTTGACATGATTCTAGTACATAGCATGATCAATCATTTAGAGTGACGACTATCTTAAGCTTTAACGTACTATGAAATCCGTTAAGTCTATGCTATTCTATAATCTATATGTTATGTCGCTATCTAGTGTATAGCAATCAAGGTAGTTGTAGGAGAAAGAAGACCTGCGAATGCGCAAGATCAGTATTTATAGTGAATTACTATTCTGGATTAGCTAATACGTACAATGACGATTTGTGAGACATGGCAGAATATTGTCCTGGACATGAAACTGTGGACCGCCGGCACAGCAGCATTGTCACGGATGACATTGTGGACCTATGACGCAGCAAGGATCGTATAAGTGTACATGTTAAGTCCTGCCCAAGTAAATGTATGCAGGGTGTGAAAAACATGTGGATAATGAAGTGCCTTCTCCGAAGGTCACCCACTGTAGTGTTCGAGGCGGCAGAGCGAACTGCCGCACAAATCTGAAGTACTACTCTACTGATTCACATAACTAATTCACTAAATATAAAGTAACACCCATGCTATCCATAATCACATGGCTAAGTATAAGCATACATTAATTTCTAGTATTGCGACTTCGGCCTTAAGAGTCAGAAAAAAAGCAAAGTATGTGGAGGACATGGTTGATATACTGAATGACTACATATTCAGATCCAGCTGGCAATGCCCATTTCACACTATTGTATGACGTGCCCACTGACAACTTATGTTGTGGCTATTTCGCATGTTGCCGGCTGAGTTTCAATTGAATAGTCAATCACTATATAACCCCCAGGGCTTCAACGTTTGAATCCTTTCTTTCTCCCGAGTACTAAGGCATAGATAGATATACGAATTATTTTACCATAATGTAGGCTCGTAAAATACGGCATTAATAATAATGTCTTGGCATTGTACGCTGTGTTGGCATTGGGTATGGCGCGCACCTGACTTAAACTTTGTTTGGCGCTGTATTTGCATTCCTAATGCAAGTTACTCAAATTGACACATGTCTTCACGAGCATCTATTTTTGTTTATGTGAATTAGGAAATGGAATGTGTGCCAATGATGGTGCTCTGACAGAGTTATGCTAGGCGCGCCAGATAGCCAGTGAGATAACTTATGCCGTCTACAGTCAATCTCTGACTATGCATTAATCATTACAGGCTCATTTCAACTATTAGGTAAGTCTCCTACGAATCATGCAACTATCAACAATAATTCCGGTGTCCAATAGATAGGATATGGGGACGTGCACGTCTTTGAAAATACCTCACAGGGTAATATGTCGAAGGTACATAGGCCTTCCCAACAAATTTCTCGAGATTCACTCATCAGAAGGTAAGTGCATACATCGTTATTATGTGAATAAGCCCACTTACACATGTACCCGCAACTGCTAGTCACGCACTCAGCAATGTACTCCCCCTTGCAGATCCCTGTGTGGCGCAGAAATATGGATGTTTCAACATATTTGTCATTGGTTGCGCAAAGACAGCACGGGTAGCGAAACACATGCATCTCGCGATAAGCCTGAAATCGGCAAGGGTGGATTTTATCCCCATATCGGTCGGTCGGCCTGTAGCAGGTGTACATGTGAGTCACCAACATCTTTTTATAAAACAAGTGATTCACCATTGAAACATTGTTAGTTCTCCTGTTTGGTTGTGGTAATGAAGTATGCCATGGCGGCAAATCAGGATGCTCACTAGCATCTTCACAACCTTGGGATCAGCCTCAAAGTCGAATTCTGTGGATATGGTTGAGCATCCAGAGCACGGAGAAGATGGTGCAGACATTTCAGGATTTAGATAGAATATGACTGAATTTGTATATCCAACATTTATATAGATATACATGGGCCTGCTGCTTCTTCCTTCAATCCCCATCCATATTCTGCCATTCAGCTACCATTCTGTCATTCAGCTACCATTCCGCCATTGCCATCTCGCCATTTCACCATCACTAAATCTTGCCATTCTCTGCTCTTCGGCTGCCATTGCGCCATCCATCATTTACCTATTAATACCCCCATTGAGACTATTGGCCATACTTTCATGTCAATGTCCGTTTACACCTGTGTGTGCAAGCTCACTTTCACGGAACAAAACTACTTCAGTCAGCACCAGCACTCGTGTGCTCATACCAAGAAGCATCTGTTGTCTGCTATATCTTCTTTCAAGGAGTTCGCCAGCCGCAGGAAAAAGTTGCGCACTTCCTCCAATGAGGATGCTCCTGTGAGAGCCATAGACTCATCCATTCCATCATCGAATTTCCCCGCCCTTCGCCCTCCCTCAGGGGAGCTGTTGCAACAGCCCAGAGTTGCTGGTAGTCCACCCAACTCCCCATTAGCTTCTGCCACAGAGGTTGTACCCCCTGACTGTGAAATAGGGGAAATTGATGGAGAGGATTTGAGCTTGGCACAATGCCGACCGAGACGGCAGAATCGCCAGCTACCCAAGCGTTTCAGGGACATACTACCTCAGCCTCCACCTACTGTACCCTTGGATGTCCGCGAATGACCTCCCCCATCTGTCGGTCAAGTCGTGGCTTCACATGAAACTCCAGCCTTGCCATCATGCACTATGTTTCGCACACCCCCAAACATCTTTGGGCTATCGCGCCAATACTTCTCCTCTACACCTCCGTCCCATGACCCAGAAGAGTATGTCACTATGGCAGATCTTTCCTTTATTCCTGGCAGCCCCACAGTCAATGAAGAAGAACCCAACCCACCTGCTCCTGTGACTGGCAATTCTCGGTACCATCCCTATCCCAACCATTCCTCCTTTCAACTTGGTGACTGGTACTGGAATCAAGGGGTACAAAAGTCACAAGAAAACTACACAAAGTTGGTGGAGATTATAGGTGGCAAGACCTTCAATGCAACTGACATGAGCTCCACACATTGGAAGGAAATAAACTCCAAACTGGGTATTAATGAGTACGATGAGGGAGAAGGGGAAGAATGGGAAGACAAAGATGCTGGTTGGAAAAGGACACCAGTTTCCATCAAAGTGCCCTTTTCTCGCACAACCGAAATGCCAGGACCTCACATCTTTCGAGCCGCTGATCTGTATCATCGCTCCCTTGTTGCTGTCATACAGGAAAAATTAGCTAACGTCTGAGACAGCAAATTATTTCATTACGAGCCGTACAAGCTATGTTGGAATCCTCCTCACCTTGATGGTAAAGTTCTGATATATGGAGACTTGTTCACGTCCCTGGCGTTCCACAATGCACACGCCAAACTGCAAGAAATGCCCAGGGAACCTGGCTGTGATCTTCCCTGAGTCATGGCTGGTCTGATGTTCTGGTCTGACACCACGCAATTGACTTCGTTTGGCACTGCCAAGCTGTGGCCCACCTACATGTATTTTGGCAATGAGTCCAAGTACCGCCACTGCAAACTGTCCTGCAACTTGAGCAACCACATCGCATACTTCGAGACGGTAAGACTTTCCGCAGTGTTCGTCTTAAATGAATCCCTAATTTTCTTTGTCAGCTCCCAGATTCTTTCAAGGATTTCACACACGGCAAAGGCATGAACAGCGAGTGCACAACTCACTGTCACAGGGAACTCTTTCACGAGCAGTGGAATGTTCTACTGGATGATGAATTTCTGGAGGCATACGAGCATGGAATCATGATTCATCGCTGTGATGGCATGACACGCAGGTTCTACCATAGGATCTTTACCTACTCAGCAGATTATCCTGAGAAGTACGTGCATTTGTATCTTACAGGTCTAGCATTTGTCCTGACTTCAGCAGAGTGCTTATTGCCACCGTTCGGAATCTTGGAGGTTGTCCATGTCTGTGTTGCCTTATGCCAAAGGAGCTCATACATAATATGGGAAGACCTCTGGACAGGCGACAACGCCAGACATTGGAATGCAATGATGATAGATGAAGACTCGTGGTAAGCTCTGCGCGGAAATTAATCTATGAAAAGGGCTTTGGAGTTGGGAGCGCAGCAGTTGAATGCCTCCTTAAGTTGCAGTCCTGGGTTCCTACCTCAGTGAGGCTTGGACATGTATCATTGACTATAACTAACTAACCAACCAACCTACAGAACACATTTTCCGATCGCCTTGCTGCTTTTGGTTTCAATATCTTCCACACACTTGTAGTAGATCTCTTGCACGAGTTTGAGATTGGTGTTTGGAAAATGCTTTTTATCCATTTGTTACGAATTCTTATGGCGGAGGACAAGAGTCTGATCGACAAGTTGGACCAAAGGTACGTTACATTATTTGACATCACCCATCTAGCTGACCTCTCCACTACAAGATACAGGCAAATACCAATGTTTGGCCCAGCAACCATCCAAAAATTTTCGACTAACGCTTCGGACATGACATGCATGGTGGCTCAAAACTTCGAAGACCTCCTCCAGGTATGGATTATCTATTGAAGTTGGATGGGCCCTGATGCGATCTTAAGTGCTCTATCCCTGTCTTTGACGGTCTTCTCCCTGAACCGCACAATACCACTGTTCTAAGGTTGCTATTCACTATGGTGCATTGGCACGGGCTGGCTAAGCTTTGAATGCATTCTGAGTTGACCATCAACATTTTGGATCAAGTCACTTTGGCAGTCGGCGACCAGTTTTGCAATTTCAAAGCTCAAGTTTGTTCCGCCTACAATACACAAGAACTTCGTCAGGAAGTTGAGGCTCGTACCTGATGCCATGCAAAGCGAGCAGCAAAACAGGCCGGAGGGCAGGAGGTTAAGGAACAGGTGGCACACCATGCTGGATCACCCAAGAATACGCACCACAAGAAGGTGTTTAACTTCCAAACCTACAAGTTTCACGCTTTGGGTGACTATGTTTCTACAATACGCCAGTATGGCATGTCTGATTCATACAGCTCCGAACCAGTAAGTCATATGGTGTGAGACTCCAAACTCATTTGCTGACTCTATCTAGGGTGAACTCGAACATCGTTCTCCCAAGGCTAGATATCGTCATACGGACCGCAACTCATTTGTGAGACAGCTGACTTGCATCGAACACCATCAGGCCTGTATTTGTCGTATCAGCGACAAAACGGTACATCGTCCTCACATCGAGATTGCCGAATTAGCGATAAGCCCACTTGTTCACCAACATATTGGCATGACACAGAAGTACCCCGTGCACATAGGCACATACTTACACAGCCATCAAGGTGATCTGGCGATCAAGGTTAGCCCAACCAACTTACCCACACCGCATACTAATATTTGCCTACAGAATTTCCATTCCAAGCTCAAGGAACATCTATTGCAGCGAATTCAGAACTCCACGGATGTACCATCTTCAAGAGACGTGTATGACACCAATACGATTATTATCAAGGATGATCGTATGTATCATCACAACATCATCAGGTTCAATTACACGATGTATGATGTTCGCCGAGCTTAAGACGTTGTCAACCCACAAACTTCACACTGCAATGTGATGGTTCTCTGCGGTGACAGCGATCTGAGTCACAACAGCCATAGATTTATGTATGGTAAGGTCCTTGGTGTTTATCATGTAAATGTAATCTACATTGGAGCCGCCATGGTTGACTTCACTCCAATGCAAATGGAGTTCCTATGGGTTCGCTGGTACGAGCCCATGGAGCAGGTCTCCTCCTGTGATACCTCCACTCTCGACTGACTTAGATTTCTGCCCATAGATGACGAATCCTCATTCAGCTTCATTGATCCAACAGATGTACTAAGGGGTTGCCACATCATACCTGCTTTCGCCAAGGGCAGGAAACACCCTGACGGATTGGGGGTATCGGGATATGTGGGGGATAAGGATGATTGCTGTGAATATTATATCAACCAGTAAGTTTGAGGTACAATTATGAATAATCACCACCGAGCTCACGATTTCAGATTTGTCGATCGCGACATGTTAATGCGCTTCCACTTTGGTCTTGGAGTGGGACATGTCTACTCTCATTATCGCTCCACGCGCGTCGAGCCGCGAGAAGGCAGTGCAGACATTCAACATTCCGCAGAAAATGGAACCGAAGAATACGAAGAGTACAGAGATGAAGATGAAGAAAGTGAACATGATGGTGCCATGGGCGGACTCACTCTCGAGCAGCGCTTCAGTGTCAGCAGTGAGTTGTTATCCCACTTTGGTGAGATATACAATAGCGAATTGGAAGTAGATTATGAGAATTAGATCTTGTTCGCTACCTTGTCAAAATGTTTGCCATCACTATCACACATGTAATAACCTTAAAAACTTAAATACCATTGGGGCTGCGATGGCAGAATGGCATACTTTATAGGCATGTTGCACATAATAGCCAAGATGGCGCTGCGATGGCAGGTTTAATGAGTCTCGAAGCAGGTATGTAGCCGCCTTTAAAAGTGTGGTATTTTATCTTAATAGTTAACAACAATGTCTTTCTCTTCAGAATACCATCCGATTACAAGTGTTACAACCTGTCAAAGCATCACATGCTATGTGTACAATGAGATGATGCCTTTGGTATTGCCCTTGACTGTACTTCGTTTCTGCCTTGCAAGCTACATCTCGCTAATCCAGTTTTTTTCAGGGAACTCTTGCGGGCACAACTGACATCTTGTCTTTCATTGGGTACGTTGCGACCGGGCTGGGGCCCATAGTGTATGCATTGTATGTAAGTATCTTTATTTCTTGAGAATTTTTCAGCGTCTAACGAGGCATGCAGTGTTCACCATTAACTCTTAATGCCGTGCGTGTTTTATTTGTGGGCGTCATAGACTATTGATTGGCGCCATAGGTGCAGCATCATATTAAACTTACCACCTATTTGGAAACTGGACGTGTTCACACTGCCACAGTACTCAATACAGAAAGTACTGAGGTCCCAGTCTACATCCTAAAGGTACGTTGAATCTGTATTATGTCTCGCCATCCCACTGATCAGTCGTGTAGAACGCTGCTCCCTCTGCAATTCTAGACTTGCCTGCCATGTTACCGGAAGATGTCCGGAGGGCGTCGGGCGATGTCTGGAGTCCGATGTCCGATGTGCGGGAATTCCGGCGGACGTTCGGGAACAAGAGATAAGACTAATCCGGACGAAGTCCGAACTAGAAAGGAAACAGCAGAGGACTACCAAAGGTAGAGGCGGAGGTGACAAGTCTATAGGAGTCAATCCTAAGACGAGCGGAGGTCGACGAGAGAGAAACTCAAGTCAGACGGAGGAGAGAATGAGCAGAGTCTAAGATGATATTCGAACTGAGGAAACTACAGAGATTGTACAGGGGTTTATATACTACTGAGGACATAACGGAGAACAGTAAGTGCAGTGCGAAGCTATGTAAAGCTATGAAGAAAACATATGGGACGACTATCACTAGTCTATCGGAACTTAGTAAAATGAAGACGGAAATGAATAAGGAACGGAAAATAAAGCGTACTAACTGATAAGGGAAATACCAAAGGGATAAGGCGCGGAAGTTAGACGCGGGTCGGATCCGGACGATACATAGAAGTTGGCCAGATCCGGAAATCCGGAAATGATGAGTGTGATAGGTCCAGGTCCGGAACGCGGGATATGACACCATGTCCGTCTGGATCCTCAGGATCATTTTCATCGTGATTACAGGAATACCCCCTTCAATGATTCCCGTGGTTGTCTCCTTCCTGATCCTTGTGGTCCTGCTCATTGGGATGCTCCTCTCCCTCTTGACTCCTGAGGTCCTCTGCCCAATGTTCCTGAATGCTTTAGTTGAGAGCTTCATGATCCTTGTGTGCCCAGTCGTAGTACCCGTGAATCTTCTTATCCCGTAAGTTAACACATCCTTCCTTTGCATATTTAACTTAATATTTTGGCAGCTGCAAGATCATCAACATCTCCATCCTCATGACTCATTTTATCATTGCACCAGCAATGCTCACAACAACCTTCCTGAACTTCGGGATCCTCACAATCATATGCAGAATGTGTCTCTAGTAGCAGAATCCAGTAAAAATTACAACATGGATTGGAAGTGCAGTTGCTCAGTGGTGTACTCTGATCACGACAGATATAGCCCTGCAATGGACTATGGGTACACATGTGAACATAGATTCCCTCCACGTGGTGATTATGATGATCATGGCTATGGGTTTCCACAACACAACAGAGGTCATTATAATGATAGCCAGGCCTATGGAAGAAGATATCATGGTGAAGGCTCAAGGTGGGATTTGCACAGCCCATACCACGGTTCAACTCCCAGCTCAAACACTCAGCCAGTAGAGAGTCCCATTGATGTGCCTCCTTCCACTTAATCATTGTCCTCCGTCTTTTTCTATGCTTGTCCAACTTTAATGATTGTTTTTATATCCCGCCAAATAGAGCTTGTTTCATTGTAGCCTCCCTTCTTGTCTATCCCCATCCTGCCATTATTCATCATACCATGATGTTGATAGTTCCCATCATCTTGCAGTTTTCGTACCTCACCCTTTTTATATAGTGTGAACCTTGACTTACCAGTGTTGCTGTTGTCCTTGAATACATTGAGTGCGTTACTCAGACTAATATGTGAAATTATCATCAAAGCATGACAAAGAAAGGATTCTATCTACAATGCAAAACATCTATGAATGTGTGAGACAGTGCTCTCAAACCTTGCAGACAGTCCTCCCAACCCTCACATACCTCTCTACCCTCACAAACGGTCCTCCCAACACTTGCATAGGGTCCTCTTGACCTCGCAAATGGTCCTCCCAAACCTCGCAGATGGTCCTCTTGACCTCGCAAATGGTCCTTCTGACCCTTGCAGACAGTTCTCTCTATCCTTGCAACCAATCCTACCAGACCTTGTGGACTCATGAGGCATACACTGAAGGATACATAGGTGTTTATTAATTCACATACGATAAGAGCCACATGCCTCATGAGAAGTCAGTGAAGTTTGAGAAATAGGTGGAAGGTTCTTGCAGGAGGGATATCTTAGACATAGGTTATCACACACTAAGAAACCCATCTAAAGAACAGTGGAAACCTCTAAAAAGTGCTGCCAAGGGTGAGAGCTTAGGACAACTCAGGACAACTCAAGACAGGGCAGGACAACTCAGGACAGGACAGGACAACTCAGGACAGGACAGGACAACTCAGAACAGGACAGGACAGGACAGGATAACTCAGGACAGGACAGGACAACTCAGAACAGGACAGGACAGGCCAGGACAGGATAGGACAGGACAACTCAGGATAGGGCAGGACAGGGCAGGACAGGACAGCTTAGGACAACTTAGGACAACTCAGGACAACTCAGGACAGCTTAGGACAGGACAGGACAGGACAGGACAGGACAACACAGGACAACTCAGGACAGGACAAGACAACTCAGGACAACTTAGGACAACTCAGAACAGGACAGGACAGGACAGGACAGGACAGGACAACTCAGGACAACTCAAGACAGGGCAGGACAACTCAGGACAGGACAGGACAACTCAGGACAGGACAGGACAACTCAGAACAGGACAGGACAGGACAGGATAACTCAGGACAGGACAGGACAACTCAGAACAGGACAGGACAGGCCAGGACAGGATAGGACAGGACAACTCAGGATAGGGCAGGACAGGGCAGGACAGGACAGCTTAGGACAACTTAGGACAACTCAGGACAACTCAGGACAGCTTAGGACAGGACAGGACAGGACAGGACAGGACAACACAGGACAACTCAGGACAGGACAAGACAACTCAGGACAACTTAGGACAACTCAGAACAGGACAGGACAGGACAGGACAGGACAGGACAACTCAGGACAACTCAGGACAACTCAGGACAGCTTAGGACAGGACAGGACAGGACAGGACAACTCAGAACAGGACAGGACAGGACAGGACAGGACAGGACAGGACAACTCAGAACAGGACAGGACAGGACAGGACAGGACAGGACAGGACAACACAGGACAACTCAGGACAGGACGGGACAACTCAGGACAACTTAGGACAACTCAGGACAACTCAGGACAACTCAGGACAGCTTAGGACAGGACAGGACAGGACAGGACAGGACAGGACAACACAGGACAACTCAGGACAGGACAAGACAACTCAGGACAACTTAGGACAACTCAGAACAGGACAGGACAGGACAGGACAGGACAGGACAACTCAGGACAACTCAGGACAACTCAGGACAGCTTAGGACAGGACAGGACAGGACAGGACAACTCAGAACAGGACAGGACAGGACAGGACAGGACAACTCAGAACAGGACAGGACAGGACAGGACAGGACAGGACAGGACAACTCAGAACAGGACAGGACAGGACAGGACAGGACAGGACAGGACAACACAGGACAACTCAGGACAGGACGGGACAACTCAGGACAACTCAGGACAACTTAGGACAACTTAGGACAACTCAGGACAACTCAGGACAGCTTAGGACAGGACAGGACAGGACAGGACAGGACAGGACAGGACAACTCAGGACAACTTAGGACAACTCAGGACAACTCAGGACAGCTTAGGACAGGACAGGACAGGACAGGACAGGACAACTCAGGACAACTTAGGACAACTCAGGACAACTCAGGACAGCTTAGGACAGGACAGGACAGGACAGGACAGGACAGGACAACTCAGGACAACTTAGGACAACTCAGGACAACTCAGGACAGCTTAGGACAGGACAGGACAGGACAGGACAACTCAGAACAGGACAGGACAGAACAGGACAGGACAGGACAACTCAGGACAACTTAGGACAACTCAGGACAACACAGGACAACTCAGGACAGGACAGGACAACTCAGGACAACTCAGGACAACTCAGGACAACTCAGGACAGTAGTACCCCCCCGTTGGGGGGGCGGCGGAATATTAGGCTCGCCTAATTCGAACACATGCAGTGAGAGAGAGGCACACAAAGTTCAAACTTTTGCATTTTGTGGGCAACACTGCAGCCACGATGCTATGTATGCCGATCACTTTTTCTCGCGTCAGGAGCACCTCCGTCGATGGTATCGTAAATGGGGTGGAAGTTCAGTCGTTTATCGACGATTTCGGCAGTCAGACAAGAAATCAGATTACCTTGGTAAGGACTGTATCAGTGCCGTGAACGAGGACACTTTCCCATTCAGTTTGTTCTTACAGGCAGGTATCTCCATGGCTTTGGATGTCGCTATTCTTGCCGTTCCAGGGTTAGGCGCAACAACAACTGCACAAACATTGTGCTCTTGCTCCTTCCTTCTTGGTGTTGGGTGTATTTTTGCGGGCACGATAGTCCACCACTTTGGCGAGAGACTGAAGTCTTTGGACTTTGCGGTTCGATTTCCTCATCATCCTGCGTCTTGAGCCTAATATTGCCGACTGAACAGGCCTATTATCTGCGAAGGAAGGCGGTGATGCTTCTGGTAATAACAAGCATACCGACCTGCTTTTGCGTATTGAGGTAAGCAGATGTGATTACAATTACTCAGGTCACTCATAGAATCATTGTCAGTGTAACAAGTTCCATCCTCGGATTTCTCACAGGCATCACCATAGACTTCAGGCCATCCGCGCCCTCAGTCATTCCGTGCTTTGCTACACTCGCCGTTGTGGTAGGTTCATTGATTATATTAGTGGTCGCCAGTTACGGTCCAGGCCCAGCTAGGATAAGGCCGCAGTGATATCTTTATCCTGAGACTGCGGGGATATCCATGTATCTCGCATGGGTCGCGCTCAAAAATCTAGAGGTTAGCTCTGGTAGATTAAATAGATGATGTCAATTTCCATGTTCTAAGTTTCAAGGTGCCTACTCATATATTATTGAATCCGTCAGAACATTCTCGACGTCTTGACGGAAACTTCTACGTCTGACTGCAATTGTCAGGGCAATTTTTCATTGTATGGTATTGCAATTGCAGCTAGATTACCACGCTAAGATTTTCTGGTCACAGAACTCCAACTCCTTAAGTGTCAACGTTTCACGCTACCGCAACTACCTCGTGCGTTACAACGTCTTCTGCGTTTGTTCATGGTCCTCGATTCCGTCGTCCACATTACCTGAAGCCGTCAGTTTACTTCAAGGGAGCCCGCGTGGGACATACTTTGAGTAGGAGAAGGGACGTCCCATGCGATCTGACGAGGAGGGTATGTGCTGATTCCGTTTGGTGCGTATTCTTCTAAGATTCCGGTCCGATAACATTCCTCCAACCAACGAAGTCTATAGTTTTTGTATAACTCTTCCAGTTCCGAGTAGCGCAAATCTGCAAGTTGCAGTCGTTCTTTGAGTTCGGCTACGGAGTCCTCGCCCGTCTCGCCGTTGTTCTCTGGCAGAAGAACAGGAGCCTCGTTATACCCCGCTGAAGATGTGCTCTTGTCAACATCCGTCGCTCTAAAATACTATAAGCTTTGGGAAAGAACAATAAAGATGTTCACAGACCTTAAGACGATGGGTTTTTTAGCCTCACCGCTCTGATTACTACTACTAGTGTTTCCTGCTGCCTCGATCCTAATAGAAGGTATTAGTAAGTCCTGCCGCAAGTTCATCATTGGAGTTACCGGAAATTCAAGGTAATGATATGTCCGGATAGGTTAAAGGTTTGGCTCTGGGTCAAGGATTGCTGCATGAACGCAGGTTGTTTCATTTTCTGGCGCTGATGAAATCATTAACGGAGCTTTTATTCCCTGTTACACGAAGTTTTGATAGCCTGCGAAAGGAAGGCCATTGTGGCCCCCTGTCACCACAGCCAGCACCCAAGCCCTCAATCACCGTGGCCAGCCAGCCAGCCAATTTAGCTTTTGCTTGGCCGCCATCAGGTACGTCGTTTGCATAGAATCCCACGTGGTGCATCTGTGATAAAAGCTGGCCTCCAGTTAAGCAAAACCCGAACCTTCCTACCTTGCCAGCTCTCATGACCACCGAAAATGCTTCCAGTATTCCGAGTAAACGGGCTACCCCAGCCCTCCAGATGGGACCCCGTAAAAAAGTGTAAGCTGTCCCTGATGTTTAGTACGCTGAGTTTTGCAGACTCATCTAGTCGCACAGCTCAACATCTGATCCCCTTATCTCCCATGGGCGCCACTTCGGCCGAACAGTATTCGCTCTGTGCAATTTTCCTTCTCTGCTCACCAATGGTATCCTCAGATTAGAGCAGATGGAAGATGCTCCACTGGAGGACTTCTCTACTGAGTGACAACGACATCCATCTATGCTCGCTGGCTTATTGACATCTTTGGCAGTGAGCGACGAGAGCATCGCGTTTTTGAGCACCTCTTAGACTCTTACCCTGGCCTTTTAGAGCGACTACAAAACGGGTCTGAGGAAGAACTCATTCATGTCGGTGAGCTAGTGCGTTTTTGTTTGTGTGTCAAGAGTTTATGCTTACCATATGTAGATTGGTAAAGGAGCCGCAGGTGCGAGGGGCGACGACACGAAAACATTAAAGTCTGCGGTGCTTGATTGGATTTCCCCGAAAGGGGCAGCAATCCAGCCTCCCTTACACAGAAACTCGAAGATCGACCGTGGATTCAACCATGAGCTAACTGGATCGCTTCTTTGTCCCGCTGGGTTGGACTGGAAAGACCCAGAGTATGTTTCGGTTTACTGGCATCCTCGGTCGCCACTCATTTTCACTTCATTAGGACGAGAGAGAGCCTCCGAAGCGGAGAAATGTCGGTATGCGGAGATCAATGGCCCATATTTTTGTACACCAACTATACTTACGACGCTGATGATCCTTGGTGTGGTCTTCTTAGGAATCGCTTACTCGTATCTGTGAGTATGAACACCTGTTCTGTGTTTTCTTCACTACATGTTTTCTCACTAGGCTTACAAGCACGTTTTCACATCCCCGAGTTCAGTTGACAAGGAACCAAAAGCCACGCGATCCGGTAATGCTCGCCTCCATGGCATGAATGCTGTCACCATCGCTTCCATAGCTTATATTGCAACGCAGGTATGCCTTACAGCACTTCCGAAGCTAAACTGTCCTGACGCACCACTGAAGGTCCGATTCGCTCTAAGTTCTTCTTCAGTGTTTTCACGGACCGACACGTCCACAGACTCAGAGACTTTCTACCACAGTCTCCTCGACCTCCTCGAGGACCCTGAAGAATCTAAGGAAGTCGATGAGTTGCTCACGTGGTGGAATTGGTATTGTTTTCACTCTTCGCCATTTTTCCGAGGCTCATGTATTGTCTTTTACCCAGTCAAGTATTTCCTACGTCATCTGCTGCCAAGCGGCCTATCAGCGCCAACAGTGCTTTGGCGAAGATCCGACTCAGACGCCTTGCAGTCAAACAGGCTGCAGATCTTAATTCTTCGTAGTCTACATTGGAGCCGTTTTTAATGTAGTAAATATAATCGCAATTTCATACCAGACTGTGTGTTCTCTCGTAACGAATGAATTGATCACAATGCAAGTCCACATATTGCCTCAGATGCGAATGGTTCGTTTTGAAGACAACTCAAGACAACATAACTGAAATTCATTTATTAAATGATAACCCATCGTCACTCTGTAGCACAATGTTCTCCTACACCAAATTGATTCATGCGAGCAGGCATTGTCTCACAATGCCTGCAACTAACGTTCCGTTTTGTAATGATCATAGCTCAACATCCAGCCGGCGGAAGTCAATGCGCTACCATTGTTGCGCAACCTTGAACCAAAGTCAGTTTCAGTCCTAAACAGTCTAACCTTGGAGGACCGTATATGATAACAGCATTCAGAGAGAGTTTTTGCAGAATAAAATGACAACCTCAACTTGTATGACGTGATCATATCTCATCAGAGTTGGCTAAGATGATAGTACACTGTCATTCATTACTTACATTGTGTACTTAACAAATCCGGGCAACATAATCTAGTATCACAATCACATATCTAATATCAGCAACAAGAGAGTTCTTGTCGAGGTTGCAGTAGGAAGCACAACTTGTAATGTGACAACCATGCCGACACATCACGATACCCTACTACAGTTGCTTCACATCTTGTTTCCAGTTGGCGGTTGTGATCCTAAATAGTCCAGGATTATAAATGTTTATCTGACACCAGAATTTATGTAGCTACTGCGAAGGAAGAAAACCTCGGCAAAGGTACCTGTCATGACCAGGACATGGCGGAATTGCAGTGGACTACAAATATACTGGCACTGGTACTCAAATTGGAGAATGTGGAAACTCTCGTCAATTTTGCAGCAGTTGGCAGGTATTACAAATTTTACCGTCTTGATGCGTAGTTACAATGAGACTATCAAGAATGTGCATCTGGCCATTTTCATCCCACGTAGTCCAGGTATTCAAAGCTTTGTCATGTGAAGTGCAATTATGATTAATATTGTGCAAATTGTAGATCAGGTAAAGTCTTGTATGAGTTTATCATTTTCACGTCGGTTACCTGATGTAAGCATTGGTCCAGTTGGTCAGGGCGAGAAGAAACAATGTACAACCGAGTGAGTTTGTACTGTAAAGATGTGCCGTGAACATCATGATGTTTCGGTTCATTCGAGTGGGAACTTCGTTGATTGGAATAAATCAGTATTGCCTGGACGACATGCAGGATGAGTTACAATATATATTAGGAGAACGTACGTTCGAGATTCATAAGCACCACCACTTCAAAGGGCCCTCAGCGAGTAGGCATCCTCCTGCAAATCCCACATCGCATACGGAGGTTGAAGATACAGCAAACACACCAAGAGACAGTAACCAAGTTGCTATATTCCAGTTCGTGGGTTATGGTCCAAACAGTAATACCAAACAGCATGAGTCAGCCAATCCAAAGAGCCGAAGTAAAAAATGAACAAGTCCGTCGCTGCAACCGTCCCTTGTCTCCAGCGACGATTTTTGCGTGGATCCTAATGTTCAGCAGTCATCGGCGATCGCCCTGGAGGAGAGGCTACAAGAATTGAACATCGATCATAAGACAACCACCAAAGCCTCAATGCCTGATGTCGAGCAATCACATGAAAAGCTTGACGTTGACTCTGAACTTCGACAGTCTTCCTCTCTAGTTGCGGATGACATGCAGACCATCAATTTAGACGGCATTGTCCCGTTTCAGGCCGCTTCCGTTACTCCCTCCGCCTCACAAACGTCGATGACATCTGCCCCTCCCCAACGTATGGCTTATCCCATACCCACAATGGGGTACTATCATCCTCAAGGATGGGTAGCTGTTTTCCCGCCATATCACATGCAGTACATGGGGGCATACCCTGGATTTCCTCTTCCGCCGCCGATGAGCCAATCGTTTCCGCCGGCTAGTGGCGCGGATGCTCGTGGAACACCTTCAGCAACACCTGCTCCGATTGTTCACCCAGGCATGTATGCTGTACGTTTAATAAATCTCGACCCCCATGCTGCAACGCTGACGTGCGGTTCAAGCTATTCATTCCATATCCGTATCCTGCGAGAACACCCGTGCGAGAACAAGGCCAGGGACAGACCCCTGTCGCAACACAAGCGCCGCTGATACCTACGGGGTTCATTCACGGATATCAGGGTATTCTGGTTCCTGTTTATCCTCCAGACGCTCTGAATCAATACATGTCCGGCGCTCAAGGCGAACAAGCTTCGACCTCCACAGAGACTGCTCTTGCTTCGCTCCCAGTTCAACCTCCTAATAATTGGAAGCCATACCCTCCACCTGCGTTCGCACCTGGCATGTCAGTACCGCCAGGGATTCAGCGCCCGAACTCAGGACCTTTTCTGATAATGACTCCACACGGCTGGATGCCGAATCATGCCTCATTCGGCATCAACCAGCGTATGAAAGCCCCATCGAACTTTCCTCTAGGTTCTGGTGCACACATGCAGCCGGTGTTTGAGCAGTGCAATATCAATGTACCTCCTCGTCGCCAACATCGCAGAGACCATCAGTCCAATTTCAAGAACGGAGGTCGCGGTCACCCTGGGCGTTACCCTCGCGGATCATTCGCATCAAATGCACCAATGATGAACATACGTCCCACTCCGGGATTTGACCACTTCACTAGCTCCCAACGAGATGCGCAGAGTGGTCCTGAATGGAACCATTGGGGTACCCAGTGATTGCATCAGCTGCACTGACAGACATGTCTCGAGTTAGGCACGGTTTGATTTCTTTGTCTCTCTACGCGTACATTTTCGTTTTATCTTCCTGTCTTCAAGCCAATCATTCTAAGATATCAATTTATTTCTCGCTTCCCTTATGCACAATTTTTTTTTCAAGCTAAACAACAAAACAACACTCATTCATCCACAGATTTGCCCACCATGTTCAGTCATATTCTCATTGATACTCAATTATCTTCCATTCCTTAGGTTGTCACTGCCGTTTCTGTATTATCTGTCCGTGTAATATATAATACTCGAGTACGTGAGATACCTTCGCACCGAGAATCCAGACACCACTACAGGATTAGTCGCTAGCGGTGGACTGCGCGTAACCAATTTCCTAGCTCCAGTCAAAACGCTCTCTACTGTCTGGAACCCCACCAAAAATAAGCGATGGAACAATGGTTGGTCTCTTCTAACGCATATACACCAGATGCCGGAGTACGGTCTACCGGTGTGTCACTACCCTCTTCGAATCATACCGACTGTGCTTATTGAGGAAATATAATGGTGTTGTGGCGTACGCCAATCGTTTTAGAACGTACTTGTCAATCTGAATGGATGAAACTATGAAAACACAGGGAGCACGCCAATGGATCACTCAAATATTGTCTGCATGTCGAACGAACATTTAGTATTTATCATGCACCACTTATCATGCACCACTTTTTCCGCGTACGACCGCGAGAGCTGACCTGGATTTCGACCAACCTCATGAATTATTCATCTGCGTCAAAGGATATACTTTCCATTTGGTCTGCATAGGAGAGTGATACTGTACATCGCCTGACTCTAATGATATAACTTTATCAACTGGAACACAAAGGTTGATTTAAAAACTCACCAGGTGCGTTCATTGTTCTGCCCCATTTATGAAGTTCCTTAAGCTCAAAGTTTGATGCATTATCGCCGCTTGAAAGGCGAAGACCTCGGAGGGACTTAACTATCCTCCAGTACCTACTACATAGTACTTACCTTGGTGGTTGTTTTTTCGAGGTCCCGTTTTGAAGTAATCAACTTCTTTTGGGCAGCTTCGTCATGGCAAGGGGTAAAACGGTCCCCCTTTGCCATGACCAAATTTCCTCAGTTTTATACACGTAATAAGTCTCGCGTGGCAAAGCACCAAAAAACTACTAGTGCCATACAATGTGTTACCATTTTCCCTCTCATCCCCTTCTTTCAGTACTGATGATCATCAGCACAAACAGTGATATCCATTCACAGTCCAGTGAGGATGGCTCCGGCCTATACTCACCCATCTTCGGGACTCAATTTTTTCAGCTGCATGGAGACAGTAAGTCCTGTCAAACTTGTACTTTCAAACAATATTGATCGTCAATTTCGTCCACAATAAAGTTCATTATTATCAAGAACAGCTAGATATCCAACATGCAGCGGGCATCCTAGCCTCTCAATTCGATTACACTAATATCCACCCACACCTTCACCTTCTCGAAACCCCTTTGGATCTTCAGTTTCCTCTTCCACAAAGAAACCACATTCAAGTTGTCCTTGACATACCGCCCCATACCTACCCTAGCACCTGTCTTCCACCCTCTCCAGCTCATCGTGGCGCCATCAATTTGTCCTACCAACTTGAAGGCCCCGACAATCGAAGATATTCTGCTGAGGACTTTCGCCCACAATCTTACTCTTCAGGTGGCTCAGCGCAACCTTCTGCAATACAAACACCAGAGAGTACTAGATCCTCTGTTCCAATGTCAGAGCCAACCCCTCAACCACAGCCAACGGCATCCGCACCGCAGGATCCTCTTCGCAGGGAAATTTCGAATCAAGTGATGGCTTGCCGGCAATGGTGCGTTCATTCTTATTCTTATTTCAGGCTGCTCATTCACGTGGTTGCTAAGTCGTGCAAGGAAAATTCGGTGCGACTCCACAAGACCAACGTGTCATAATTGTGTGCGCCGCTTGAATGAATGCCAATACGATGCAACACCTAAACGGCGAGGACCTGATAAAAGGCCAGGCACTCGCCAGCGCTCACATAAGAAACGTTTGATTGATGGCTCACAGCCTCCTTCCCTTCCGTCCAAGCGGAAACGCACTCAGAAATGACGACTCCGAGCTTCCGAGGGAAGCTTGTGGACTTCCCGATGTTCCCGCTTTGTGGCCTGGTGGGGATATAATTCAATTCCAGCCCTGGCTTTCACCCGTGGGCTCTGACCTTTCTTTTTTTCAATCCTAGTGCCCGTGAATACCACCATCTCTCTACATCCTCCCATCACCCTTAACACCAGCTCTGCGCCTGCTCCTTCAACCTGCAGCCTAGCTATGCCGCCGCCGCCACCGATTTTTTCGGAACAGCGCATCACGCGTCACGATTGAGTGGCACATCCGCGTCAAGATCCAGCGCCACCTCCGCGCTCGTCGTTGATATCTCCCTCGTTATCTCTTCCCATCAATCCTCGTTGTCTCTGTCCACCAATTACCACTACCTGGCGCCCTCATATTCTTTTCTCGGCGATCTCCACAGCATCCTGGATTTTCTCTCCTCCTTGCAGTTCCACCTCGTTGCATACTACCCTACTGTTTACATAGATGTTCCTGTCAAATACTTTGATCATAATTTGTATATCACACCCTCGAGCTCACTCAGTAAACCAAAGACACGAATTTTTGGGTTCATAATTAAAATATTATCGGGAAGAGGCTAAACTACACATTCAAGTTCTATATGGGAGGGAGTACTAGTAGGACACCAGGATGCCAAATTGGTGTATGGGGAAGCGCTGCCCAAAGGAATGCGCTCGATCATAAGCATCGGTGCGGTAATCCAGCCGAAGTCCATCGAAAGCGCGCAAAAGGATTGGGGGTAGCACCGTACGACTTGAAGTCAGGTGCGTTGATATCGAGTATTGGTCGGGTACCACGGCGGTGAGCGTTTAAGGGAGTGGCGTGAACAGCGCGGAATAGGTATGCGCGACGGCAGTGAACTACTTATAGGACAACATCTTTTGTCAGCAGCCACGGCCAACTTTGAAGATAGCCCGTTGTTAAACATCTTACTCCTTGCGTTTCTCGAATGCACCGTACAAAGAGACTCTGGGTCAGAATCAACGCTGACCCGCTCCTTCCTCACTTGAAAAGTAGTCGTGAACGGTGCCTTCAGTGAAATTGTATTGAGCAAAGAATAAGCGAAAGAATGATCTGCGCACCTTAACGTGACTTTGAAGCAGTCGACTGGACTTCTTATCAATGTCAATAACGCTACGTCTGGGTGGCTGGGAAAGTAGGATTCAATATCAATAACTATCTTGACCATCTCTTTGTCAGGTTTTGCCTGTAAAGACACGTCAAATCATACCCTAGGACAAATTTTGAGGCTCTCACCTATTTCTCAGGTTTCGGATGAAGGGCTTCAGTTTCCCAGAGATCGAGGCTACCTTGATGAAGAATCTGAATTCCCGATCATAAAATGCACGGGCATCACCAGACAGCGAATCCACCAGCATACCAGCCATCCAATCTAGCGGGGGCGTCATGAATCTTCCCAACTTCGTGTCAGTGGAGAGACGCGAAAACCAAACTCACGATTTAGGCAGCATCATTCTTGAAGCAATTGGCCTTCACGTTCCATATCCTGGTGGCAAACGACCTTTGCGGTTTCGAAGATGAACTGCGTCATATATCCCAAAGTATACATTCAGAAACAATAACAGCAGGAGGTGACAAATACAAACCAAGGCCATCAAAGCGAAGGGCCTGGATGACTTGCGGAACGAAAAAGAATGTTAGGTTGACAGGACGCTGCTTCAGGACTTGATGGCCATATTGTAGCAAGAGCGGATCGTTGCCGTATCGTTGCTCGAAGAAAGGAACAGCGATCGCAAGAGCGACAGGTGCCCAAACAATGATATACTGACAAAAAGTAAACTCTCAAATCACAATACTGTGGAAAAAAATTCCTGATCAAAGACTGGAGCATTGACTACCCGGCTAGCACTGGACCGAACCAGATTCTGCACCTCAGCGTGAGCTGCTGGAGTTTTGAAACGTTCGGTCAGATAGACCGCTATGGCTGGGTCTACCTCCCACGCTGTTCAGACTACGCCAGGCCCAGTCGACTATCGAAATACATGAATCGCCATTTGCAGAGCCATCAAGATGCTTACCTCAAGCATGGTGCGCTCGAGCAGGCCATGGGGGTCACTGCGTCGTTTTGCTTCGTTTGTAGGATTAACCCAGACAGACTGAGACAGTAAGCCCGAATACCAAATTCTCTATCAGAAGACAGAGTGGCTGGCTGATGTTCTTGAGACGCGTAATATTAACTGCAACCGATCAGTTCAATGCAAGGGGAAAATATGTTTGCTATGCTCGCTGGACGCAGACTGATGATGAGCAAGGCTCGATAGCAATGATATATTCCTGATCAAGTCACCCTGGAGATGCACAAGAAATTCGGACATGACTTTGATGTCAGCGTCCGCCTGCGCTCAATTGGCTCCAAAGGACCACCTGGACAGCATAAGTGTTCGCACAAACATTGATATCTGGGAAATATACTGACTGCTGCTGAACAACAAACCACGAACATGCCGTGCAATGCAGACTTTCGCGCAGCATACGCTCGCAAGCAGCATCTAGATGCGAGCTCTTACACGTCTCCAGTCCAAAAAGAAGGAACGCATAGCGTAGCTCTCGAGCCAGCAGATGAGTATTGAACTAAATGTTGATATGGCTTCGAACGGTTGACCTGATGAACGTACCTAAACAACTTGTGTGCTTGCGTAGATCGCAAAACAAGTCTGTGGATGAGAAACATCACGGTCGAATGACGATATCTAGCCGTTTGCAATCGACTGAATAACATCTGTAGGACCAAGGTATGCAGCATGAGAATTTCGACAAACTTTGATGAGGCCGAGAAAACGCCCTTCCGCTCCTTCACGGTCCCAAACCAAGATTTGAGCACTTCGCACATGATGGCCACTTCCATGTTAGGACACTTCGCGATGACCCATATCCACGTTTCAATACCCGCAGCGACCGGGGGTGAAAACCTCAAACGGTAGAGCTACCAGAAAATGTAGCAAGGTGTAATCGCACTGGAAATCGTCAGAATTGATGCTAGAAACATATAATGCATGGTCTAACCTTCTCCAAGGATCTGAGAAGCACTGCACAACGGAATAACAAATGCTTCAGATCTTTATGCCGAACGTCATTCGTTGTATCGGCTATCTTGTCCTTGAAAGGCCGGACCCCAGTGCACTTCATCTGAGGAGTGACTTTATCCAGCGAATCTTGATCTTGCAAACGTTAAAACGCCCGACCGTCCGTCAGGTAAATAACTTACTTTTATAAGTTGCAAGTCGCAAATCAGTAACCTCCCCTGAAAAATAGCATTTGCTCACAAGCTGACTGGCGAGAGCGCGTGCCCGATCAGAATTCCAGTTTGACAAGCTACACAGAGAGGCTGCGATGTAAAATGAGCAGAATACCTGTACGTCAATCAAGACCGAGCACGTACAGAGTTGTCGGTGCACAGGACCGAATGCCTTAGCAAACATTCCAACAATTGAAGCTCATAACTCAGCAGTGTCTGCACCAATCAGCGGTTGCGCAGCTGCCAGATATTTCTATAGGGAGGATATAAAGGAAAAGAGCTGTAAATGACGATAACAAAACGAACCTGAAGCGTCGACTGGAGCTCAATGGGAGCCCAGCAAAACATGAGTTAAAACCACGCGTTGGCATTGCGCTGCAGCTGTTCAAGGGATATCATTCCGTACTTTGTAGTCGTCTGTGAGTTGCGGCGCGATGCTGGTGCACTCAGAGTGGAATTCGTACACTGGGTTGTACTGCAATTGAATTAAATGTCAGCTAATTGATTGATAGATTCATATTTCAGTCACCTCGCCCGTAAACTCGTTCTCGCCTGCGTGACGCAGAAGGGTAAGGGGCTCAAGGATGGCATACGCCAGTGGCGGGTAGCACATGAGACAAGAAATCAACGTGATCAGATTGAATAGGTATTTGGTTGCAACGTCCCGAGCACGAGATATACGATGAGTGCTGGCAACAAGTGAGTGAGCAGCTGTGAGCTTGAAGCAGCTTGCGAATATCCTCCGATAGATGGGCCGGTAGTGCCTGTTCCATAGCTTGTAAATTCATCTCTCCCAAGCATCCACACATAACCTGTCGACAATTTAACTCAGCACGCCAGATCCGAAATGCACATTACCTTGTCAGTTACGGACCTCCATGCATATAATAAGGTAACTCTGTCGATTCAGGCTGCCATTCGTGAAGTATGACACTAGGGAAGACGGGAATCCAGCAGCAGATCGCATTATGCATTCAGTGCGTCATCATTCTTCCTGCGAGAAACTCACGGTCGCTCGTGGGAGATTTGCGGTTTGGTTTGTCGAGCTTGAGCGGGTTAGCCAGAAAGACTTGGCAAGAGGGGAGATGATGGTGAATATTAAGACGAGATAGACGAGCTTGAGCGGGTTATCCAGAAAGCATAAGTTAGCCTGTTTGGCGTGTCAGTCGCTAAAATGGGTGTTAGGGACAAAGGATCATACTGTGCGCGAGAGTGCAGACATGCTGCTGCTGGTGCCTCCGACTGAAGGGGGGGATGGTAGCCAGTCATTGAGAGAGTCGTCGATGTGCGTCAGCGTGACAGTGGTGACGACGGCAGCACGAGCGAACAGCATCGCCAATCAACCGTTTTCCTGGGGGGGGGGCATTGGTGCCAAGCGCAGAGTGAGAACTGAATGTGCCCGAATAAACCGCAGGCAGTACATCACCCTAGGACTGTAAATCTTGGGACAGTGAAGTTTTCGAGACGGCGAGGCTTCGTACCTTGGTTGGCTGGCGCACCTGCGAGAAAAACGGACCACGCAGACAGCTGCGGGTCGAGAAATTCACGGTCTCTGTGGGAAAGTTACAGTCCTTGACAGCATCAGCTCGCTCGGCCCCGCTTGACATGCTGCAGTTCGGCTCTCACCCTCATAACTATCTCACCCAACAACCATACACCATTTGTCCTCCTCCCTCTGCCTCCACAGCCTTCCTAGATCCAAAAAAACCGCGCCAATACGCGCCCATCATCGTTGCCCGCCGATGGCCTTTGGTTTTTGACGTGTCAGACGCTTCGTTCCATCCTCGATGCACGCTGGAACAGTTCTTCCTCACAGCCGCACCACGGCACGCGCCTATTCCCTTTCGGGAAGGCTGATGTAAGCCTGTGCTTTGACCGTGAGTTTCCTCGTTCGAAACGTTTCTTCTCTCAATGCTGATTCTAAGAGTTACTGTAGCTACACACCACTGCGATGGTGGCCATCGGACAGTTAAGCTTCAAATCAAGATCTCAAGCATAAGTTCCGCAAGCCAGCAGATCTTGATGCGGGCATCACAGGGTGCTACCGGAGTTTGACCAGTTTCTGGTATTTCATACCATTTCTTCTCCTTTCCGTATTCGAATTGGATAGGTAACCAGGAGCACATATATGTACAAACACGCGCTGACACTGTTCTCCCCAGGACTCATGATACTCACGCTCATACGCGTCATACAGGGCTGGCGGACAAACGCAAGCTATCTGTATGCTATCCTGGTGAACCATGACATATCCCATTATGCATGTGGTCTTCGTATGTTAACAGTCGTACATGCTGTTTTTCCGTACTCATCCATGATCATTCTCTTTCGTGAAGTGTCCTCGGTAGTGAATATTTTCACATCGCTCTTCCAGGTGGGTGAATATATCAGATACCCTTTTGACCAAGCATTGATGTTCTGCGCCCCAGTACTCACCCTGCTACGTGTTCCTACTAAAAATACCCGACGCATACATCCACCTATAGTTTTCAGTTGATAGTCCTTGCAATTCTGATTCCTCGCCACGCGCATGCACCTCCATCTCTGGCGGACGAACCGACATCCACACGGCTCTACTAGCACCCTCGTGCACATTCCAATGTCCGAAATCTCATTTGCAAATCCCATGGTGCGATCCTTTATTCTGCAGCTTATTCGGCGCCAGCGGCTCATGGAGCAGATACGGCGGTGGAGGGACTCACAGATGGGTTTTCTGAACCTTGACTGCTGGCGACGCTTCATGTATTTTGCTATAGCCTGTCGCATTATATCATAAATATTGACAACCCGTGATACCGTCAGGAAATTTTGAAGCAAGCAAACTTAGTTCCACAATTTCCGAGTCGGCAGTCGTGCAGGGTAAACTGTTGCAGTCAGAATGAGCATACGGGAATTTACGATAGAAAGTTCAACACTGTAGATACCCTAAAATATGCATCCCTGCTATTTTCTTTGGTTTCTTTAACTCTTCGCTTTGGCTGCGAAGATGTACTTACAGACACGCGGGCCCGCGGCGAACACTAGTGGCATCTAAATTCATCGCAAAGTCATAGTACGTAGTAGTACCCAAGACCACTTCTCGCCTGTGATTGATTGTTCATTCTACAAAGTAGTTTGTAACACCTCACGATTCTGGAAGCACGCTGCCTCAACTACAAGTATACCTGCCCTACTCGGCAGAAGAAGGACCGTCATGCTCTAGCATAGGTCCCTCAAGCAATAACTCGAACGCCGATTGATCGCCCAGTTTGCGGTACCCTGATGGTGGATAAAGCAAGTGGATCGCCTCAAAGCACTTCTTTACAACGTCCCAGGACACTGCGTGCGATCCTGATGGACACATGGTACGAAATGTCGATGATCTAAAGTCGTTCTTTTGCTCCCTACATCGAGTAGCATTCGATTTCAGCCATCCTTCTAGTGGCCCGTTCTTGCTGAGGTTACCACCTTCATACCGAAGGCAGATCCAGGTGAGGACCCAGATGAACGATTCAGCATCGTGCGCATACACGTGCTCGACCTTGCCTGCCATGGCTTCCGGCGTGAGAAGTTCTACCGCCATGAATGGTATCGTTCCTGTGCGCTCGAGGCCGCTGGGACCATCACGTTTAAAGGACGATAGGTCGTAGTCGTTGAGTACAGCTATGAATTGACCGCGTAAGCGGTATCCCATGAGATTGCTAGGGCTGACATCCCGATGAAGCACACCTCCTTTCCAGAGGGCACGATGGCCTGGCCAGTAGTGGATGAATGATCAAGAGCAGGAAAAGGAAAAGGAAAAAAAAACCTACACTTCACAACTTGCCACCATGCGGTCAGGAACTCCTTGCCAGAAAGCGTCGTGATTGGGATAAGCTTTCTGAATATGATGATGTACAGGACGCGGCTGCCCTGTTTGGCCCGTTTGGCGTCCTTCAGCCCAAGTGCGACTCGGATGTCGGACGTGGATGTTTCTTTGAACTTGTGGAACCAAACCAGCTCTGGGACGTGGCCCCGCACATCCGGATCTATTTGCGCAATCTTATAGACCTCGTTGAGGATGTCCGGCTCGGTCTGACGCGTCTCTTCTGGCCAATAGAGCTTGGCCACCAGCTCAGGGGATTCGTTGAGAAAAAGGGGATCCCGCCCCAGACCTGATAGTGTCTTGCTCCTCACTGGAAATACCGTAGTTGCACGTCCGCGTATACCAAAATGAGTCACGCGCTCGTCAGACTTCACATCCAGCTCGAGGCCGATTTGCGTATCTTCAACCATCACCTCGCCCGAAAATCCGGGCTCTGGCTCAAATACCCGGTTAAGGCCCCACTGTTCGTATCGCATCCGCTGCATGATGAGAAGCAAGACCAAAAAGCGTGGAAGGTCCTGAACGAAGTTAATGGCGGCGCCTTGAATGCTGGTCTCACGATCAAAAAACCAGACGTAAATGTGGTCGTCTGGAACGAGTTCTCAGTTTGACGACAGGTTAACAGCATCCCATCAACTTACTGTTTACTATCAAGGAGATGACGTGCTGCCGCGCGATATGAGCCGCGAACATCTCCGCAACATACAAGCCGTTCTGCACGACAGGGTGGGGTTTCTTCGGGTCCTTCTCCTCGGTCTCATTTTCATTGTTGCCAGCTCGCTTGCGCTTGACTCCTCTGCTGAGTTGCGACGAGGTTCTTACTGCCTCGCACGTGTTAGTAAGGAAGCAGATAACAGACATACTGCAGCTTACACTCGTTCGATGTTTCGTGGGGGGTCTGGGCAGACCCAGTAGCAGGCGTCGAACCTGTTGGCTCAGCGGGGCCGTTGGCGTTCTTCCTATACTCCATATACTGCGCAGAAGGAGTAGGAACAACATAATCTGTCTTATAAGCGGACGGCGGATGAGGCAGAAGCTTCCGGGTGCGTTTGACCTCCAATGTTGATCGCACGCCGGTCCATTGAAAGTTGTCTTTGGGTGGTTTGCACGCTGTCTCGGTAAGAACCTGGGAGTCTTGTGTTTGGTGTGCATTCACATCCAGGGCAGTTTGATGAGAGACGACGACAACGTCAGGCTTGCGTTCGGACTGTTTGCCCTGGTGGCTTTGGTATATGGGCATTGGATCGTTGACATGAAGTAGGATGTTGGTTTTGTCGTCGACCTTGAACGAAGATACTTCATATAAATTCACCTTGGTCAGTTCATGGAGTGCACAGTTGGCAGCTCTGACGAAAGGAGCATATGTCGCTACTTCGCGCTCGGTATCACAACTTGATAACGGCGTCAGTCTTCTTTCACACCATTCAGAACGCTGACTTACAATTCATTCAGGTGTCCCTTGATCTCTTGCGCCACAGCCCCCACATTGCAGATAGGCAAGACAGCCTCGAGGGAAGTTTTGAGCAGCTTCGATTTCTCACTGACAGAAAGATATTGGGAAGAACCTGTGCACCTTGCAAGGAGCACCTGCAGCATGGTATCTGCCTCACACTTCTCAAAGTTTTGGACGTCCCTCGCGATCCATGGGCGGACATCATTGACTCTGTGCAAACGGCAAAATTAATATGGGTGATGGTGGCGAGAACAAAAGGTTGACGCACTCAACGCCAACAGTACTGATATTTTCGCTGACAACAGCGGAGCCAACTGCGAGTGGGGTGGATTTAAGCCCAGCCTCCGAATGGGCAGACGAGGCAGAGTTACGGGGAGGTGTCTTGTGTACAGCGTCATTAGTATTATTGGCCATGATGAGGTTTAATGAGCTCAGATAGATAAGAAGGTGAACTTTGAGAATCGGAGTATGCAAACCTGAGCTAGCTCTAAACTAGTACAACACCAATGTTGGATATTTCAAGTCAAGGTCCGCAATTGATAATCGATAAATCGATAAGTAGTATCGGGTTTCCCAGTGGTGACCGATATTTTCGACCAACTTGAAGCACGTGACGGGGCCATGCATGATGTCGGCAGCTTCGCCATGGCAAGGGGTAAAACGGTCCCTTGCCATGACCAATTTTCCCCTTGCGCTGCATTTTTGAGGGCCGATTTCGCCGACTCGGAGTTCGGACGGACAGTAAAAGAACATGTGAACGGTTTGACGTACTTTTTGCTTTACGCTTCAGGTACGTGGGAACATCAGGTGGAGCTAAGGCTGCTAAGCGTAAACCATGCGAGCTGGCGAAGGTGAGAAAAATCCATTGTTCCCTTCTTAGGTTCAGGCTCTCATTCCCTCCCGTGTATCTTATCCTCAAATATTGACCACAACATTCTCGGTCGGATGCCCCGGACGCAGTAGGTCTCATTTCAGAGCCATGCTGCTCACTGTCAATAATTGCCACTAACATAATATACTAGTAAATCAAAGCATACTCAGTCCAAGCACCCCACGCCTATCACCCAGTTCAAACGCCCTGATCGTGATCATGTAGCACGTGGTTGGGGTCCGCACCGTTACATGAGCATCACAGTAAGTCATCTGAAAACCTTGATACTACTGAATGCTCACTAGCCCACAGAATCCCTTACCAGATAACGAATCTACGCAAAAGTTCCCCATCTCCTCCCACATAACCGGCAGATTAATGGAATTGAAGGAGCACCAGATCTACACTGTGGAATTTCTGAATCCGGATGGAGCTCGTGTCGCCAGCGATGACCTAGAACTACTTGAGAGGAGATGCGATGGATCCTTAGCCTCCATACCAGAATCCCGGATGTTCCCCTCCTTTCGCCACCTATACTTCATTACCCCGGACGACAGGGTTTATGAAGTACATTTTGGTCATCGCATTGTTTCCACCATTACCTTCCCGCGCCGTGCTGAGGTGGCGGTGCATGGCGCATTGGCATCGCAAAGTAAATTATCTACTATTGTTACATAGCTGCCAGCATTTGTGCAGCCTACTCTTGATCAATGAACCCACATGCATTAAGTCCTCTGGCGAATGAAGTAAGCCTCAGTGTAAGGCCGTCGGCCCGTCTTCATCACATTCGCCCTTTTCATCAGCGGTGACTCCCAATACCTCGCAAGTTCTGTCATTGGTCAGCGGGGTAGCGAAGAGAACCATAGTCTTCATTTGACTCATGCCTGATCTGATGGATATCGTTGGAGCAAAGATCATTCTGTTGAACCCAGGAGGATGTAATGTACATTATATGCGACCGATCGCGATTCAAAGATAGTGCATCGTCATCTTCCTGTCGACGAACCGATTCAAATTGGTCGATGCGGTCGAGTCGGTGGAGTAAATTATGTGCTTACCTTCTAGTTGACCCAGTCCCCTTGACCTGAGTCACGACATTTTGAAGGCCTGTCGTCTGGCAGCTAGGTAAGTCCTCTCCTCCCAAGTTCCGTTCAACGATGAATGAGAACGATGGGTATCTTAAACATCACATTGGAGTGCCTGGAGTGCCCTACCATCAAGATTAATGTTATTGTTTTGCACAGAACGGCCATTATGAATATTGGTGTTCAAGTTGTCGCCTATGCCTCCTGAGTCGCGAGATCAACTTGTTCAAGCTGGGGTAGTCATACCACGTGAATGAGTCGAAAGAGCCCAGTCGTTGTCTCTGTTTGCACAAACATCGTAGTTTCTCAGAGAAACAGAAATATGAATGAAAGTCCGTGGACCGGTAACCAGTTTGCCTGGGTGGATTTGGAGAGATGTTGAGTTCTTCTCAAAATGCAAAGGTATGCTGCTGCTACGGTATGCGAAATGTAGTGGTCAAGTTGTGATCAACCAGACATGAAGCTTGGTGATCTTCAGTCCTGGTTGAGAAAAATTTGAAATTTAGAGCTGCTTGCAGCGAAGCTCAGTTCATCAAAATCGCCGTCGCCGTCTTTGATGATTGCCTCGCAGTCTATATTGCCGGGCTCGACGAAATTAGGGGCCCGTGTTGGTCGCTGCACGTCTTGAGTTGGCAACGACCTAGTCAAATGATAAATTGAAACTCGAAACCAAAAACAGACTCGGGTTTTACGGATGACTTTGAGAACTTCCAATGTGCTTGGCGGGTTTGAGTTGGATTTTGACAGGTCACAAAGTCAACTGCTCCGTATGTAGAGCAATCCCGCCCACATCCATACCCATTGTCAAACCCAATCTCGCGACTGCATTCTGCGCGTCTCTCGTCAAGCTCTCTGGGCTGCTAGCGCAGACCGCGACTCCCCCGCCCAAGCCAGGCGATTTCTGGCTTTCATCATATCGGGTTTCGATCAAATCTTCCTTTGCGGAAGACTGATGAAGTCCTTGAGAAGATCCTGAATAGATGGACACGAGAGTGTGACGATGGAGTTAGGGATACCAGGCACCGCTTTCGGATTGCAAAGGCACGCCACGAAAATAGATATGTGCAGGTCTATGGCGCTATTCGACGCTGCCGTAGCAATAACTATGCAAACCATTCTATCTGACCTGTGCAAATAGATCAGAATGATGTAACGCCTATAGTCAAAAATGAGATACCGAATGATCCAATGCACCAGGTGAACTCGATTCTCCTCGTTCGTTCCTCCTGACTGCGGCCTAGTTTGACACACCTGCCGACGATGTCGTCCAGCAGACCAAGAGTGAATGTGACCCCAGACCCGCCGGCTACAAGAAACACGCTGTCGTACAGACCCAGATCGACGCTCGACCCTCCATAAGGACCATCCAGCATGACTTGAAGTAAAGCGCCCGAGTTGCCCTCAGACTTCTCATTGATTTGTAAACGTTCTCGTTTGCTGTCGGGTGTAGTTATTCAATGCCTGCGCCCAGTCTCCATCGCTGCGCGCCGCGAGAAGGAACCAAGGTGAGGAGAGGCAAGAATGAGACGGTGATACCGAGAGGATAGTGAAGGGATGGTATTCAAAAACTCTGTTGGAAAAGAAAACGCGCAATAAGCCAGCTATCGTCGCAATTATGAACGCGGATCTGTGAAAGATGAAGTCAACAGTGCATCGAACAACGTTAGAATACTATACCAAAGTCATGCGAGCGTCCTGCGCAGTGAGGGTGGCATCCTAAATGTATTTCTCGTCCAGTATAGGGCTAAACCGGATGGCTGCCGCTACCTGCGACCAGGTTGGATGCGTAAATGTGACTTCCGCTTGAAGGTTTAGTTGAATGGGGTGACACGGTGATGCTTACGGGGGCACGCCCAGAACACCAAATAGATAGTCGCCGCCGCTTCTGTAATGTGTTCCATCCGGATGTCTGTGGGTTTCATAGACCGTGATAGCCAAAGCTCATTGCGTTCTGCGCTCAATTTGAAGGCGCTTATCTGCGCTTCACGGTCACATAAGAGTCCGGTAGTAGTGTTGAGTAGACGAAGCGGGGCGGTATCGAGTTGTTGGTCAATGACCCTTCGAATAACACCATCTGATTCAAACGGACTAACATACTGCTTGCGAAGATCTGAGGGAAGGGTTAAGCATCCCAACAATTGTGTACATCGAGGGCTTACTTTGCATTTCCACGTCGTGAGCACCTTCCAATTTGGCGAACATTATTCGGAAGGCTGCAATAGCTTCATCATAGCGTTGTGCGCCTCGAAGCGCTGCGAGCTTCAACTTGTATCCAACATGAGACGAAGGGTTCAGTTGGATGACCTTTGTATATCAAAGTCAGCATCTGACCACGATCCGGAAGGTGTCATCGCACCTTCTGCGCATCGAGAAGCGCTTCGGTCCACAGCATTTTCCCTAACTTCGCCTCACTACGATTTGCGAAGACGGCATCAGATGCAGAGTTCACGTTGATCACCACCGAGTATAGGTTAATAGCGCTGTCATAATTGCCTGCAGCGAGGGCAGCATGTCCGTTGTCAATACAGAGCGCACTGCATTCTTCCTCGAAAGCTGAGTGAGATGCGAGTGAGGATTGTAACTTGCATGACATTATGAACTCCAGACTTGCCGTTGGACCAGTTGAGGCAGCCAGCCTTCGTATTGTTGTCAATCTTATCCATCATGTCTCGGTATGAATTCAGGGCTTCGGCAAGCCTACCTGCTTGACGGAGTGCAACGCATCGTTTCTGGTGTGCATCTTTCCACAAGGACTTTAGGTCCCATCCGAAGAGCTGCGCAAAGCATGGAGTTCGACATGACAAGCATGTTCAGATGAATTGTATCAACATACCACAAAGTCATCGCATGCAGGATAAATCGTCGACGCAGACGAGAGGGCGCTGGACTGGACAGCAGCAGTGAAGTGATCAGCAGCGTGGTTGTGACGGGCGTCATTCGTGGCAATAATACCGAGTTGGGCACGCAGATATGCCTGATGTGCGAAGTTCAGCGAGATTAGTATTAATGCAGAAATGATAGGTTGATCAAGGAGCTGATACTCACTTCCACGACGCGACACGCAACAGAGTCGTGTTTTGGACACACTGCAGCAAGCTCTTGTACATATATGATTGATTCTTCCTGTTGGTCCGCATTGAAAGTAGCGACAGCCTGAAAACAACGAGTTGAAATATGAATCATGCGAGAGAAAATCCAATGTTGCCTTGACTAAGAGAAGTATAATCTTTGAATCTTCGTTCGCGAACGTAGACGCGAGGTCAAATGCTGCTCTTGCGCCTTGGACATGGCCTCTTCCGTATAGTGCAATGCCCTTGGAGATATAACCTATCAATGAGGGCTGGATGCTGATGGACTACGTTACGGAGGAAGGTTGGCCTTTTGTAAGGGGACCATGACATGTTAGTCTCTCACCTTGGTTGCATCCTGAAGCGCATGGTCCCAGTCACGTTTTCGTGCCATAACAAATGAGCGGTTGGCATACGAGGCGTGGTTGTTGGTATCAGTGTTGATCTTTCGTGTAAACAGTTGTTCAGCGGTAGACAGGTCCCCCGTGATACATGCATTGTGGGCAGTTGTATTGAGGGGGAGAATCTAGGCATGAAGGATGCTCGAATTGCGTTAACAGAATCAAGGATGAAAACGTGCCTTGGAATCAGAGACATTGAAACATGCTTTGGAATTAGGGACTTGAGACTGAGATAAAATTAGGTGAAAAATGGCAGGGGAATTCAACGCCAACTTACGTCGTTTGTCACCTTTTTGTCCAAATAGTCCTTTGACAATGCGCCCTTGTACGAGATGGGACGACGACGGGGCAGAAAATGAACCGGAGAGTAGCCAAATAAAAGCAGAGAGAGAGAAATCAAAAATAACAAAATACTTTCATTTACGTAAGAAGCACCTGAACCTTCCTCCTGCAAAGTATTTTTCGGGTATACTGCCCACTCTGTGACCGTGTTATTGTCAGTGTAATAACTTCCACTGAAGATATATTTGCCGTCCACGGAGAAAGCGAGGGATTGCGATGATTGCTGGAAGATCGCAACGGTTTGTCGATCTGACAGCTTCCAGAGACGAATTTTGTCAGGTGCGCCGGAAGCAACAAGTGTGCTATTAGGATCAACGGCGAGGGCATTGATATAGTTCGTGTGGCCCGTCGTCCAGGGATCACCGACCTGCTGCCAGGTCAATGTATCCCACTCCAGTATGATGTTATCAAAGTATGCTGAAAGAAGGCGCGTGCCATCGGGCGTCCACGCGAAGGTGTAACCCTTCAACTTTGCGACGCATTCCCTCGTCTCTGAGCTATAAATTTCGATATCGCTGTTTATTCCGACAGCAAGATGTTTGCCAGACGGCGAATACCCAACGGGGCTGACGTAACTAATAAAGTGAATTGGATTTCCCAGCAGCTTCCAGGTTTCGGCGCACCGCAGCTTCAACGTTTTGTCTATTGAACCAGTGGCCAACCAGTGGCCAGCACTTTTCCATCAGGAGAAAAGTCCAGTAATAAGATGCGATTGTAGTCGGTGTACGTGGCGTAGACTTCGATGTGTCCAGCGAGTTCTTCACCAGTTTCTCCGTGCCAGACGTTAACCACTCCGTGCATATCACCACTTGCTATCAATTTCCCATCTCGTGATACTGCCAATGCCGACACTTCACCATAATGCCCCTCCATCTTCTTCAACATAACACCTTTCTTCAAGTCCCATATACGAAGCGTGCGGTCCCAAGAGGCTGTGACCATTCGTCGATTGTCAGGGAAAACTGCGACTTCCCTTATGTGGTTTTCATGACCTTCAAACTCTCGCATGGGTGTGGTGCTAATATTTGGCTCCGACATTTTATTGGAGGCTGATGGTGTTGAGCACGGCCGAGGTGGACTGGAGGGATCGTGGGTGTCCTCCAAGCTGCAGAAGTGTGTATCGTGTGTTTTATGCTATGTCACCGCATTTGCTTGCCTCCGAGTCGTGTTTTCATAGACGCCCAGGATACTAGACTGTTCGCCTCCATCACCGTTGTAGCAGGAATGTTCTGTATTGTCATACTCGCCTTCCCAGACAGCATACTATCTATCCTCGATAGCTGTATGATATCGGTGTTTCTCGTGTCAACCAGCTACTCGAGGACATCGCCTTGTAACTTGCCCGAACGCATCGATATGGTTTACTGAAATATCACTTCTTTAACCAGTCGAAGATCTGCATTGTGCACCGGATGCAGCCGAACTCATCTCATCTCACTTCTCTGAAATCTCTACTATGCGGTGAGGTGTTGCCATTTCCAAGGCGCATTTTATCCAACGCTTGTGAGGCAACGCCCTCAAAAGCGTTCACACCCTTGCTTCGAGCGCCAGTGGCAACGCAATACGGTCGTCAATTCTACTATCCTCTCACCACAGCCGATATTGCGCGAGCCGTGCATTCAATCTTGAAGCCATCGAGTAACCCTGTCGCTGCGAGTATTCCGGGAACGCTATTGTTTACTATGAACTACATGGGCTCAATCATTGAACCAGGAACCCAAGTGAGTCTCACGACTTTCTCCGCCTAATGCTCTCACCTCAATTACAATCTAGATGCCGCGTGATGAATCTCACGAATTAACTTGTGGTTGTGAGTTCTTAACCACATCATCTCCATCGTGAATGTCGATTGGTCAATTTTCTGTATCTCGGATGAAGAACGATGAGGCCCGCCAAAGCATCCCACCGCCCGCATACATGTCCACGACCCGTTGCTATCGTACTTGATGGGGGTATTTGATCATCTTCAAAATATCAGGCTAGCGGATCACTTTCTATTCCTCGAGGAAAGTGAGTAGCGTACATAAATACATATTACAACGAAGACTTTGTCCAGACCTATATCTCCTTAAAATCCACTGCGCAACACCGAATAACTAAATAAGCACCATGACCAAAAGACCAAATTCTCCAGGTACCAAGTAACCGTCATCTCCCTAAAGCATCTCCAGTGCTACACACCACTGCCAGTCGATATATGCACGCGCTCCTGAAAAGCGATCGAGGTCACGTTGGTTGCTGCATCGGAGTCAGTCACAAGCTTAGCGGTATAGTCCCGAATGCCAAGGATCAGGCGTGGTCCCAGCACAAACATCTGCACGACTGTCAAAATTTGAAGTGTGCCATAATAGTAATCAAGTCCGAGGGTATTTGGGTTCTAACGAAATGATAAGCCGCGGGTACGTGCAGAGGTCAAACAAATCCGCATACCACTGAGATCGCTGGAGATAAAATCATGAGGTTGAAAATAGAGACGGCAACAAAGCTAGCGTGTTTGTTCCTTCAGCGGGAAAAGGGAACCATGCTCATATCTTGAGCTCACCTCAAAAAGTAAAATATGTGAGATTTTATCAATACCATGAAACAATCCTCGATGACCCCTCCTTTCGAATGCTGTCGCAGCTCACGGAAGTGTTTTATAGCAATCCAGCCTGCGAGAAATAGTACGAGGACCTCCCACGCACTGCCGAATATCCAAGTAATGGAATTCAGAAGGATGGTATTGTCCCCATAGGTAGTCGCGCACTCATGAGTGCCAGAGAGAATGTATTCCTCTGGTATACATCAGTGAGCCCCATGTACACCTTTGTTCGTTCAAAATTGAGCGTACCTCCCGAAGTATGCCTCATTGACATTACGGAGACCACTACGTTGAAAATGGTATCAGCCAGGAAGATGACAACGAGAAGTATCAGCATCTTTCTGGATTGTTGATACATGGCATGTAACCGAGTGATCACGATGACTTGTAACATGATTCAGCGTCAATGTCACTGAGATTTTGCAACTGCAAAGCTCACTCCGCAACATTGCGAATATCACAACATACATCCAATTCACTGCGATATACAGAATCCAGCCTGATGGATCCGGTTAATAATCAGGATCACACGCTGCAAACAGACTCACATCTAGGGGGAATCACTATAATGAACCAAGAAGCTGGTCAAGAATCATACTCACCTCTACAGGGCGCCGCAGTTAGTGGCAGGGGTGATAGAAGTGCAGAAGACTCACTGCGTCTGTCAACAAGATTGTCGGAACATTGACTGTATGCCGCAGGTCAGAAGAAATAGCACAACGACAGCGCCAAGCCTTTGAAACATACACAGCAAATAATATTCCCAGATAGCGCGCCTAAGATATTCTCAAGAGTAAGCAAGAGTTGCCAAGCGTAACTATGATGCAAGTCACATACACTCAGATACAGAATGGTCATCAGGGACCAACGTTGCCTCTGTCACAAATCAATATTTGTTGCTCTTCTAAGTTTTGATGTGGCTGCTCACCCAGACCAGTTCGACCTATGAAAGCTTTCTTAGCGAGATGGGTGTTCCGGTGATAGCATTGACATACCTCTTGTCCAAATGTAAGTGCTGTGAATATTTATAGGTTATCATTACTTCTCCAATATTATCATGCTCACCCCAATCATACGTCACTCCAACAGAGGCGGCAACTGCAGAATCGCAGTCAAGGTTAGAATGTAGACATCAGCGTTAGCAGCCGACTGCTACGAACCTACAAAATAGCTAGAAATGCGCCACGAAGTGATCCACAGCCGCCAACTAGGGTCGTCTGAGAATACAGTCATTTTGTTAGAGGATGGATCTGAGGGTGCGGCGGACCTGGTGGACGTATATCGATGGCATTTGTGCTAGATATACCACCATCCAGCGTTTGGATCCCCAAACAGAGGGATGATTGGACACAGCAAAAGACGGAACGACTTTTAGAACCGCCATTTTTCTGCACGTGCATCAGTCCATCAATCCAATACTGCCGATCTGTGATGAGAGGGCTGTACGTAATCTTGGGCTCCCTGCGCCCGGAAAGGATGACAGATCTTCCCAGAACCTGAAATAGGGGAGATCTTCGTGGAGTAGACAGAAAACTCACGTCTGCAGGTGTGAGCACATATCTCAATATTAATGTTTGATGTCCCTGTTCCTCGTCCTCGGGCAGTTTGTCGTTTCATGTGCACCTTCTCGCACTTTCCTTCGAATATAGAATTATAATATTGTAGCGTAAGGATGAGCATCATGATAGAAGTTTTGATTTGCATTTTGGAATTGACTCGGAAGCGGTGCCGGTGACAGGCATCAGAAGTTTGCACAGCCAGAGATCTAGACCGAGATCCCACCGTGCGCGTGATTGCCAATGTATCGAAATCTTGGAGAAAACATAATAGTTAATTTAATTAGAAGGTTTGGACGCACCATCACAGCTGTGCGTTGTTATGATCAAAAATGTAGCATAGCACGTATTTGAAATTCACCATTGTCACATACGTGCGCATGTGGTTCATCCTGAGTCTGACGCCAGACCAGTTGACCATCGGACAAATACAAAGCGGGACTATCGCGCTGGCTAACGACTAAAAGGCTGTAGATCAGACAGCGAATGGATATAAATCGGTTATAGTGAATGGTCGTTGTGATATGATATGAAGGCAGCGTAAGACTTTATCGATTATCATTGATTGAACAGCATCAATCAACGACCCCCTAATACATACTAGGTCAGCAGAGCCTAGATCGGCGAGTACACAACGATCGAGGATATAGTACGCACCAGGACCCGGATCCAAGTTGTGTCCTGAAATACAACAAGCACAACGGATTCAAGTAATACAAATTGTACATGTGCGCAACGCGCATACCAATGCCACTGCCAATTACCACATAAATCGGTACTCCGAGTCCCGCGCGAGTTCACTCAGGTTGAAATGGAAAGCATGATAACCCCGAGTCGTCAAGCTCATGAAGATGGTGTGGTATTACATTTTGATTCCAGTCTCCATGCCTGAGCCCATGTCTGGAGATGCGCCGAATGTACAAGAGCCTTCTCCACCCTTATCGTGGATACAGCGCTCGTCTCTGCACTGTAGGTCTGTAATGTAGAGGATCAGCAGTGCGGAACACGTAGAACAAGAGTGAAAAGACTAACAATCGAAATAACAAACTCTCGCTCACCATTCGGCTCTGCACTCTCAATCACATTTCCGCAGTCCTTACTTGCATCGTACTCCTTCTCCTTTCCTTCCCTCAGCCTCTCGCACTTCTTATCCCTATCTCCCGCCCCCAACACGAGCCCACTTGACCACCCTCCTTCTGCTTCACGCATAACAGCCGTATATTCGTAAGCACCAGCTGCCGCGTCTTCATCTTCGTGAGACTTGTGGTGATCAGGGGACCTAGTTTACTACCATGACGCTTCGGTGACTGAACCTCAATGCACGGATAGACACATTCGGATGGTAAGAGAAGGCTCGACCTATGATGGTAAAGGATGAGGAAAGAGATCATTGATTAGGATCGTCTGGATAATTTGAGACATATTAACGACGCACCAATCTGCACTCGGACATGACCCATTACCCTATACTAGAGTCTGCGCGCGATAGCGTCCACACGATAAGTTGGTTCCAGCTTTTTCTCAGTATCTAAGTCAATCCTCGTCTTAACGTCAAAATCTGCTGCCACAGGATCGATGACGGGGCTCCCATCAGAAGAGCTGGAGCCTGAGCCTGTAAAGCAGGTGGCAGTGCGAAGCGCTAGCTGCCAAAGAGGAATAGCTAACCGATTAGCGGGATTGGATGCGCACGCACAACGCATAGAGAAGGTGATACTAACATAGGCTCCACTCGTTCTGAAAGGTTCAGTGTAAGCGTATGGTACCGGAGTGACGGACACCCAGTTTGATGAGGATGTCCTTCTCTGCGAGGGTAACGAGCATCTTGTCCTTTCGAATGAGATGATTCTTGTCAAGGATCTTGATAGCGTATTCCTGATCAGTTCGGATATATTATTCACGCATCACTTGAAGTGACATCAGTAGGGTGTGGGTTATACGCGATGCACACACCGTCGAGTAAGATCCTTCTCCAAGGGTGTCTTGAAAAGACATGTCTTGGGCTCCCAGTCTGCCATTTGCACTCTTCGCCCTACTTGCCTCTAGTGATCTCTTCCTACTCTCCTTTGTCTACTGTCGGGCTTGTAGATGGCCGGATACTCCGAGTTCACATTTGGAGGTCGAGATGGCATCACGGAGTAGCACTTCTGGACTGGGCGTTGGGAACCTGAGTGCGTGCTGGTCTTGGGCGGAAAGACTTTTGTGATTCAGATGGGATGTCAATTTCGGAGGATGATGCTACGACATATGCATTTCTGCTGAGGTTGGTGGGATCACTTGTACCATCCAAAAGTACCTTCTGTTGAACGACTCTTGATTATGTCATCCACTAATATATGGCAGGTGCATCGACTGATGCGGCAACTGCCGCTGCAGTGTTCCTAAATGGTGGTGAGCAGTGCGCATCAACTAGTACTGCTAATCACTGAAACCTCCAAGTACTTGTCCTCCAAACGAGTCATGGACTCGAGCGTGCTCTGATTCCTTATATATATATCCACGCTCCCAGAGTTACTGTCAGGCGATATCATCGAGATTCACAGTAAGCACTCCCGGTCTGCAAGTCGGGTTTCCCAAACAACTATCTTCCTTGTTACTAAACAACCTTTCACTGACGCAGTCAATGGCATCTTTCTTCGCGTTCTCGGTCCTCCATGGGATTTTTTTACCTGTCGCTCCCGAGGTCCTGATGTCTGATGCTCGACATAGTTGCTGTCAGTGAACCTGGCCCGCGGTAAACTTATTTTTAACTAGACCGTTTCGAAAGTCATATAGCATAGTACTCACGTTCAATTTCGTCATAATCACAGTTCTGCCTTGATGCGGTCAACGCTGTAGAGAACAGAACATATTTGAGCAACTGACAGCTGAGGTCCAGTCAGTCCAGTGACGCCTGTGTACAGCCCCACAGCTCGGGCATGTGCACGAGGATTGCCAGCTGAGCATGCTAACTTTTCGTTACGTGTAGTATACGAGTAGGGCGGGCATGGTCACGATTGTCATTGTGTTCGTAGCACATGTTGGAAATGAACTCGTATAATACTACGTGGTCTTTCAGTAATTATCTTGTGCATCAGATTGCAGACTCGCATTATAATACATACTTTAGTGGTGGATTTTCGTATGCATCTGAGAAACTAGACAGCCGTAGCAGCATACCGGTCAAGTTCGGAGCGTCGCAGCAAATAGCGCAGCAGTCGCGGCAGTGGCGCAGCATTTTCCTAGTGCCTTGTTACCAGGCATCCGGCGTTCATCGATGATATCATGGAGCTGGTTTCGTTGACACTCTTGGTTCTACGATGTCCATACTAGCTAGCCGCAGAGTACAGTCGTGGTATGACGAAGCGACTCGACTAATTGGATGAGGGTAGCCAGGCGCAGATGACCACTGATGCAGATGGGTGATGGCGAACTGCCTCGTGTCTGTGTCTTAGGCGGCTATGGAAATGAGGATGGTTAGCGTGGTCAAGCAACCTAAAAACGCACAACACACGCACCTTTAGAGAAAGACACCCACAGTCCCTCGGCCGTGCTCAACACCATCAACCTCCAGTAAAATGTCAGAGCTCATTCCAAGCACCACACCCATTCGAGCTTTTGAAGATCACGAGGACGCCGTAAGGGCAGTCGCAGTGTTCCCTGATAAACGACGAATGATTACGGGTTCGGACGACAATACACTTCGTCTTTGGGACTTGGAGACAGGCGTTGTGTTGAAGAAGATGGAAGGGCATGGCAGTGCGGTGTGGACATTGACGAGATCGCGGAATGGTAAAATAGTAGCAAGCACTGATTGGAAGGGAGAGGTCATCGCCTGGCACGGTGAAACTGGCGAATCCATCACAGACACAAGGGAATGCGTCGCGTATTGCACAGGCCACACAACAATATGGAGGACTCGGATGTCACTTGCGTGGACGCCCGATGGCAAACATCTTCTTTCAGGAGGAGGTGATTACATATTGGAGTGGGACACATCAACCTGGCAGCAGATTGGTCATCGCTGGGAAGGCCACACTAACACCATTAACGCCATTGCCATTCATCCCGCTGGCACCCTCGTCGCTTCTGCATCTCGTGACAAGCATGTCCATCTCTGGCGGCTCTCAGATCGGCGAACCATCGCCGTCTTCCAGCATTCATCCTACGCGGAAGGTATCACGTTCTCTGTGGACGGCAACCACATCCTCAGCGGAGGTCATGATAACAAGATCTCAGAATGGGCAGTACCTAGCGACATCAATTCAAAGGCGAGTTTCCATTTCTGACTCTCATTACGCAATTCGAACATCCTTCATACAGATCCTTGACATCACAACAGCCCGCGATGCATGTCTAACTGGGGATTTGTCTCTCGCTGAAGAGCTCCTCACCCAAGAGATCCACGCCAACGCCGACGACTTTACTTCATATGCCAATCGTTCCTTCGTCATGGCCCGCAAGCACAACTGGGACAACGCCCTTGAGGATGCAATCAAGGTGAGATGGACCCACCCATCATTGTCCTCTTATAAAACGCTAACTTTTGTCCGTGACATACTAGTCACTTAACATTAGACCATCGTTGATTGGCTTTATCTCCAAAGGCATCGCCTTTTGCGGAAAAGGTCACGTCCGGGAAGCAAGGGTAGCGTTCGACGTCGCATCCATGTTCACGAACCAAAATCTAGAAACCAACTAATTTCTTCTCTTGATCAAGGTACATCTAATTCGTCTCCCATGCTATCTGCTTCATCAGGTATTCCAGGCCATCGCACTCTTCAACGCAGATCAACACGAGGAAGCAATGCTGCTCATAAAATACCTGGATGCCGCTTGTCCGAATGTCGACCCTCTCGCGCGTCGTGTTGTGGAAGTATGTATCATGTGGCTACACTTGGTCATCGATCCTGATCTTTTCAACTCACACAATAGACATATCTACGTGTTCAACTCGGAATCGAAGCTTTCGATAGCGCGCGTCACGACGAAGCTGCTGATCACTTCACTGCCGCTGTTAACTCAGAAGCTTTCTCATCGAAATACCTTCATGTTCCATACCAGGACTTGACCGTGGTGCGTTGACATGATGCATACATAATGCTTTCCATAAACTAATGCTTTGTCCAGCTGTTCGGCTGGGATCTTAAGTACTTGTTGCTTACGACACACCAGCGACGGCGCCAGACTTTCCTTTCGGCAGGTAAACACGATGAAGCACTCAAAGCACATAAATACATGATGGACGCCATCGACGAGATTGCGAAAGCCAGCTGCCTCGATTGGTCCAATGGCGAGTTTCAGTGATGTCGCCCGAGGCTATCATACTCACTTGCATTTGACCCAGAATTCAAGCAACAATGTAGCGTGCTCTGCGCTGCCAACGGAAATGCCGCCCTCGCTGCCAGCGATTATGACAGAGCTATTGACATATACTCGGCGGTAATCGACTCAAACTCTGCATCTCACGTTGTCTTTGCAAATCGTAGCAAAGCAAAGTTGGGCAAAATGCTATGGATGGACGCGCTTCTCGATGCGCAGAAGGTGCGATGGGAATTATTGTCCCATAACCAATGCTCACTGTAGCGATACGCAGGTAATCGAACTCGACTCTTTGTCTTATCTTGGATACAATGTGAAGCGCGCAGCGCTTCATGGTGCGGAGCGCTATGATGAAGCGATTGAGACCTTCCAAACGACGCTCTCGATATTGGACAATGCACCTGATGTTCAGACACGAAGTAAGTCTCTGACAACGCATTCGTCGACATGTTTAACTCTTTCTCCAGAGTTGCACCAGCAGTATCTCAGACCTTCCGAAGTAGAACGTGCCATTCGACGGGTCATCGATGCCCAACTCGACGATGCTCCGCTGCGTTCACTCGACACCACCGCCGGCCTCTTATGTGATCGAGAGACACAGATAAACACCTTCAAAATGAGCACGCAGTATAAGGCGCTTGTGTCATCAACAATCACGCATGCAGACTTGCACATCGAGCACATCGAAGAAGTGGTGAAGAGATATTTGCAATATGCCATGCTGTCACACAGGTGGGAAGGGAAGGAGCCGCTGCTGCAGGATATCCAGGGCAAGTCCGTGTACGACTCGGAGTTGGATTCGATTGGCGGCATTACGAAGCTGCGGTCGTTCTGCAAAACTGCTCGCGATGCGGGGTATAACTGGGCATGGAGCGATACGTGCTGCATTGACAAGAGCAACGACGTCGAAGTCCAAGAATCGGTCAACTCCACGTTCGTATGGTATCATCATTCCGCGCTCACGATTGTCTACCTCTCTGATGTTCCGCCTTCGTCAAAGTCTGACGCACTGGCAACAAGCGCTTGGAACACGCGCGGATGGACGGTTCAGGAATTCATCGCTCCCAAAGTCGTTCTCTTTTATCAGAACAATTGGACTCTATATCGTAATGATCGTACTCCCAACCACAAGGATTCCGTCGCAATCATGCAGGAGATAAAGGGCGCAACGGGAATAGACCGACCAGCCGTTGCAGCCTTTCGTCCTAGTATGAATAGCTCTCGAGAAAAACTGCATTGGGCTTCGACCCGCGTCACCACACGCCAGGAAGACATCGCATACTCTTTATTTGGCATCTTTGGCGTCCGTCTACCTGTAGATTATGGCGAGAAGCAGGACAAGGCTCTCGGGCGGCTCCTGCAGGAGATCGTGGCTCGGTCGGGCGACATCAGTAGTCTGGATTGGGTCGGAGAATCATCAGACTTCAACAGCTGTCTACCAGCCTCCATCACTTCATACAAAGCTCCGCCATGCGAGCTACCACCCTTACCCGAAGATGACCTTCAGTCATCGGTTTCTTTGTTACGACAAACGGGGGTTGCCGATTTCGCTTCAAACTTTTATACTCGGCTTCAGAACGCGAGCGCCCCTCGCTTCGCGGCACAAAGACTGCATCTACCCTGTATTGCATTCAATGTCACGGAAGTTAGACGCCGGATGGGCAGTCCAACTCCGGAAAGTCATCTCACGTATGAGGTGAAGGCAGACGGACTTCACGACTTGCTTATCACCACCGGAGAGACCCTGGTTAAATTCTGGCCGGCAAGGCCCATCGAGCAACGATTTTTCCTCGTCCGTCCCTGGGATCGGTCTCTTCTGGAGCTACCTGACTTCACAGAATTTCCAGAACCGTCTGACTATGGAGATGATACGGAGGGCGAGGAGGATTATGGGACGCCGCCTTCTTCTCCGTCGGACGACTGGTCTAGCGGTTCTCCTGTAAAACAGGGGATATCTGACTTAGAATCACGAGCATTGCGGTTGCTTGTTCGCCTTGGACAGCCTTTCGGCGCATTTTTGCTAGCGCAGCAGCGCAGTGGAGAATACAAGAGGATTGCGACAGATCATGATATCATTGGGCAAGTCCAGGACGTGGTCTCTGTTGGAGACTTGATGGACATCAGGACCATAGAAATATTGTAGTCGTATGTTTTTGTTTCAAAGTTTTTGCACTACTTTAAAGATGATACCATACAGCTGCAGCATACCTGTCACACACGTACGTTAGATGTGGATGCATCGTTTTGGTCTCTCGCATCACTCGGATTGCCAAGAACTCGCTTCAAAAGCCTGGAACGAATCATCCTTCTCCTCAGCACCAGGTTTCCCTTCCTCCGGACGATTTATGCTTCGATTTCCTTTACTACATACACGCTCATCATACATGGGAATAGGAATTGGACTATTCTCCTGCATGGGGATTTGCAGGCCAACGCATGCAATGGACTGCAAGCATGGAAAGATTGCCAATGCGCATGCGCCATGAATGTACCAGTAACTGAATCAACACCTCCCGTGAGTCAAAGTTTCGGGTATAGGTTGCTCTACAGATCTAACTTTTCATAGTACACATATCGATCCACATACGACGCGGTGACTTTAGCCAGCAATGTGAGGAGTTTCCTGTCAGATGTTAGGACGTTGGGTGGGCAGCTTACGCAGCAGAGCGCACAGAAGATATCTATGGAAAATGGTGAGGCGATTAGATGTCATGATTTCATTCCGACGCTAAAAGTTGTGGCTGTTACCAGGCATCTGGTGTTCATCGATGCTGTCAGTCAGTCGAATGAAGCTGGTTTCATTGGCACTTGTGGTCCTACGACGTCCACGCTAGCTAGCCTTAGAGTACAGTCGTGGCATGACGGAGCGACTCGGCTCATTAGATGGGGGTGGCTGGGCGTGGATGATGCTGATTGGAATGCTGGAATCGAGACTACACTGCGCTTTACAAATTATTGGCTTGTATTTCGTATTGACGATGCGCATAATGGTCGCTCTCGGGCTTGAATGAACCGCAGGCAAAAATAAGCTTAATTGTAACATGGTCAGACCGCCGCCACGCATAACCGTTACACCAAGAGGTGAAATACTGACAGCTTAGCTTTCAGTATCAGCGACGGTATATGTACTGATTATGAGAACTCAGGTAAGCCAGCGTGCTTACATTAATCTTCTTGGTACGTGGGACTGGAAACTTTCCCTTCCTGACGGAGATCAACGCTCACCAATCAAAACGCACCATAAACCTGCAGATCCTTTATACTAGTCTACGGCGAGCCGTGCTAAGGTGAGACGTAAGACTTGAGCTTGAAAGTTTGTTGAAGAGATGTGATACTCACTTTATGTCTCGGTAGGGCTTGAAACTGTGAAGACAAATGTCGGACGCGTGTAGCCAGTATAGTCGGTTATCACTGACTGGGAGCATTCTTGCTGAAACGGTGATGGCCAACTGACTCGTGCCTTGGGCTTCTATTGGAAACGAGGAAGGTTAGCGTGGTGAAGTAATATAAAACCGCACAATACACGCACCTCTGTAACTTAGAGAAAGACACCCGCGTCCCTCGGCCGTGCTCAACAGCATCAACGTCCAGTAAGATGTCACAGGTCATTGCAAGCACTACACCCATTCGAACTTTTGAAGATCACGAGGAGCGGATAACCACAGTTGCAGTGTTCCCCGACAAACGACGAATGATTACGGGCTCGACGGACAAGACACTTCGCCTTTGGGACTTGGAGACAGGCGTTGTATTGAAGAAGATGGAAGGTCATGGCAATTGGGTGTGGGCGATAGCGATATCGCGAAATGGTAAAATCATAGCAAACGGTGATTGGAGCGGAGAGATCATCGCCTGGCACGGAGAAAGCGAAACCATCACCCAACCATCAAAGCCCACTCCAAAAAGATCAGCTCGGTGGATTTTTCTGCGGATGGTACGGTGCTAGCCACTGGTTCATATGATGGCACGGTGAAGTTTTGGAGTACCAAAACGTGGCAGATGCAAGGTCATCCAATCGAGTGCGATGGTTATGGTGTCTACTGCGTTCGATATTCGCCTTCTGGTGAACTTCTTGCCATCGCAACAGACGTGAACATCCAAATTTATAATCCAGGCTCAAGAGAACGCGTCGCATCTTTGACAGGTCACAATGATGGATGGAAGACATTACTCGTGTGGACGCCCGATGGCACACGCCTTCTTTCAGGAGGCAGTAAATACATACAAGAGTGGGACACATCAACCTCGCAGCAGGTTGGTCATCGCTGGGAAGGCCACACCGACGCTATCAACGCCATTGCCATTCATCCCGCTGGCACCCTCGTCGCCTCTGCATCCAACGACGGCCATGTCCGTCTCTGGCGGCTCTCACATCAACGAATCATCGCCGTCTTCCAGCTTTCATCCGCCACGACATGTCTCGCGTTCTCTATAGACGGCAAGCACATCCTCAGCGGAGGTGAAGACAATAAAATCTCGGAATGGGCAGTACAACGTTCAAAGGTGAGTTTCTATTTCTCATTATCATTACGCAATTCGAGCATCTTTCGTACAGATCCTTGATATCACAACAGCCCGCGATGAATGTCTGACTGGGAACTTGTCTATCGCTGAAGAGCTCCTCACCAAAAAGATCCACGCCAACGCCAATGACTTTACTTCATATGCCAATCGTTCATTTGTCATGGCCCGGAAGCACGACTTGGACAACGCCCTTGAGGATGCAATCAAGGTGAGATGGACCCGCCCATAATTGTCATGATACAGAAGGCTAACATTCATCCGTGACATAGTCAATCAACGTCAAACCATCATTGGTTGGCTTTATCTCGAAAGGCATCGCCCTCTGCGGAAAAGGTCACGTCCGAGAAGCAAGAGTAGCATTCGACGTCGCATCCATGTTCACGAACCAAGATTCAGAAACCAACCAATTTCTTCTCCTGATCAGGGTGCATTCAATTCGTCCCCCATGCTATCTGCTTCATCCAGCATTCTAGGCCATCGCACTGTTCAACGCAGATCAACGCGAGGAAGCAATGCTGCTCATAGAAAACCTGGCCGTCGCTTGTCCGAATGTCGATCCTCTTGCGCGTCGTGTCGTGGAAGTGAGCGTCATGTGGCCACGCTCGGCCATCAATCCTGATATTCTCAACTCGCACAATAGACGTATCTACGTGTTCAGCTCGGGATCAAAGCCTCGCGTCATGACGAAGCTACTGATCACTTCGCTGCCGCTGTCATCTCCACTGCATTCTCGTCGAAATATATTCATTTGATATATGAGGACTTGACTGCGGCGTGTCAAGATGATACGTACGTAATGCTTTTTATAACCTAGCGTTTTGTCCAGCTCTTCGGTTGGGATCTCGAGCCATTGCTGCTAACTACGCACCAGAAACGGTGCCAGGCATTTCTTTCGGCAGGTAAACTCGACGAAGCCCGCGAAGCACGCACATACATGATGGACGCCATCGACAGCATTGCGAAGGCCAGCTGTCTTGATTGGTCCGATGGCAAGTCTTCCGTGATGTCATCCGCGACTATCATGCTCACCCGTATATCACTCAGAGTTTAAGGAGAAATGCAGCGCGCTCGCTGCAGATAACAACCGTATTCTTGGCGTATGTACCTCGTTCCTCACCTCTTTCGCTACTGACTATCATGCAGGCAGAGATCCCTGGGCAAGAGCAAGATGGCTATGATGCTGAACCCAATTTGTTCTATGGAACGCATCAAGTTTGCGCAAGAGCGTACCCTCTTGTTCTCTCTCACATAGTTCATTACAGTATTCTCAGATTTCCCGGCCAAGACTTCAACAGCGAGCTGGGCGCCTTGGGCGCCTCAAAAGACTGAGGCTCGCTATGACGAGGAGGCTTCAGTCAGTTCCTACATCTGCGCCACCCGCCGCCGCCACCACCGCCTTCAAAACTCACATACGATGCCTATTTACCCTACCACTCCATCATGCAACGCCACCTGCTGTCGACGTTCCTTATGCCCAAGGTCGACAGGTGCGCTCGCTTATTTTGTCATGACTGTTTCTTGGGCGTCTCATTCAAATCTACAGCGTAATGCTGCAGCGGGTGCTCCTGGGAGTGAGCACTCCTTGATACCTGATGAAGACCCTCCTTCACAGGATCCCAATACACAACAGCAACGTCAACCAGCAGCAGTTCAGTTAGACACTAGCGAACGCGGAGGCGGCCCGTCCTAAGGGAGTAAACTCCGTCCACCCTGGGGGCAGAATTCCATCTTATGTCAGCAATTGCCTCGTTCGTCCACTTACCTTAGGGTTAGGTTCTCTATTTTTCGGTAGGCTGGGTTTTCAATTGTTTGGGCCTTTCTCACGCTTGGTCTTTTCCCTAATATTCTGAGTCAGGGAGAGCGGGTCACCCTAGGGCGGCGCGCTATCAGGCGCACGCCTAGTGCCACGTCAGTCCTGCGGATGCATCATGCGTGAAAAAGTCCGGTTAACAGCGCTGCTCAACGCGCCTTTCAAGGGAGACGAGCTACCGCTTCGCGCCGTGGAACGTGCTAATGTAGGTAGCATGCCAGGAGAGGTGGGAGCGAGCTGCGGAGGGCGCGGCGCGCAGATTTGTAGGTAATCGAGCGGTCCAGGCATCGATGCGCAAGGCCGATGAAGAGGATAAGCGCGCTGGCGCGAGTGAATGGCAAACGTCCTTTATATCTTACGATCCCCTACCAGACTTCCGTGAATACGCACCATCTTTCGCATCGCCGTTGCCAATTTGTCTGCAGACGTCACTTCTGTCGAGTCTAGATCTGAGCGCTTGGCCAGGAAGGCTGACGTACGTCGCGCGGCTGTAAATATTTAGCCAAAGATGTAGGCGGCAGTACGTATTTAATATTTAATGCTAATGTCTATTATTCGCGTCTGCAAAGCTTATGTAACGCCCAATGCCAAACCTCAACCGCCATCGTCCTATTAGTATTTCAGAGTTGACTTTTGCCTTTCGTCTCGCTGGTCATCCGCATTTATTTGCTGCGTCACTTATGCGAACAGTTCAGTCCCTCGAGGGTAGATCTGCGTGAGATCTGGCGCACTACAAGGCAGATCTGCGTGAGATCTTGTGAGCCCAGCATCTGTTTGCTGCGACGCGCATGCATTGCGATGCATCAGTTGGGCACGACCCGCAACTTCAATTCAAGATACTTGGACGCGGAATCCCTCCCGTCACGTCCAATCACACCGAAAGGGCGCACGGCTTACGCTTCGAGCGCTGAAAGAGCAGTCGCTTCAAGTTCTGGTTGCGGGTCATTGCGCCTTGACGGTGCATCTGCGCATTCATCTCCTAGTCCAGCGTCGTTCTCAGCACCGCTCCGTCATCGTCGCAAATGAGTCCAGTCGGGATCGGCGAACTACTGCCGAGGGGGCGGTTGAGCGTAGTAAACCGAACGAGCCAAGCGGACGGCTTCTGTAACCCCCGAGCCGCAGCCGCTCCCAGCGCCTCTGGATAGTCTGCGACATCAGTTCATATTTCAACTGCAGAGCTTCGCCCAGCGTCTAACGTTGCGCCCTGCTGTCAGCGACGAACAAACAGGAATTCGCGTTACATATGGATGACATTTGGGTTTGATATCGTACGGACGTCGTGCGTACATAATACGTACATCCGCGGGCATTGGATGAAAAATTAGCTTCAGCGCTGTTAACGTCGTTATTCAGTGCTATTCAGCGTGCCTCGTTGTCAAACCTAGCCTCTCCTGCAGGTTCCGCACCATCATCCACGCTTACGTCTTCATCTTCCGTGCGTCCCAGGCCGCGCACAGTCCAAAATTGCCTTGCTGCAGGATGTCGGAAGGCATGAACGTCAGCGCTTAACTTGACCCATCCCTTCGCATTAGTTTCCCTGAGTTTGCGTATGATCTTCTCTGCTGCAGTGCGAAGCTCCTCGAAGTGGATTGATCCAGGGGGCTGAGCCAGTATCACCGGTTGGAACGTGCCGTCGGCCCACTCTTCGATAGCTAATATGATCTGAAGTAAACGTTAGGTTGCCCGAGAAAATAGCGTCTTCTGCACTTACAAAAGCTACGCTGCGAGCTATATCGGCAGGCAGATACCCGCCCGGAGGTGGTGTTGTGATAGAGTTCCCTGGCGGGTTTGGTCCAAACAGAACGGCGCTTGACACTTGAATTAGTGCAGCGTCACCAATCTCAGAAGTAAACGCCTAAAGATAAGTTAGTTTGGGCTGCTAGTGCATGAAATCCCTTACCACGATATGACTGTTTATGTACGGAGCATCTTCGAGGACAGTCTGAGCAGTTATCTTGATCCCAGAAGTATCACCGCATAGACCGTATTGTTGCAGTACGGTCTGTCTAGCAACGGAGAACGCGTAGTGGTGGTGTTTGCAGGTCGGAAATAAAGGGAGCCTAGCCACGATATCCTGCCAGCTTTCTTCAGCTGCGCCGAGTCCATAAGCAGCTTGCAGCGCTTTGCTCATGGTGATGTAGCGCTTTGCATTTTCGTGCGTCATTCCCAAGGCAGCTGGGGCGGAGTAGACTCGTCCATAGTGCGTATCTCCAGTCTGCTGGGTATGCTGGGCTTGTCCGTCCACCGCAGACGTTCCAGTCAGGCTATCCAAAAGCTCTGGAAAGTGGCGATGAAACACTGCAGTGATGATGCGTCGCAGGGCAGTGCAAGTGAGCCGAAATGGGAGTGAGGCGGTGGCTAGCTGAAGGGCCTTATTGATGTCACTTCCATTCCAGAATTGCGGGAGATCTCGCTCTGGCCGGTGCTGCGGAAGTGCTCGGGCAAAGACGTGGGTATCTTGGTACATAGCGTCGCACCCAAGGTCCCTGAGAAGCATTTGTATAATGGGCCGAATAACTCCAAGGTAAAATAGAAACGGCCGAGCAAGAGCTTGAGGAAAGAGCCAGAGACGCTCTTGGACGCTTTTGCCTCGCTGCTTTGAAACTGGGTTGCCGAGAGCCGGTAAGCCGTTGATGATGAAGAGGTTACGGGCTTTATCAGTAACTGGGCATTGGTCCAGTAACATAGAATGAAGCTGGAAACCGCGAGGAGGAACTCCGCATGTCAAGAAAAATCCAGCTATGATTAGAGGCACGACGTCATCATCCCATTGCTTGAGCCATTGACGAGCTGCTTTCTTGTCTTTTATCACGCCTGGCGTTAGGATGCAGGCGCCGGCAGTTGAGACGACCTTCGCTAGTAGACTTTTGTTGCGCGCCTGCTTAAATATCGACCTTTGCTCCAGAAGGTTGTCCGTGAATAGACTTGTGTCGAATTCATAATAGAGATTGTGAATGCGGCTTGGAAGATTAAGCAGAACGTTCGAATCTAACTGCGTGAGAAGGGCGTGCGCGCAATTTGCAAGCTGTAAGAGATGAAATGTTTGGGGCTGGCGGTCCCCGTCTTCCATAGTGAGACTTCGACCGTCCTCACTAAAAACAAATCCAAATTTAAGACACTCTCTACCTGCCGCCTGGCTAATTGCATACCAGACGCCCTTGAATCTATCGAAAGGCGTCGAATAGCCAGGGTGGACGCCAGCCATTGGCTTCAGGAAGCGTACCTCCTCAGAAATGATTCTAGCCAATGAAAAGAAAGAAAGATTAGATACGACGCAATTCTGAAGTCAATGCACCTACGCCAGCAGATCTGACGATCCAATACTTTTCTTTTTTGCGATTCCAAAGTCATGTAACGAGCCGTTGATGATCTCCATAAAGGTTCCTAAAAAGAAATGGTGTTATTACCATACGACGCCTCTGCAAAGGCCTACCTTCTGTTTCACCCTCTATACGCGGCAGGCATCTATCGCCCGTCTCACTATCCGAGTCGCTCTCATCAGAAAACAACTCAAACCTTGAGTTGGCCTCGGCCTCAACATCTTCGCCCTCCTCGTATTCACTGTCGTCGCTGGACAGGTCGTCGCTAAACAGGTCATCGACCGAGCACTCTTCAAATCGCTGTTCAGCCGCAAGTGACGGCTGGGCTGTTTCCTCCATCCAGCTGGCATTGTCAAATGGGGTAAATTTTGCCATACTACCGCTCTGCAGCCGGGAAAACTGAGCTATGACGGCGTAGAAGTTGTGGGCCAATCGGGCGCAATCTCCAATGAGGGGGCTAGCCAGTCGAAATAGGTCCTTGCCTCGAATGGATGATAGGAATAAGGCTTGGTCGGTGGGACATTCCATGATGCTGTTGGTCTTGATTTCGTGTCTGACTAGTACAACTACTAAGTCTTGGACGAGTTCCAAGAGAGTGGTGGAGCTGAGAGTTTCAGCGGTTATGATGTATTGATAAAGGGATTTTGCGGCCATAAATTGCGCTGCATTTCCTGTCACAGTGAATGTACCGAGAGACAGCTTAGCTGGCAGAGACTTGTTTGCGCTGGGGGCATTGGCTTTTCTGCGTGTCTTGAAATGTATAAAGCGCACTAGCATACAAATGGTGCGGACCATAGGCGCCCCGTACGTAACGTAGCTCTTAGCTGAGATAAACCTATACTTCGCATGCGTCCTGGGGCAATGATACTTGAGTTGAACAGGGCAAAATCGTACCATGAAATATAACTTACTGAAAAGTCAGAGCGCTTCGAATGTTTGGATGACACGACTCAACAAACTGATTGGCATCCTTGAGGTAGCCCTTATACAATCGGTGAACCTCTAGGAGTCCACGTTCCAAGCGTGCTTGCCTCTCAGACAAATGCAGGATGTGATACTCGTTACTAGTAGGTAACTTGACGAGCGCTTGGAGCTTAGCAGTATCCGCCTGCAAGCTTTGCGCATAATCCAGCCACTTTATATCTCTGAGGAATGAAGCTTCCTTAGGTGCGGTTGCTCCTAGGCGGTTAATAGGTGCATCGGGAGCACTTGTAGCCAAGGGGGTGTCAGGCGGAGACCACGTCTCTGGTAAGACGACAACGATTGATGTGAGAGGATCTTTGCTGTCCACGACCATCAGATATGGGCGGATGATAAAACGGCCTTCAAAGAATGCAGGGGCGTCGCCTAAGTCAGCCCTGTGCGAGCGGCTCCAGTGCTGCATAACGTGTCGCTGCTTTCGTTTGTTTGTGCCATGCAGCGTCGCTCTAAACCACTCAGGGCAGTTTGGGGCGGGACATTTGAAACTAAAAATGGCCTCGAGGCCTGGGATGAGGTCAGGCACGGCGCTAGGCAATGGAATGACGTCCATATCGGACGGCACGCAGTGGCTCTCGAGAATATGCGCTATTGCAACCTTGTAATTCTTCTCAAGACGTGTGCTGCAAGCCTTTTTGTGGTCCGGGAGTCTTATATGTTGCAGTAATCTCTTTGGTGGAATGACCCTTTGGTGGATGCTGCAAATAAAACCATAGCAGGTAAACGCAATCCCAAAGATGGATAGGAGTGGACAATTAGAGGCTAGAGGAGCCGGGAATGGCATATCTTTTAAGACGTGGCTTGAATCTGGGCAGTGCAGCTCGTGAAGTCGGACAACTGAGGGAACATCTGGGATTGGGTTCTTAGTAGGTTCCTGGATCGCTGAGTGTAGCCGTTTCCGTAACCTTGAATGCTCTGATTCATCATGTAGAATGCCGCGGGGCCGTTTCCGCACAAGAGCAACCTCCGTTTCATCACCCATGGTGGATAGTAGTAGCGAAGGCAAGGCGGTAGTGCTTGATAGTGAGCGGGGCGACAATCTGTATCGCTGCTGCCGTAGTAAGGGAGTGATCGGGCTTCTGGTAACCAGTTGGGTCTTATTCGGTTCTCCTGAGTTTCCCACGCGTGGTACTGGTGCGAGTACCGACGCAAGCATGGTACCGGTGCAAGTACCGACGCAGATACTCTAGTTATGTCATGGCTCGGCTCGACCCGGCTCGGACTTGGCTTTGATCGGCTACACCTGAAGTTCAGCTATCTTTGTGAGTTGAACCACATTGTCCGGCTTGGTTTGACTTACTAGTCACATGAGTTGGCTACAAGTCATTTCTCCCGAAATATCAACTTGAGCCGGTTCAGTCAGCTTTAGTCATGTGGAAGTCGAACAACTTTCTGTCTGTGCCATCGACCGTGGCACGCACCACTGCTGTATTATTTAGTCCTGTCACATAGCATGTTGAATAAGGCCCTGAGTCGAATCAATGATAGATTCAGGCTGGAGAATATCTTGGGGTTGGGCTCATATGGTACGTTCATTGTTTGTATGATATTGATTCATATTCAAATATATTATTAGCTGTTGTATACCATGCACAGAACTTCCTCAATGATGATGTTGTTGCTATTAAACTTGAACCAGTCACCGATAACCCATCTTCTGTGGAGTGTGAGTACAACATTCTAAAGCAACTTGAAGGTGGTGTTGGAATCCCCCAAGCCCTTTGGTTTGGCAGGGAGTCAACATATCATCCTTAGCTCTCCACCTCCTTGGTCCATCACTGCACAAGCTCTTCCTCACATGCAACCATAAATTCACCCTTCAAACTGTTGTGAACTTAGGGGATCAGCTGGTACTTAGGTTCAGATTTGTTGTGAGCTGCAGCTACTAACCTATTTTCCAGTTGTTGCGTCTTGAGTACATCCACTCACATGGCTTTGTTCATGGCGATATCAAACCGCATAACATTTTGGTGGACAACTTGAAGTAAATCACATATGTCATTGATTTTGGTATCGTGAAGAAGTACTGGAATGCTGCAACTAAATCTCACATCCTGTTTTGCTGAGGTCAACATCTCACAGGCACCCCCGCCTTTGCTTCCATCAACAATCACTTGAGATTGGAGCAGGGTCGTCATGATGATCTGGAATCACTTGCTTACATGCTAATATATTTCTTGCATGGCTCCCTTCCATGGCTACATAGTGACCATGAGAAGCTTTCCAGCTCCTTGATACTCGAACACAAAGTGGATACCACGGTCCACCATCGATGATTTATGTGATGGAATTCCTGCAGCATTTGCAAATATTCTCATCTACTCACACTCTCTTTCATTCTCAGAGGATCCGGATTATGACCATCTCCGTTCTTTACTTCACGATCTTCGCACTGCAGGGCCTGCATCAGCTATGCACTCTTTGAATTTCAATTGTCATATCACATCTTCCCCTCACCATCCTCAAGTCTCTGAATCGGTGAGCCTATGTCTGCCAAAGGCAATGCCTCTTCGTAGATCAACTCATGTGTAAGTGTTTTCATTTATTCTTATGCAGCACTCATCATTTATGACCTTATCGTTTGCAAGGTTATGTCCATGCAATGGTACCCTAACGCCTGCAACTACTCCCACTTTGTGTCATCAAATGAAAAAACGCATTATATAGCCCAATATTTTCTCAGTACTACTAATCTGCGCAGTGTGCATGTTTGTACAGATGTTGATTAATAGTATCTACGTATTTGTATCCATGGTCTGTGTGCATATGCTGTGTAATTCCAGTGTTAACTCCCACAATGCACACTGCAGCCTTGCATTGGGAGAATTACCTCAATTTCGCCCATTGAACTCACATCTTCTGCTTGAGGCTTGATCATTCCTTCGAGAATCAGAACTATGGCTGTATTCAATTAGCTGGTCTTTCCCGATTGTCAGCAGGGTTCAACTCTAATATCATGTTAATAACATTCCTTCACACGTTCTCCTCATGGAAATTCCCACCTACATTCAAGATTCGGTGGCCATGATCTGGATCATCTGGTTGATACAGTGAGGATGAGTTGTGATGCTGTGAAGTGCAACGCTCAGGGATAAGGTGATTTGTGCATCGGGGTCTTACAGAATAAAAGTATATAGATAGGTGAGTCTCTTGTTGCATCTCCCAGCTTCAGCACCACTGATATGAATCATTGTGGCTATCGTCAACAAAACACCAATATCCCCCAGGTTGAGGTCACCCCTGCTACTCCCATACTTGTTGCTGCTGCTGCAACTACCACTGCAGCAGCTACAATTGCCACTACCCTCCAGCTACCGATCTCATACAGTATTTTCATATCTTGCAGACCGCCCAAGGATAAATTTTGTTCACATCTGACGTCTGGTCCGATTCTAAGCTTCATTCCTTCCTTGTTGTGACTGCGCATTGGATTGCAAAAGGAAGCGGGAACGCAACACTTGTTTTGAAGGCCACTCTAATTGCTTTTCATCACATTCCTGGTAGTCATACAGGGAAGGCACTCGCCTCAAAAATATTGGAGCTGATTGATCGTGCTGAAGTGAAACATAATGTTAGTGTCTTGTTATACTGTATCATATGCCCTGACTTCATCTAGATCGGACACTTTACCTTGGACAACACTAGCAACAACAGGACCGCAATGGACGAACTCTTGCAACTTTTGCAGAAAGATGGGATTGAATTTGATGCGGTTGATCACTGAATCCCATGTTTCCCTCACATAGTGAATATATGTGTCCAACACATCCTCAATGAATATTCTACTGCAGACTTTTCACATTTGGCTGATACTTTTGTAGCTGGCCCTTACACTTTTAGCAAGGTGCAGTACATTGACACTCTGCAAAATAACATTATCGATCGGGCCAGAAATATTGTCCGCATAATTCGTGCATCAGGCCAGCATCGTGATAGTTTTCGAGCTGCCATCGCTTCTGGTAATGCAGAGGAATGGTTTGTAAATGACATGAATGAGCATATGGCCCTTCCAACAGTCGAATTGCTATGTGACGAGCCTACTCGTTGGGATTCAACATACATTATGTTCAATCATTTGAGAAGGCTACGACAGGTAATGTTTCATCTCATTAATTCTCACATAGCCTAACGGTTTCCCAGGCTATCGACCATTGGATCAATCTTCCTGCTTAATGCAGCATAGTGCATTATAAACTGAGCCCCATGGATTGGCAAGTCCTGTAGGATCTTGAGGTTATTCTAGAGGTATGTTCTAATATGTCCGACACCCATATCATATTTACTATTCTACATTAGGCACAGCACCATGCTCAGCAATGCATGTCCGGCAAAACCAGTCCTCTACTGGGTAGCACCATTCCGGCCTTTGAAGGGCTGATCCAAAGATGGAAGCTTGTAGCAGACCTTGTCCCACACTGTGCGCCTTTGGTCGCCATAGGTTTAACATGGGCAGCTAAGTATGATGATTGAATGAGTCTCACAGGAGCGTATGCTGTTGCAATGTGTAAGTCCCACGTGTTTTGATCAAGGTGAACTCTAATGATTGTGTATAGTTGTCCATCCCACAAGACGTATGTCATGGATGAACGAACATTGGTCAGTCTCACGAATCACAGAGGCTAAAGACTATATTCTCAAACTGGTACGTCTGCCTAACAATAACAACAGCAAGCTTTGGGCTTATATGTCTTACAGATGCGGAATAAGAGGGCGACAAATGACTCTGCAGAGTCCGATCAGTTGATTCGTCGGCCACGTCCTGCAACACTAGGCTCGATGATCTATGGACTTCCTGAGATAGACCTACTGCCGCGTCGCCAGGGTCACCGCCCCCAATTAGCTGAAGACAAATTCAATGCTTATAGCACAGGCATTCTTAGCCATACAGGAACAGATATACTATCTTGTTGGACGGTAAGATATCTGTCTCTATTACATGTTTTGTTGGTGACAAGGACTAGGTTTCGGAGCCAATATTTCCAACACTCTTCAAAATTGCAATGGATTTCCTACTAATCCAAGCCTCTGCTGTTCCATGCGAGCGCATATTCTCCTCCAGCAGTGACACACTTACCAAGAAGCACCATCGTCTCAGCCCATACTTGATAGAAGCCCTACAGATAGTCAAATTCGTACTGAAAAAGGAGTGACTTCACTTAACCAAGGGTTGGGCAGCGTCCCAAAAGGACATGGAGTATGATTTGATGTGTGCTATAGGCTCTGTGAGCTGTGAAGATCTCTTACCATCTAGTTCTGGTGATCTACTGATATCCGCTATCAGTGGAACTACATCTGGCAGCCATGATTATGAGGCTCTTCTTAGAGTCATCGCAGAGGATGAATGTGACGATGTTCCAGATGATATCGCAGACATATCTATTCCTGCTTCTTAATTCTTGCTTGTTTCCTACTACTTTGACTGTTCCCTTCATCTTACTCACGCCGCTGCTGCTTTTGTCATTAAACTAACCTTGACTATTGATTTATATTTCTCCTCAATGTTCTCATCTTACTAACTGCAGGAAAGATGTCAGCAGTGACTGCGCAACTGGTTTTAGCATTTACTGTCTGACCATCAAACTCACCCTAGATGAGCTTCTAGGTGAGTACAATGGCAAATGTGAGAGCTAAACTTCTCCTCAACTTTATCACCCATGCTAACTGCGTAAACTGCAGGAAAGATGTCAGTAGTGACTGTGTAACTGGTTTTAGCATTTACCGTCCGACCATTAAACTCACCCTAAATGAGTTTTTAGGTGAGTACAATGGCAAAACCTCAAAGGTAAGCATTTAACTCCATTGCCATTACAGTTGTTGAATCACTGTTAGTTGTTGCCCACCTTTTGCAGATCATGAGTCTGTCAACCCTCCTTCAAACTGGAGTGACCCTGCTCCAAGTCATTACCCACCATTAGCAGATTGTGAGTTCATCGACCCTCCTTCGAACTCTAGTTACGCTGATCTGAGTCATTGCTCACCATTAGCAGATTGTAAGTCTGTCAACCCTCCTTCAAGCATGAGCCACGCTGATCTGAGGCATTGCCCACTGTTTGCAGATCATAAGTCTGTCGACCCTCCTTCAAGCACGAGCCATGCTGCTCTGAGTCGTTGCATATGGTGAGTCTGTCATTTTCATTTTCGCCAGCAACAACATTAATCCATGTCTCAATCACATTGCGCAAACGTCTATTGAAGTACCATCCCCACCTGCATCTCCGACTTGTTTGAACGTTCCTTTCCCCTTCTCGACTCATCTGAACAATCCTGTCCCCTTCTCTACTCGTCCAAATGATCCTTTCCCCTTCTCCTTGTATTTCAGCTAGGGAATGACAGGGGTATACCCATGGGTATCTGTGGTGATACCCCCACCCACACCCACCAAAAACCCACACCCACACTGGTGGGTGTGGGTTTATTCATGGGTACCAGGAATAGCTACCCATACCCACAGCCATAGAGGGTATACCCATGGGTATGACATGAATGATTGGTACTACACACTTAGATATCTTAATGAGTGTTGTAGTAGTACTGGAGACAAATATACTGCTAGTCTCACCTTGTTAATTGGCAGCCATTTGAGAGAGATATAAGCTAAATAAAAACCCAACATCAGTAAGTCTCTGAAAAATGCAAAAATCAAAGTTGATATTATCCTTGTAGTACTAGTTGAGACAAGTCTGTTGTGCCTCTTATTTTGTTAATCAGTAGTAATGTGAGCAAAATAAAAATACATATTGATGAGTTTGGCCAAACACAAGTTGTTATTATCATTATGTATCTTGATGAAAATTGTAGTGCTATTTAAGGTGAGTCTATGGCTAGTTTATCTTATCAATTAGTTGACATATCAGTAACATAGGGATTGAACACTACTGAACCAAAGTTCAAAGTTATGTTTCTATAGTCTACAAGTAACATAGTAAATGGAATCAACATAGATGACAAAGATAGTATTATTGAAAATGAAGTTGTTGGCCATTCAACCTAGGCATACCATTCACTGAGACCACTACTAGCATATTTGACAAAGTTGAATCGCATATCACAGTGCAAAGATAATTTTTTTGCCTACATACCCACTGTGTGGGTGTGGGTAGGGGTGTGGGTATCCTAAGTGCCTACCCCCACCCATACCCCTGTGTACCCACACCCACGACCCACAGTGGGTTATAGATACCCATGACATTGCCTAATTTCAGCTACTCTCTCAACTCCCCGCCACCTTACAATAGGTCTCTCCATGTTTGGCGCTGATGCACGCTGTGCTCGTAATCTTCGTGCACAAGTAGCACTACCATACAACTAGATACTTCTTTTAGTTTTTGATTAATTGTTATTGAAATCACTTACTTTGTCTTGTGGATCCATGAATATGAATGATGTGACTTGTAAATGTGAAGTGCGTTGTGAATTGCTGTGATCAACACCTGCTTTCCTAAGTTTCTCTGGTGGTTCTTGAGACTAAAGTTCTGAATTCTAAAATCTATTTTTAGCTTATAATTTAAAAATATATTTGAGTTAGTTTAAGCCCTTAAGTTGACTTAGCTGTAACTAATCAAGCTGAGCCGGACCGTAATTTTATAAGCCGTAACCACTTGTCAACTCAGCTATTTATAGCTCGGGCCGCAGCTAGAACCAGCAACAAGCCAGAGCTGCGGCAACACTAAGATACTCCATTACTAGCTACTTACGCCTGAATGAATGTCACTTATATACTAGCTTGAAATTGATTTTTTGACAATTTTTCTCCCACAGCAATGTTTATCGGTTCTTTTTCCACCAAGAACATAGGGCGAAGTCGCCAAATAGAGATAGTCACCCATCCGGATCATGTTGTGGTGGCTAGACTTGTTGTGCTCTGCACAGGACACCACGTTGGCTCTGTGTTCTGCACTGATGCAGCAGGGCAGCCCTGGGATCACCCTCCAGAATTTGATGTGTTGGATAGGGGCAGCACCTACCACCACTTGGGTGTCCCTGCTCAAAAAATCTGGATTCAAGGAAATGTCCCACCATACTATAATGTTGCACTATTCTGGTTCAGGGATTATTACCTAGATCTACATCACGAAAATGTGAGATTTAGGTACCAAAAGCGATTCAACCCCAGGCGCCCCCACGTGCACCTTCCAGTCTTATATTTCCGCCGACTCAGTTTAATTACACAAATTCAAGTAGCTACAAATGCTGTCTTATGATGTGCGTTTTATATTTTGTGCTACTGGCATTATTTAAACTAATTATTTAAGTTAGCTTATTCATGCGCTTCGCAGGCTCACTGAATGCATCGCATCACGAGCTTGCAGCCCCGCCCAACTCCTCCCGCTCCCCATCCATCAATCCAAAATTCAAGCTCTCCTCCCCTTGTGTCGTGGTAATCCTTCCCAAGAACCTGCAGAGACTATGTTTCTGTACAGCTGAAAAAGTGCCGTTGCAGCTCGTCGCTGATGTATACAATATCCTAGTTCCGTCCCAATATCAACAACCCAATGCGAGAGTGGAAACAGGAAGGAAAGGTGCGATTAAGATTGGACTCACCTAACAATATTCTCCTGGAATTCGCCATCTTTATCTGTCTTGCCATCAACGCTGAACTGGACAGGTTCGATCAAGGCTGATATCAACGCATGGAGCAAAGACCCCCCTTGCTCTCCCTCCTCCTGAATTGCAGAGAGTGTCAGAGCAGACGTAGACACGGACAATGGATCAGAAAGCATCGAAGCATGTGAATTTGCATGGATTGGGGGCGGCGCATTTTCTGACGTAGGGAGGCTGATGTTTGATTGGAGGTTGACTTGAGAGGAGGGTGAGGTTGGGAGGAGCGTGTTTAGCAGGGATGTTGTTTTTCCGCAAACACGGATTTCTGAGCCTAGCGTTCGTCAGGCATGGGCATCAATCATCATAAAAAGAAAGTTGTGGGACGATACGCTCATCCCAGACAAACCCTCGATATGCTCCATCCACCTACCACGCTCATCTTTTTTAACAGCAGCAGCATTTGATTTCAGTAGCCCAGAGAGCGCATATAGTCTTGTGAGCGGGTCTCAGCGGAGTTGAACGAAGGGGGCAGGGTTTGGGGGAGTGCGCGGAGAGGGTCGAGACCAAAGTAGGGTGAAAATCGACAGCACTGGTATCCAGTTGCCTATCAATTGCTGGCACCATTGCGCTATGCTTGAAATCAGGAGACCGGGAACGTCTTGATGGAATGTACTGGATTTCACTTACTGGAAGATCACCCCTCGAGCACAGAGGCCAATCAGCAACATTGGAGAAATGGAAGGGGTGGATACACAAATACAGATACACAAAACTGTTAGAGAGCAGCGGCGATACTCTAGACTTTACTGGAGTACGAAATAAAAAAGAGCCCGGCAAATTCCATAAGATAATTCAGGATACCTACTTCGTAGAGTCAGGGATGAAATTGAATGGGTATCCTGCCGACCAAACGCAATGCTCTGAAACAGATGCTAACTGCACTTCTGTTTTCTATGGGCCGTAAGTCTTTAATTGACAGCTATAACGTTGCAAGGAAACTTACTTGTTGACATGTTGATTGGTGAGCTTGGCCTTGCGCTTCATAGGCAAGAAAGTGATTCCATCATTTTCTTTGCCCTCCTTAGCTCCTCTCATAGCGCAGACGCGCGCCTTCAAAGGTCCGATGGCATGAAGGGCCTGTTCACATGTTGATGGGACGTAACAAGGCAGCTGGCCATGGGGCGCTGCAGCTAATGGCAATGGAGGCAGTTCACTGTTGATCCCACCTTCTTCTGCCAGCGGCAGACCTCGAACATTCCATACCTGCCTGGCTACAAAGCGCGTAAGTCGGAAAGTGTGGACCTCAGCGCTTAGTTTGATCCACCCTTCAGTATTGGATACTTTGAGTAGACCCATGATCTTCTCTGCTGCAGCGTGAAGCTCCTTGAGATGGCGCGAAGCGGACGATTGAGTTAGTTGCATTGGCTGGAAGGCACCGTCAGCCCACTCTTCAATGGCTAATATAATCTAGAGTAACGTTAGACTGCTTGAAGAAAGTAGCGTCCTGCGCACTTACAAAAGCTACGGCATGAGCTATATCAGTAGGCAGATACCCGCCCAGGGGTGGTGTGCTAAAGTTCTCTGGCGCGTTTGGTCCAAACAGAACAGCGCTTGACACTTGAATTAGTACAGCGTCCCCAATCTTAGATGGGAATGCCTAGAAATAAGTTATTCTGGGCTGCTGATATCCGAACAATGCTCACCGCAGTGTGATTCTGAATGTAAGGAGCGCCTTTTAGAACATTCTGAGCCATCATCTTGATCTCAGAAGCTTTGCCACATAGGCCATATTGCTGCATTACAGTCCATCGAGCAACGGAGAACGCATAATCGAGGTGTTTGGACGTCGCAAATAAATGGGACCCGATCAACAAGTCCTTCCAGGCTTCATCTGCAGGTCTGAGTCCGTAAGTCGTTTGCAGCATCTGGCTAATGGTGATGTAGCGCTTTGCCTGTTGAAGCGTCATGCCTAGGGCGGGTGGGATGGAGTAAACTTGTCCGTAGTGCAGTGGTCCGCTTTGTGAGGCTTGACGGTCTGTCATGGACAACCCAAACAGACCATCATGATCCCAAAGATCTGGAAAGTGCTGACGAAATACTGCAATGATGATGTGTCTTAGCATTGCGCAAGTTAGCTGAATTGGGAGTGACGTAGTGGCCTGCTGAAGGGCCTGGTTGACATCACTTCCATTCCAGAATTGTGAGAGGTCTGGTCGACGCTGTGGAATTGCACGGGTAAAAATGTGGGTACCTTGGTATGCGGTGTTGTACCCAAGGTCCTTGAGAAGTATTTGTATAGTAGGCCTAAGAACTCCAAGGTAAAATAGAAATGGTCGAGCAAGGGCTTGTGGGAAAAGCCAGAGACACTCTTGAACGCCTTTGTCCCGCTGCTTTGCAACTGGGTTGCCAAGAGCTGGCAAGCCGTCAATAATGAAGAGGTTACGGTCTTTATCAGTAATCGGGCAGTGGTCGAATAACATAGAATGAATCTGGAAACCACGAGGAGGAACTCCGCAGGTAAGGCAAAATGCAGCAATGATTAGAGGCACAATATCATCCCATTGCTTGAGCTGCTGATGGGCTGCTTTCTCGTCTATTGTCATACCTGGCCTTAGTATGCCAGCCTGAACCTCAGCAATGATCCGCGCCAGGATTTGAGTGTTACCCTCCTGCTTAAAAATTGATTTTGGTTCGACAAGGTTGTCAGTGAACTTGTCCGCTTCGAATTCGTGGTACAAATGGTGAAGATCACTGGGAATGGTTAGGAGAATATGTGAATCCAACTGTCTGAAAAGGATTTGCACGCAGGTCGCAAGTTGTGAGAACGGAATAGTCTTGGGCTGCAGATTTGTGTCCTGTATAGTGAGGCATTGGCCGTCTGCGCTAAAAGAAAATCCAAATTTGCGACACTCTCTAAACGCCTCCCTACTGGCAGCATGCCAAGTACCTTTGAATCTATCGAAGGGGGTAGAATAGCCAGGGTGCTCGCCGGCCACTGGCTTCAAGAAGCGCACTTCTTCTGCAATAATTCTAGCCAGCAATCAGTCATCATACAAGCTCAGGATGATATTAAAATACGCACGCCAGCAGATCTGATGATGGATCCGCCATGTTTTTGGCGGTTCCAAGACTATGCGACGATGAGCTGATTGCCTCCATAAAGGTTCCTAAAAATATTAATATTGTACATCTCTTGAATCTTGAGCAAAGGCTAACCTTCCGCCGCAATGCACCCCAGGTATTCACCGCCTGCACTTTGCTGGTAACCTTCTTCATCCGCCTCACCTTCTGAGTCGCTCTCATCAGAAAACAACTCAAACATGGTGTCATCCTGGTCCTGGTCCTCATCCTCGCCGTCTTCTTCTAATTCCATCTCACCTTCAGCCGCTCCATCTACCTCCAACAACTCTTCCGGTCCAGTTGCTTGATACCCTTCCCCTTTTCCCTCCATCCAGCTGGCCTCATCGAAAGGCGTAAATTTTGCAATATTGCCATCCTTGAGTCGGGAGAACTGGGCGATAATAGCATAGAAGTTGTGAGAGAATTGAGCGCAATCTCGAGTAAGGGGGTTAGCACGTTGAAATTGGTCCTCGCCTCGGATAGAAGATAAGAATAAAGCTTGGTCTGTGGGGCACTCCATAACTTCGCTGCTCCTAATTTCCTGCCTGACTAATGAGGCTACCAAGTCGTGAATAAGTTCTGAGAGGATGTTGGAGCTTGTGCGTTCGGTGGTAATGATATATCGATAGAGTGCCTGGGCAGCCATAAATTGTACCGCATTCCCTGCCACAGTGAATGTGCCAAGGGACCGTTTAGCTTGAAGAGACTTGTTTCCAGTAGAGCGGCTCCTTTTTCTGCGCATTTTGAAATGCATGAAGCGAATGAGCATGCAAATGGTCCGGATCATGGGCGTTCTGTATGCATAGTAAGTTTTTTCTGAGAGTAGCCTGTACTTGGCACGGGTGCTGGGATGGTGCTTAAGTTTAAAAGATCGTTTACTATAAAATAGAACTTACCCAAACGTCAGGGCGCTTCGAACGGTTGAATGGTGTGATTCAACAAATTGATTGGCGTCCTTAAGATAGCTCTTGTAAAGATTGTGAACCTCAGACAGGCCAAGTTCTAAGCGTTCTTGCCTCTCAGACAAATGTGAGACGCGGTGCGGGTTGGGCAGCTTTACAAGCGCTCGAAGCTTAGCGGGGTCTGCCTGCAAGCTTTGCAGGTAGTGAGGCCACTTTATGTTACTCAGAAAGGAGTGTTCAACGGGTATGCGAATAGTGGGTGCGTCTTGGATGCTCGTGGATGTAGCGGGGGAAGGGATGGGTGGGGACCAGGTTTTTGGCAAGATGACGACGGTTCGTACCAGGGGGTCCCTGGCATCGACGACGTTATGGTATGGACGAATTATATACCGACCTTCAAACGGAGGTGACCCACTGCCCCCAGCTGTCCGGTGCGAGCTATTCCAGTGTAAAACTATGCGGCGCTGCTGTGTCCCAGTAGTTTCGCCCGGCCCTGCTTTGAACCACTCCAGACAGTTTGTAGCAGGGCACTTGAAGGAGAAGACAGCTTCAAGTCCTGGGATAAGGTCGGGCACGGCGCTAGGGATTGAAATTACATCCATATCTGGGGGTACGCAGTGGCTTTGTAGGATATGTGCGACCGCAGCAACAAATTCTGTCTTAAAATAAGCATTACAATCCTGCTTGTGTGACTTATGCCATATGTGCTGCAGTAGTGCCTTGGGCGGAACAGCTTTATGATGAAAGCTGCAAATAAAGCCATAGGGAGTAAAAGCAATCCTAAATTTGCGGAGTAGTGGGCACGTAGATGTTACAGGAGCAGGGAATGAGGTGTCTTTGCATACATGGGTTGCGTAGGTACAGCACAACTCTCCCAGAGTCGCAGAGGAAGCCATCGAGTCAGCAAACTGTCTACCGGCACATCAGCAAAACTCTTCAAATGTCACAACACGTAACATTACCCGATTAGGAATTGTGAAAACGTTCGAGTATTATTGGAGAAAGATTATATCATCAGCATCAACAAAACAGCACGAAACGTACATGGCCTTGCAAAGCTTACATGATCAATTATGTCTGATATTGATCAGGTATGAGATGGTGGCCGACGTGCGATGGGCGCCAGCCTGGTGTGAGCCTTGCAGTGTTTCACCGGTCTTGCGTTTAAATACAAGTATGTGACCAGACTTACGTTTACCCAACGCGGTTCATGGATGCAGTAGACCAGCCTTACAGTTGACTCGCATGTATAGTACTAGCTAAGCCACAAGTTTTCGAGCGCCATGTTCAATGCTATTATTGACCGCATTGTACAATGTCTGGGCTGCTGTTCGAAGCAACGTGAATTTCGGATTCTCCGAAAAGCGAAAAGCCCACATAATGAGAGCCGTAGTGATGAAGATCGACCGATTCGCGAGATGTTGACTGGGACGCACTCTGACATTTTCAAGTAAGGCGTAAGAAATAGTCGAGAGATGAACGATACTACTCACCGACGGCCAAAGCCAAAAGCCAAAAAGCGGAGATCATCGCGCACACGACCTGTATCGTCAATCCAACGCTGAGGATTAAACCTGTGTGGTCGGGGAAGACTTCAGGGTCGTTTGCGATAGCCCTGAAGCACAAGCGTCAGACTCAAAGGTGAGAGGACGAAAATGATTGCGTACTGACCAATGGTCGCCAATAACAGTCGCACCTGCAGGAATGAGGTAGTTCTGATCGACGACAAGGTTGGCGACAACCAAAAGGTGTTCTGAACCATTACAGCGGTGAATCAAAGTGGTAACCACGTGTCGGAGGAGAGTATATGATAATTTGTCACGATCATCTGAATGAAACGAGATTAACGGAGACTATGCAGCGTAGACAGAAAAAAAACTCACTTGACCACGCCGGTTCGCTCCGCTTTCGATGCCCTTCCAAAAGATATCCACTTTCTCGGTCAGGAGTGGCTCTATCTCAGGATCCAAAACGCGTGACTGTAACGCAGACTTGGTGCTCCTGGTTGAGTAGTACGAAAACTAGAAAACTCACCACGGTGACATCTAGCACCTCGAACGTCTGAGGTTTTACAGCGCCAAACAACCTAGGGAAAAGTATTGAGTGAAAAAATGCGGTGAGAACCTCTTTGGCGCTGCGTCCGTCGAGAATCTGGGCTAGCATCGCATCAGAGGTTTTGACGATGAGAAATCAAGCGAGTACGCACAAAGGTAAATGAATGGACTTGTCGTTGATAGCCCTTCTCCACGCTGTCTACCTTCGATGCCGCCTATGAGTCGATCCCCGTTTGCTGAATGCCTAAAGGTCGTGCATACGAGAGCCAAACGGGCCAGACGGGTGTCCAGAGGAATTGTGCGTGGCTCAGAAGGGTGGAAATGGGCACAATATCGCTGATCGACGTCTATTCAAGCATGATTCAACGATATTGAACGTGATAATTTAAGAAGAGACTTACGAGGTGAGTATATGCCTTTATCTAAATGAATACGCATAGCAAGAAGATGAGAAGCGCTGGGCGGTGAATAGAGAAGAGAACCGGGGCTTCAAGCTTCAAGTCGGAAGGCAGCGAGCGCACCTCAAAAAGAGTGCCGACCACGATATTCTGACATACGCACTTTGATCAGATCACAATGGCTCTCTCATGTGCCTGAGCAAAGAAAATAAAAAAGCGACCTGAGTGAGCCGTAAAACACCCCAGGGGCCCATAGCTGATAATGTATAAGGATCGTCGAGAATGCCTGTCCGCCATCACCATCCGTCTGGGTCATAGAGAAGGGCTGTGCATGAAAGGTGGAAGAAGGGTTTCGATGTCCTGGACACAGCTAGTTAACTGGTTGAGCCGAGCTATTGCCGACTGCTGTCAGAAAGTTGTCGTGTCGTCGATAACAATCGTCTGCGTTCAAGCACGATTTAACGATATGGAGTGTGATAATTTAAAAAAAACTTACGGCTCGAGTATTTACCTCTATCACGGATGCACGTTCCTCCCAGTAAGGCCACCAAGAACAAAGTTCGGGCCATAACTTGGGAAGGAGACATGCGGGCGGCGCGATTTTTCGCGCGGGATCATCGTTGTGTGCGACTTGACAAGTCCAGAACATGTCGAGGCGCCCGGAGGTCGTGGTGAATGGAGGGCAGGCCAGAAAGAAGTCGAGAAGGAGTGGGAAAAGGGAACTTTTGGCACATGGTACTACGCAACACAACTTGATCCGGGTTTTCGTGCGGGGAGTACAGAATTTCGAGGACTACAAGATGAGATAGATGTGTCTGTACAAATTGTGGAAGGAAGGGGGCGAAGAAAATCGATTTCATGTCCGTGGAGCAATGGACCAGCGATAGTATCGTCTCCAGGACAGCCGTCTGGTTGGCTAGATCGAGCGCTGAGGTACACTCGTCAAAAACGAGGATCTTGGCAGGTCGTCCAAGCGTGCGTGCGACTTGCAAACGCTGGGCTTCAAGTTGATCACCAGAGATGAGAGACATGTTCTGGCTGATGAGCGTGTAGGATCATCCTGCAGGAGTGTGGAGAGGCCAAGAACGGCAGGTGCACGAATGAGGCTCGCCAGCTGCACGAGGACATTGAACCAGGGTGTATGGATAGTATAGTAGGCCGGTGAATGACGCGAAACCTTCGTCCAGTCCTCACGACCTGCCCTCTTCAACCGGAGATATCGAATGAGGGTGGTTCAATACTGCAGCCGCAAGACGGAAATGCATATCGAAGTCAAACCGTGTGCAGAGCTTAAGTGAGACTGATTGGATGGAAATCTCAGGGTAGTGTGAGATGGGGAGAGCGAGTGTGAACGCGAGGATGGATGATGACAAGATTGTGACGCTGAGCTTCGAGTTGGAACCAAACGTACGAGGTGAGAACAGATGAATGGTATAGGTCGAGTAGTATGGAGCCGGGAGATGAACGAAGTAGTGTGGGAGCGAGCTGTAGGTGCGTAGAGTAAGGTGACAAACGTTTGAAGTCAGCCGGTGCAATGGAAAAAAAGGTATGGATGACTTACCTCCTCCTCCCCCTCTATATCCGGATGGTGAACAAATTTAGCGAGGGTCAAGCGCTCGAGCGTTTGTTGCGGGTGGTATGTGGTTCTAATTTTGGCGAGATTAACCGGGTATCACTTTTTTGATTACATTAAGTGCTGACAACGTTTTCCGAAACGGTCCCGGTCATGGATCAACGTGCCGAGCGTGTGGTACAATTCCTTGGTTGAGGTTACATGCAAGCCTGACAGCGCCCAATACTTCTTGATCATGTGATGCATATGGCTAGTCGTGTTTTGATGTCACGTTTCAGGTGCGTCTATGTAGTGTGTTTCACTTCGAATTCACTCGACCTCACGATGTGAATTAGTAACGTCTTTCTCACTTCTATCAAGGTTTGGCCACGAGCCTGGAGCAACCTTATCTACCCCGTCTGATTTTCGTCGAGCGCACTTACCTTGGTGCTTTCACTTCCTATTTTCCGACCATTCTATCATATACTGACCAAGGACAACCTGTTCCCAGTTAGTTACGCTGCTCAATTTGCGTAGACTACTAGTTCCATCGAATTCACGCCATTATCGATTTCGAACCTTTCCTCCCCCTTTGCCCATGACGATTGTGCCCAAATTTGTTTGCCTTCAAGCTTCGGGTAGAATGTGATCTCCTCAAGGTATGCCGACTAGTTATTTTAGTCCCATGTTCTCAACACGCGTTAGATGAATGAAAGATAACAGTTTCCTGAGTCTTGTCCTCACCCACAAGGCTTGTGATAATCAGCATACTAACCCGAAATGTTCCCCCGCATATTAGTGTGCGGTCAGTATCTGGTTTATCCAATGATCCGTTGGACCCTGATGCGTTTCAGGTGAGATTGAGTATGTCTAAGATGAGTTCGAGGAGATGTTTCGTGGGGTCGCTGAAATTGTAGTAAGTTGGCTTCCCTTTCAATGCACCTCCAGCTTATGCGCCATCATCCCTTCCCCTCTCAGCATCTGGTATCAGGACCTCGTTCTCATTTCCTCTCCTCATTCGGGCCCAATGGGCCGTATGAAGGGACTGTCGCCTTGTACAGGTGCAACGCATCTTCTGCAGTCATAGGAAAATTGGACGCGCCATTAACCCACGCTTTAGCCGATACGAGCAAGGTCTGCTGGATCGCTCAGAGTAGCAGTGGTTACGATAAAATCGACGTGCAAGCCTGCAAAGAACGAGGTAGCGTCCGCTCTCAGTCAGACAACTATCGCTAACGTGCATTTGCCCCAGGAATATTGGTGTCGAATACTCCAAGAGCGAACGAGGATGCTACTGCTACTACCACTTTATGCCTTATGATATCGTGCCTGCGGCGCTTCTCGATGGCAGAACGCTCCCTTCGCTCTGGTACGTGGAAGACACCCTGTAATGCAGCGCAAACTGACGACATTACTGGACGCACGCTTGGTATCTTCGGCTTGGGCGACATCGGTCTGAGATTCGCTCGCCTTGTGCACGCCTTTCCGATGCGCATCGTATGCTTCTCACGAAGGAAGGCAGAATCCGTACCAGACTGGTGCGAATATGTCTCAAGCCTGGAGAAGCTGTGGAAGCAGGCTGACGTGCTGAGCCTACGAGTCCCTTTCAACCAATCCACAGCTGGTATAATTGGAGAGAAGGAGATCAGGACCCTGCGACGCGGAAGTGTGCTTCTCAATACGTCACGAGGACGAACGGTGGACCAAGAGGCGATGATACGAGCGCTGGAGGACGGTCATGTAACGCTTCTTCTATTGTCTTGTCGTCTTTGCTCACAACTTTTAGCTTTCGTCAGTCGGCTTGGATGTATACCCCGATGAACCGCGCGTAGATTGACTTTCCCGCAATGTACGCTTCTGCCGCATATTGGGGGAGTATCAGCGGAGTCATCGAGGGCAAAAGAACTGCAAGCGTTGGGAAACTTGAAAGCTTTTGTACTGGGTGGCATCGGGGAAGATATTGTCCCTGAGCTGAAGACGGGAATCGGCAACTCGACTATCTTGTAATCGCTAGCAGCAGGCCGGACAAGGCATGACATAGAAGGAACAACTGCCTTCCCTCGTCTAATGATAGAACGCGGCTCGTATAATGGAGAAGATTGATCTTCAACCTCATCAGAATGACATTATAGTCTGGTTCGACAGCGCTAACGAAGTGCGGATAGAGTTCGGCTAAGTGGGAGATTGAGGCCTAGAGTTCTGGTCACGCTGCATGTGTATTTCCATATTGTCGGTGGATGTTCGGCACGATAGACGCTGGTATGATTGCACAAGCGCTGGGAATGGAGATCACCGACCAGGATTAGCAGAAGAATCTGAGACCGTGCTAAAGTAGATAATGGCTTGAACAGTTTGCGGCGAAAGCGGTCTGCCAACGTTGAAAGGGGCATGCGAGTATCAGAGCGCTTGCTGCTCCTGGACTTGCATCGTACTCAGTTAGCATGCAAAGGCAAAATGTAGAATTGAGTATATTCTGTGAGGTAATGACAAAGGCCGAAAAAAAGTCTATTATCGCTGAAAACGGCACGCAATGAAAAAGACGAATGATTGCACGCGACTAGTCCAATTGAGGACTGCATGACAACTACGCGGTGAGGGAACGCAGATACGCCGTTCTGCCCAAGAGCTAGTAATGTTTCCCCATGAGGAGTCAATGGATATTCAGAATAATCTACTTCGCGGCGTTTCTCCTTTGGCACGATGGGAGCGACGCAGAAAGCCGCACGGCCCTTTCCTCCAGCTGCGAATTTGAGTCATGAGATGAGGCTTGAGTAGTCACAGTAAGATATGACCTACTTTTCACGATCTCGCCGAAGATGTACACGAGATAAAGCGCCAGTTCAGCGTCATTCCAATTCAGCAACATCCCGCTGCGATAGGCGGATAATGTTTGCAATGATAGCGTTCTAACCGCACTAGCGATAAGGTCTTGGTCAATTGTGAACGCGGCATCCATCGACAATTTGAGATCCTGTAAATAAAGTTAACGGACTAGAATCTGCAAGCGACGTAGAAGCAACCTTGTGGAGCGTTTCAAATGCACTGAAATCGTCATCGTCCAAGTCGGTAGGATCTTCTTCATCATCCCACTTCATCTTCTGCATAATGATTTGGAGTGAAGGCGCGAGGAATGATCGTTTCGATTCTTCAAGTGGACGCAGGGTTGAACGAAGGAGCGCACTATATCCACCGCCAACAAGCGCGTTGCCATTGTCACATAATGGAGGCAGCAGTCCAACCAGAGTCATGGAAGCGCCTGTATCATTTGTGAGTCCGTATCAACAAAATCAGTTCGACGACCTCACAGATGAACCTCCAGGCATAACCTCTTTCGTGGATCTCCGTGCGAGATGCGTTGATGTTCATAGCATTGCAGAAGTACGGTAGCCGCATGCCTTCAATGTGAAGATCGCAGAAAGCCTGACAGATGCGTTAAAATTGTAAATCCATGCTAACTTGCCGAAAACTTACTTTGTATACAGTTCTGTTAAACTCACGCCCCTAAGGCGAGATGTGAATGCGTGGGACGATACAAAGTGTGATCAGATGACTTACTGCGGTGCAAGCGACGAGGTAATATGTAACGTCTGAAAGTATCCTCCAAATATTTCCTATTCTTCCGCTGAACTGCTTGGCACAACTGGCGCTCATTATAATATTGCACTCGCGTGCGTAAAGACCGCCTATAAGTGCGCCGATACTCGTGCCTGCGATGTAGTCGATGAGAATACCACGCTCCTCGAGCGCACGCAAGACGCCCTGTCATCTTATCAGCGGATGATGATAAGTGCGTAGAGATATCACTAACGAGATGCGAGATGCCACGAGCCCCACCACCGCCGAGGACAACTCCAACAGATTTTGCGCGAAGTCTCCTGGCCAGACGAGAGAAATCATTGATCATAGGATGCGGCTGTGGCCTTACGTGCCTAGATCTCCCCCTGTACTTCTGAATGCCGCTCTGCACTCTATCCTTGAGGTTCTTGAATGCAATGACAACGTCTGAATCTTGTATCTGCGTGGTTTTCACGATCGGAACTGCAAGGCCCTATCGTCCACGTTTAAATCACTAATCCAAGAGTGAAAGTTTACGTATACGCACCGGAAGTTCAACGTGAATACGTTGGTGTGCCCAAGGTTGATTCTGTATCATTATGAGATCAGCAATTCATGAAGCAGTTCCCATAACACAGTTTCAGCCATTCGCGTGTCGACCCAGGGGCTACAGAAAGCGTTGAGGAAGCTGTGACCGCTACCGGATTCACTTGCCGCCGAGAGATAACAAACTGAACTCTGCGGAAGAGGCCCGAACATACATTATAGGTGACGCTACATGGATAGGCTAGCAGGTCCATAGCGTAGGGAAGCCTTGAAGGTGATGGGACCATACTTTGGCCAAGGACATGGTTATTAACATTAGTGCGGCTTGAGGCTGCAAAATGGCAGAGGTTACAGGAGCGGACCATTGCGGTAAACATCTGAATGTGGAGCTTCGAAGAGAGGGAGGGGTTGCATTCGAGGTAAGGGTGATGTCAATGGAACGAAGTGCAGAGTGACTGTCGAGTCAATGGTGAAAGAAAGAAGGTGAAGAGGGAATCACCAGATATGAGGCGTATCTCGTAGGAGATGGATGTGGACTCCCGGCGCTCATGCAACTTACGCCTTGACGCCCTGAGCTTGGCGCTGCGGCTGCACTTCAACCTTCGCAGCTGCGAAGGAGAACAAAAAACTCGTCAAGACTCATGCATGCGCGGGGCTGCTGCGTTTGCTCATCAAACCAGCTCAGAGACAGCTGAAGCGTGGGCCATTGCTAGGCTCTGCGCTACCCCGGATGCTATCGTTGCAGTAGATTTAGCGAGGGCAGGCCTTGCCTTTGGGAAATTCAACCAGTAAAACAAAGGGCCGGAGAAGCGAAAACGGGCCAAGCAGAAAGCAGAATGATAGGGGTCCTCGGCTATGGATTTTGTAGACGCTCGCCAGGGCTGTGGGTTCTCTCTGCGCTCCGAAGCCTCTTGCTTTTCCACCTTGGAGAAATAGAACTTGATGCTATACATAAATTGGAATGATAGCAGTTGCTAGTCGGAGGTTACAAGTAAACTATGGCCGTGGAACAGTACGGCGTCAGTTTGCATCAAACTTTAAAGCGCCGCCTGCTTGATCAACGGCCCAACCGGAGGGTTTATCTTTCAACACCTCGTACGATGAGCGGGGAAAGAACCAGACATTACCAACCCGCCCTGGAGTGATTCCCTCTTCAGAGACTCCCTCCCCAGGGCTCCAATTTCCAATTGCATGGTACAACGCGCCTGCCATGAGAATAATGACCTCTCCCGGCCGGTACCTTGATATAGATGAGCCTACGTTAAGACTCTAAGCTCATGACTCACGTTAATTTAATCTTCAGGTCAGGAAGGTAGCATTCCCCCCCAGAAAAATACCCCATGGGGAATATGACTGCTGGCCCCTCATCCAATCCATCCTGGTGCGGGAGTACATTAAGTTTCCACACGACGGCCCTGCCCAAGAAGGGACCTGGGTCCACCACGGTCCATTTACCCGCCTTGAAAGCCCTTTCGTACTTCAAATAGAATTCGGGGAAGGCTGTACGAAACATAGTCGCCAAGCATAGCGCCAACTCTTCAGTATCCTTGAAGTAACGATAAACGTACTGGGAGCCGCGGCACCCACGCACCATGTCAGCAGAGGGATGAACGCCGTGCTGGGATGATGTTGGGTGAGGCGGAGCATTCGTAAGGGAGGGTTAGCGAACCTTTGCAGCTTTATGCCCCTGGTCAGGCCAGGCGTGTACCAAATGCAAGACGCCAGTAGCCTCTGAGGCGAACATATCGTCCTGGTATAGATATTCGACGCCGTTGAGCGTAAAGGTCTTTTCACCTTCAGAGGCCACAATCATGCCGCCAGAGTCCTCCCCATCCTTTTCATACCTCATTAAAGCGTCGCCTTGGTCATGCCGACCGTCACGCTCAGATTTCTTGACTCCCACCTTACTGAGCAACAACTGAGTGGCCACCATGGTTTTGGTCAGTCTGTCTGGCTATTCAAATAGTCAGTACTAATTCAATGTAAGCGTGCATTCTCTTACCTTGATTCCGTCAAAATGAACCTTTTTACCGTCCTTTTCAGCCTGGTCTAGACAGGCTGGGGACCGTCCCATGCTAGAAGGGGTCATCGGTCCAGGAGTATAATATGTAGTCCCATCTGCGCTCTGCAAGAGTCATGAGTCGGCAAATTTTCAAGGGGAATAATCGCTTACCCCGAGGTTGTCATGCAGTCGTCGGGAAAAGTAGGCCACCAAGGTATTTCCGTCTTCGTCCTGGAAAACTCCAGAGGCTCCATCGCTCTCCCACGAAACCATGTCGTCGATGACGGCCTGAGCTTGGTCTTTGGCAGTATTTTTTTTTCGCTTTTCAAGAGCCTTGAGGCTTACGCCTTTGAGACGGAAGACTGGAGCGTTGCGTTTCCAGTGCGCAACATCATGCTTGATATGTCTCATTATACGTTGCTGGCATGCATTCTGGTTCACCGTCAGGCGTCGGATGATGGGCTGCACACTCCGTTTCTGACAGCGGGCGACAGGTTTTAGAAGGTGGGTTTTGGGATGGGGTGCGGCGGTGGACTTGCGCAGCTTGGACTTTTCTTCCTTCTTGAGTTTGACGGCTGCTTGGGAAACAAGGGTAGCGTTGGTTATGATAGGACGAGACATGGGAGATGGCAGTCAGCGAGCAACCGTGTAAGTTTGTAATTGTTGATCGTTAGTACCTACTAGCTACTTAAAGACTGTTTGTACGTACTACTAGCCAGGTCTGCAGATGACCAACTTCGGTGCGAAGGCGGTCTAGTAGACAGGCAACTAATGCCAAAGCGTCAGATCTAGAAATTCGGCGGTGATATCTTGTGATGGTAGAAATATTAAATATAGCTTTATGTTACTGCGAGTATATTATGGTGAAAGTACTGGTAACTGGCACTGCAGGTTAGTGCGATGATGACGTTGATATAGTATTGTAATAATGCAAACCATTCTATCTGACCTGTGCAAATAGATCAGAATGATGTAACGCTAACTATGCAAACCATTCTATCTGACCTATGCAAATAGATCAGAATGATGTAACGCCTATAGTCAAAAATGAGATACCGAATGATCCAATGCACCAGGTGAACTCGATTCTCCTCGTTCGTTCCTCCTGACTGCGGCCTAGTTTGACACACCTGCCGACGATGTCGTCCAGCAGACCAAGAGTGAATGTGACCCCAGACCCGCCGGCTACAAGAAACACGCTGTCGTACAGACCAGATCGACGCTCGACCCTCCATAAGGACCATCCAGCATGACTTGAAGTAAAGCGCCCGAGTTGCCCTCAGACTTCTCATTGATTTGTAAACGTTCTCGTTTGCTGTCGGGTGTAGTTATTCAATGCCTGCGCCCAGTCTCCATCGCTGCGCGCCGCGAGAAGGAACCAAGGTGAGGAGAGGCAAGAATGAGACGGTGATACCGAGAGGATAGTGAAGGGATGGTATTCAAAAACTCTGTTGAAAAAGAAAACGCGCAATAAGCCAGCTATCGTCGCAATTATGAACGCGGATCTGTGAAAGATGAAGTCAACAGTGCATCGAACAACGTGAGAATACTATACCAAAGTCATGTGAGCGTCCTGCGCAGTGAGGGTGACATCCTTGATTCGATAGCGGAATAGGCGCAATAATACATCTGCGCCGTAAGATGCAAGGGGAGGGAATATCCACGGCGATGCATATAACGTGTGGTAGCATATGGTGACAAAGAATGCCACGTATGTCAAAACGGTTCAGAAAAGGTTAGCTGTGATGCGACGCGACGCGAGGCAACAAAACTTACTGGACGACGAAGAAACGCTCATAAAACAGTCTCCTGACTGGCTTCAAAGACATAAGGACGATGATGGAGAGGAGGGCCAGCGAAGCCACGCCCGAAGTCTCTTTCTGCGGACCAAGAATTGCAAGTCCATACTGTAGATGATTGCGAATCCACAGGGATCCACGAATGCATCCGCCGAGGAACATAGGTCTTCCTGCCATCCTATGCATGAAGTTGAGTTTCTCGTAGCCATTCCTTGGTCCTAACGATAAGGACAGAATTGAGTTTTTTGTTGCGAACAAAAAGACGACCGAAAACTGTGCAAGAGCGAGAAATCCTACGTGGCTCAAATAAGTTTCTCTCGTGCGTTAATAGATTGACTGACTCACCAGCTCTGTTCGGATTAGAAATAAGAGCTGCATCCTTTATGATGCAGACGGGTACAGCGGCGAGGTACGCCGATAAGACTATGACTGAATATTACAATGCGTTAGTATTTCCTATAAGTAATAACATAACACCTTCGATACGCACTTTGTCCGAGATTGAGCCCGAGCTTCGCAGGAGACCAATACGTCGGTGATATAAGAGCGTTCCAGGCTCCAACCAACCTACGATGTCTTTGATGGATCGTTGGGGATGGAGCAGCGCAAGCTCTTTCCGTGCAGTGGTCTTCATTAAAAGTAGCAGCCTTTCGTATTCTCCAATGCTCGGATCATCACCCATCCCAATCACAAAGTCCGCCTAACGAAAGGGGTTATAGCGTTCCAGCCTTGCGAGCTATAAATGACTTACCTGTCGGATACAAGTCTGCGTCCAGGGGCTGTTGACGGGTGAATCAACGACGTAAAGCACTGTTCTATATCTTTGCTCTTGGTCTGCAAGCCAAGCTGCAGCCTTGAATGTGCCCATACGAGAGAATGCGTGACGACCAAGATGACCTGACGCAGAGGCTTGATTCATATACGATGTCTTTGCGCCCATCTCTTCCAACGCAGTCTTCATTTTCCGGGAAAAGGTATCGATAGGGACATTTCGCGATGCTGGGAGAATCGCCACGGTCTTTAAGTTAGTGTTGTTCCGTCCCAGTTCGAATGCAGCGTTGCATGTCTGGATATCGCTCGACGGATCCATCTCGTCGCATACGCGAGAGGCAATCGTTCGTAGAAGCCTAGGCATGGTTAAAGACGAGCCTTCTATAAAAGATAGCGGTAACTGTGCAGTCGTCTGTGGATTTCTGAGCATAGTATGAGCAGACAGCATAGCAGATGAGGACTTACCTTGAGGAAATGGCGTTAAACAGCGTCTGGGGCATTCTAATCAGCTCAGAGTCACGGATTTCACGGATTGTTGTTCTGCGTGCTGAGCTGGTGATGACGTCCAATTCTCCAACAGTATCGCCTTGTCCGTATTCGCCAGTAATTATGACTTTACCATCTTCTCCCTTGGTAATTACCCGTAGTCGTCCGTTGATGACAATATCGAAACTATCAGTAATGTCTTCAGGGTGCCAAATGACTTGACCTGCGTTGACGTGCATCCAGTCAAGAGAAGCGTTGATTTGCAGGACTATCACATCGTTAGCATGTGATAAGGGATGGTTGATCAAGGGCAGTACTAACCTAAAGGTAACAGCAGTGAAATGAGACGTTTTCCTAATGTGAGCTGCACGGTAGGTCGTTTCTGAGCAGGCAGAAGTCCCACATATGTATCAGTCTTCGCTTGGATATCAACGGCGTTCTGCAGAGGGACGCTTCGGATAACATCAGGATGTGCGAGAGCCGTCTGATATAAGCGTACCGAGATAACCCGCAATTCCTCCTGGTTTCACGGTAAACGACAGCTTGCGACTCTGGGCCGCCTCAGGCTCTTGCTTGTGGTCGGATGTGTAAAGAGAGTTGGCGTCTGAGCTTGTCGATCTCGTCCCATAGGACACATGATTTGGCCGGGACTCCTCAGCACGTAGGAGAATATCCAAGAAACCTTCAACAACGTTGGAGTAGGGCACCCCCTGGAAGGGGTGAGCGCTAGGAATAATATCGTTCATAGATAAGAAGGAAAGGAATAGCGTCCGTACATGAAGAACATCTCCTCTCTGTCTCCTTCAAGATACTTTGTCCCTGCTGCCACGGAAACGGAGCCATTCGAGCCAAGTGCGTATCGTCAAGACAAAAGGTGAACGCGTTGCCCGATTTGTGGTTGTGCAGTTGCATTCGGGCTGGACAAGCAATTGACATAAGTTCAGAACAGTATGCGAGTGGAGCCACTCAAGATCGACATATAACGACTTTGCGATTATAACCGTGTACATTGAGCCAGAGATCGTTTCCAAATCGATGCGATAGTTGGCTTGGGGTTGTGAACAAGAACAATAGTTGACGGACACGGTATCAGTTCTGGCATAGCGCTTACTAAACGCTCGTTGAGCTAGAAAGACAAAGTGACGCACAAGAACAGTGAGAGAGTGCTTGTGCGATAGACGCAAGTGTATATTAAGATCAAGGTACAATTGCGATGGGTTCGATGACCGAAACTGTAAGACTTTACTGCGATGTGCCTAGTGATGGTTTGAAACTGTAGCGGTAAGTTTAATTCTAAACGAAGGACGTGTTGTATGCGATAAAACAAAGACAATTGTTCGTAAGTTGGGGGTGGGGGTTTTGGCTGCTGTCTGTTTCGGCTTTTGCCGGGTTTTCCAGACAGATGCTATCCGTCGAAGCGAAGGTATTAGTGAGCCGGAAAGTGCCTGCACTAAAGAAAACGTGAGAGAAAAGACGGACAGAGACAAGCAGACAAAAACCCTCGAGTGTGAGGTAGCACTAAGTGAGGTTTTCAGAAAAACACGACACTACCCATGACGAGCCAAGGCTCACAAACGGTCGTGTTGAAAACCGCGACCCCCCAACTAGAGATCTTGCGAGACATCAAGAAATAACGTTGAATTAACCGTAAAGACGACGATATGAGTCCATGGAAGAGTGTACAAGAGACATACGTGAACTATTGAATGAATTAGTGATAAAAAGGGGGAGAATTGACTCAATACGACGCCAGTACTCTAAGAACGCTCTGGATTTCCAACGACCTTGTGCTGCTACAATATCGGGCGGTGTGCCTCGTAGTGATGTTCCGGCCCGGCTTGGGCTCAAAGCCCCGGCTTAGGCTCGGCCTGGGGGGGGCTTAGGCTCACCAGATTTCAAGCCTGAGCCGTGAGCCCAAGCCGGCCCAAAGCCGGGGCTTAGGCCCATGCAAGCCGCGGCCCAAACCGATGTCCGAGCTCCACCATGCTGTTCCCAACACCACGAACACCATGCGCAAACGCCCAGCACACGTCAGCAACTGCTGACGTGGCTCAGACGAATACGGACGATGGACGAGAGCAGGTGAAGGGAAGAAGACAAGGAGGAGAACGTTCGGACAGGGATGGAAGGGTGTGTGGAGGAGTGGCGTAAGAAGTGATATAGGCCGGAAGACAGCTGTTGAACTCGGAAGGTTGTCCGACCCAGTCGAGGATGGTGATGTCTGTAGGTGGACATGGACACTGAAGATACCAAATAATGAATACACGACGACTTCTTGCAATGTGGTGACGCGAGATGACGCCCATTGAAGTCTCCGTCGAGCGTCGCTCATCCCAGGACGAAAGGAGATCAGACGTGCGTATGTAGTTGAAGTTGAGAGGAATCGCTGTCGACGTCCAAACCCTCCGAGTCGAACGTTGCCGATGAGACCGAAGGCGAGGAACGACATGGTGAATAGATCGTCCGAGCGCAAGGGAAAAGAGGCGCAGGGACGAGAGATGTGACGTTGGGGCCGAAATCTTCCAAGTATCAATGTTTCGTTTCAATATAGATTAGAAAAGGACTTACTGTATAAAAGGCAGCATCCAGCCACCCGAGCGTCTCAGTTCTGACCAAGATACTGAGACGTGAGTTAGCTTTTACTTTACACTTCGAGTAGCCGTACTGATGCGACGTAGGAGACTTACCTGTTAGGTACATACGTCGTCAATAAAGAGTTCTGACCAAGATACTGAGATGAGACTTACCTGTTAGATCCTGCTGCGCCTTTACGAGTTCTAGAATCGCGTCATAGTAAGAGTCAGTAATGAGAAAATGCCAAACACATACTTGTGGGGCGTGACCACTGACGTGACAAGGTGTCATATACTCTATGTACCAAAGCCGCGGCTTGGGCCGCCGGCTTAGGCTTTTCTAAATTCAAGCCCAGGCCTAAGCCCTGCTCAGGCCGTGACTTAGGCCTGGGCTAGGCCCGGCCTATTTGGGCCCGGCTTGGGCCGGCCCAGGGCTTCAAGCCGGGCCTTGCACATCACTAGTGCCTCGTAACAAGAGTTCCGTTGCACCTCCTATACGAAAGCAGTGTCCTGTCAGCAGAGGCAGACCTGCGGATGCCCAAACATTGTTGCAGCGTGTGATGAACCAGGTGCGAGTCATGGGTGACCAACCGTCGGGCGTCTCGAATGCGAAAAAGGGCGCGTGAGGAGGAACTGATGAGTTGGCAGAAAGGTGGTGAACCAGCGCGTCGTATGGGTTGGTTGGGTCGTCCAATTTCGTGGCAACTATATCTGCACCTTCTCCGTGCGTTGTCTTCGTCCATGGAATGTGAAAAACCGAAAACATGGTGCCATTAGCTGCCGTGTTGCGACTGACATGGGAAGAACGCGCGATGTGACGAGAGGGATCGAACACGTTTGCCGATGGGACGACGAGTTCGCCGAGTCTGCAAAGACGTTAAACAGAGAAACGTGCGAAAGAAGAACTATGGGTACCTGCAGCAACACCAGAAAGCCACAGAGGCTGTACAATAAACGGCAGAGTCGAAAGAATTTGACATGTCAAGATTACAAAAAAGGGCGTGCATATGTTCAATGGTTACAGGAGGACGACGAGGACGCTTAGAAGAATCCGGGACGAGCTTAGAGAGACCTGTCTTCGATCTACGAAGAAGGCTATCACCGTGCCACGGCGCGTTATTGAATTGGTGCCAAAAGTGCAGACCGGCTAACCAATTGTCAGCTGTGGTTGCGGCTACCTTTCCAGCCCAGTGAGCTATGAAGGCGGCAAGAAGAATCTCCGACGCTGGCATACGTTTCTCTTCAGTAATAGAGAGAGAGTCGCAAAATTGATGAAAACGAAGCAAACCAGAGCCGTAGTTCTCTCGAGTCTTTGGTTCGACGGACGCGAGCAGCACGTCAAGAAGGTGTAAGGCAGGGTCAGGGGAGAGTTCGTCAAGAAGAGCAAGATGAAATGAGTTCGAATGCGGGGCGGACCACAGTCGGATGCGATCGCGAGAGAGAACATGCGGGCGAAAGGCAGATGGAGAGATGTTACAGCTGGGTTTGGGTTTGCAAGGTTTAGGAATCTTGTGAGCAGAGCTGTGCGACACTCCGAGATCTGGACGCTGTACCAAAGCGTTTTGAAAACGGAACAGATCTGTCACCGCGTCAGAAACACCTGACGATGACGAAGTTGCGCTAAACATAAGGTGAAATGAAGGCTGTCAACTCTGTGGGGAGTTGAATGTGTGGGAGCTGCGTGCTAGGTGAACCGACTTCGCCGCGTGAAATCGGGTCTGCTAAGTTAGCCGCTGACTCTGTGTATGAAAGAACGTGAATAACGTTAGAACTCATTGCGATGACCTCAGATCTCCGTATGCAGAGGTTGACTTGGAAGTTCCTGCTTCGTCCCTGCTTGAATGAACCGATAACACCTTGATTGTCGGAATGGATGATGACTGCGCAGTCTCGCCACCCTGCGCTGAACAGTGAGAAGGTGTGCATAATATGAAGGGATCATGGCAGACCTGCGTTGAACAGTGTGAGAATAGCTAGTTCGACAGCCACTGCTTCGAGCCAGCCGATGTCACGCCCACTACCTTTCCAGCCGTCGATGAGCGTCCACGCGTTCCATCTACCCCCAAAACTCAAACCAACACCCCAATCGGTGGACGCATCGACCCACAAGTCGATTTCCTGAGGTAAGCCGCGTGGAATGAGGGTACGAGGAGGTGGTTCCTTCGTTAGAATGACACGCCACCATTCGAGATCTGAAGCGACCGATGGTGGTGGGTGACGTGACGCGTGGCGTGAAGACTCCGAGAAGCCTGCAATGAAGTGCGAAAGATTGGCTAGATAAGACCTGCCGTGAGGGATGACAAACGAGATGTGCGATAGAGTACCGTTGATGCTCATCGCGTCGAAATATGTGAGTTTTCCGGGTCTGCCGGATGATGTCTTAAGCAGATGCAGAATGTTGGTTATCTTATTCAAATACTTCAATCGTTTTGATTCCGGAAGGGTGACTGAGCGATCCGTGAGGCTCCAGAGGAAGCCGAGATAAACGAAAATAAATGCAAAGTCCGTCCACTTTGTTGGGTGCCAGGGCACACCAAGCAGACGAGACTTGTCGTAAATCTGTATGAGTCCAAAAGGATATTCGTAAGGTGTGAGCGAGCCGTCTGGGAGGAGAATTCCACCGCCAAACGGGAAGCGGAAAATAGAGTGGTCGTCTACCCACTTCTTGATGGGGGTAACATCGAGGTTCGTGAGGATGTCTACTGTGGCGTCGGCGACATGTCCTTGGACACCGCCCGCGGTCGTGAGGCCGAAAGGGAAAGTATGATCGATCCAGAAAAGGTCATTGAAACTAACCACCAGAAACCTTTTATGTTGGGGCCAGACTGGGATGGTGCGATAGGCTGCTTCAATATCTAATGTAGCAGCCTGTGTGCCTGGTGGCGCTGAGGACACCTGAAGGCGTATCAGATGTGCGCGTGTGTGTGCGGAAAACGCGGAGAACAATGCGAAAGGTGCGTTAAAGTTGCAAAAGGCGCAAAAGTTGCAGAAAGTGCAATAAGAACACAGAAGATGCGTGTAATAAAAGGCGCAGAAGATGCGACGAAGGGCGCAAAATGTGCGCAAAGTGCTAAAAGGTGCGAAGAAAGTGCGAAGAGCACTGAGTACGACGAGTGCGTAGAAGAGAAAGAAAAAGGAAAGCGCCTGTATGCACTAATAAAACACAGTAGTGATAACTTACAATTTCAGCAACCTGGGATGCGGTACCCCATTCCGTGGGGAAGTCATCTGCGTCCAAAAAGGCATTGACCGAGTAACCGTCTTCCTTGTTGATGTAGGAGAGGTCTCGGATGATGCGAAATTTACCTGGCTCCCCGGCCTTCTCAACGAGACCCAGAGGACAGGAGACGAAGTTGCTACCAAGTTCTTGTTCGATTTGTGTTTTGGAGAAGGGACCCGACATACGGCCGAGAGAGCACTCTTCAGAAAGGTATTTGCTAATGACGTCGGGATGCTCAAGAGCCGATTTGTGATTAGGTGGTGTGTATGTGCGGGTGAGAGGCGGTATGTTGCCGATAGGGAAGCCGTTGCGAAGGTTAAAGACGAGCTGGGGATATTTATCATTCAGGTCGAAGCGACTCAAATACTCTTCGTACGCATCAGCATTATAAGGTGTGATGATGCGATCTACGATTCTTTCAACACGAGCGAGCGGCTGCGTGGTGGGAGGTGCTTCCGCAAACCGAGCATGCGTGAATGAACTCGGGTCCGTGCTTGGTGTTGTTGCACTTTCCGATGTTGAAAGAGATGCAGACGATTGACGAGTTAGCTTTGAGCAAGATCTTGTCTTTCCAGTGACAAACGACTGGCTCGTTTTTGAAGGTGTGTGTTTGAGTGCACTCGCTGGCTTTGTGTCCCGTCCGACCGCAGAGTAGGCAAAGAGGTCCGTCGGTGGAGGCCCCTTTGCCCTTCCGAAAGGGTTTGCCATCCGTGCTAGATGCAGACCCTTCGAACTTTGGTTTACCTGCAGGGTAAGGATGGTACCTGCTATTGCTACTTGAGCCGTCAAGACGAGCCGCTAAGGCTGCAACCTTGTTGGCTTCGCGAATAGCTGCCGCGGAAGCCTCATCAGCTTTCTTCTGGGAAATCCTCGTAATTGTGTCATTCCAACGCCGTTCGTACGCTGCTTCGGTGAGAAATCCTTTAGTATTGAAGAACATACGCCGGGTCTCTATATCGAAGGCAAGAATTGCCTCGTAATTGTCGATGAAAGGTTTCCGTGAGAGACAGAACTTGCGATGCCGTTTGAAGCGCTCTATGATGGCTGGTCCGGCTATATGTTCCAAGAGTTGCATGAAGTTTTCGGTGGCTTCGTGGAAATCTGCCGGTTGGAGAGTGGTCTCCGCCGGGAAACCAGACGCGTCCAAAACCAACTTCTTTGGATCATCAAGTATCATCCCTTTGCGCATTTTGATGCACGACGGGTCAGTGTGAATCTTTTCGAAGGCCGAGGGCGTCAAGAGCGTGAGAGGAACGTGTATGTGCGACTTGGCCAAGTCTATGATTACGCGAGGTATTTCGAAAGCGTCGTCAAACGACGTGAAGAACTTTACTTCTCCGTCTTCGAATGCGTATGCCGGCATTATTACCGATGGGTCAGAAATAGGTTGAGGCTGGGTAGAAGAGGAAGACGCGGCGATTACGTTTGTCACCAAGGCTTCGAAGCCAGCACGTGAACCTGGGGTAAGCGCATTATACCCTCTGAAGAGGTTAATCATGGGAGTGTCTGTGTTGACAGGCCGTGGATTAGGCAACTCCTGCTGCTCCTCGGCAGGAACATCCAGGAGATCCTCATCGTCTTCGACGACATCCGTCGTTGTAGCCCTGCGGTCAGCCCGTGCTTCGTTACGTTTACCCCGTGCCTCGTTTTCAGCAAGGATGTCATTACGAGACGCTCGAGTTGTACGGCTACTAGATGACCCGATCGCTCCCGCGATTCTGTTTGGGTTTGTCTCTGCAGCCCTAAATGCTGTCAGAGCCGACGTACTTTTACCTCCGACTCCTAGAGGGAGTCCAGAAGTCTGAGTGTTAGTCATTTGATTGTTATATAACCGATATAAGTAAGGACTATATGCGCAGAGTTCTCGAATAAGCGAAATGCTGCAAGCAAACGCGAAAGGAAGAAGACAAGGAGGACGCGTGTCGACGACACGCGTACGTACGCGTTTGCTCGCTTAGTAAGCACTAGTTTGATCTATTTGCTCGCAGGCTCGCATAGGGATCGAACTGCACCTAGGGTAGTGTTGCCGCGGCTCCGGCTTACTGCCGGTTTTAGCCGCGGCCGGAGCTGTGGATAGCTGAGCTGAGTGCGAGGTTATAGCTTACATAATGTACGGCCTGGCCTGGTTGGACTAGCCGTAGTTAAGGCTAGCTAAGGCTTCAATCCGGCTCAAATGGATTAAATTAAATATATTTTAAATTAAAACTGAAAATACACGAAGAATCAGCTTCAAGCGCTAAAGAAGGAAGCTGTGGCCTGTAGCCTGTAGCCTTGCGTCAATCACACCAATCGCAACAATATACCTTTAAGATCTGACCTCAATGGGCCCTCAAAAGAAGGCAAGTGTCCTCGCCGATGTTCGATCAAATGCTAAAACAATTTTAGCTCTACAGCAGCGCTAATTGCGTGCCAAAAATAAAGAAAGATCATACCAATGATAAAGCTCTGCGCAGACGCGCATCGAGGATGAGATACGGGCATCAAGGGGGAGATAGGCATCGAGGGGGAGACGCAGATGGAGGGAGAGACGTGGATCAAAGGAGAGATGTGGATCAAAGGAGAGACGCGGATGGAGGAAGATGTGTGGATCGAGGGTCCGTTGTTGAGGGGGGTCAAAGGATCATTGTCGACAGGCCATCAAGGTCGAAATCGAAGTGGCGACACTGGCTTTTGAGGATGTGTTGTCGTGAGGTTTGAGAGGAGGCGGAGAATTTTGCGATGTGGAGGATAACGCACCAGGTATCCTGTGTAAGAGTAGATATGAGTGTCACCTGCTAGTGCTTCAATGAAATATGACTCATCGTACACTGATGTTGCGAGTCGCTGGAAGTACCTGGGGGCTGATGCGAAGATGATATATAGAACTCCTGTAATATTAATTGAGACAGAAAATAATGAAATGAGACGTTTGCTCAGCGAAGTCCGTATGATGTATATAGACGAAATACCACTCACCAATTTACAATAGAGACCGCAAGCGTTGCAATTCAATTCGTTGTTCGAGCCCCTTCTTCATAGTGGGGTATGGTATTATCTAGAATTAGCAGCGAAGTCTGTATGATGTATATAGACGAAATACCACTCACCAATTTACAATAGAGACCGCAAGCATTGCAATTCAATTTGTCATTTGAGCCCCTTCTTCATAGTGGGGTATGGCATTATCTAGAATGAGCAATGAAGTCCGTATGGTGTATATAGACGAAATATCACTCACCAATTTACAATAGAGACCACAAGTGTTGCAGTTCAATTCGTCGTTCAAGCCCCTTCTCCATAGTG